TCTGCCGAGCCCGTCTTCGACAAGACCGAGCTGCTCTCCATGGGCCGTGTCGAGCGCATGCAGCGTTCGCTCGCCCGCGGTAAGAAGCTCAAGCAGCTCCAGAAGCAGCACAACTGGTCCTTCGAGGACTACAAGGTCGCCAACACCATCGCCGGTGAGCCGACGACGTACGGCCTGCACGACTCTATGTGGCTCGTCACTCTCCGCGAGCAGGGCACGCCCGAGCAGCACAAGCTCTTCCTCGAGCCCGCCCTCGCCAACAAGTACATCGGCTGTTACGCCCAGACTGAGCTCGGCCACGGCTCCAACGTCCGCGGCCTCGAGACCACGGCCACCTGGGACCCCACTGACAAGACCTTCGTCCTCAACTCGCCCTACCTGACCGCCTCCAAGTGGTGGATCGGATCCCTCGGCAAGGTCGCGAACCACGCCATCGTCATGGCCCAGCTCTTCGTCAACGGCAAGAACCATGGCCCCCACCCCTTCGTCCTCCAGATTCGTGACCTCAAGACCCACGAGCCGCTGCCCAACATCTACGTCGGCGACCAGGGACCCAAGTTCGGGTACAAGTAAGTTTGGGACTTCGCTTGCGATGTCGGCATGTTGGAGCATCAGTTGGCACGGGCTGCAACTGGTGACTCCAAGGCACCGGTCGCAGCCGAAACAACTCTTATCAGCGGCACGGACTAATGATCAGCTCGATGGACAACGGATTCATGCTCCTGAACAAGGTCAAGATCCCCCACGTCAACATGCTTGCGCGTTTCAACGTTGTCGACCCCGAGACGTCCGAGTACCGCCGTGTCGGCTCCCCCTCCCTCATCTACGGCACTCTCACCTGGGTCCGTTCGACGATCGTCCTCGAGGCTGGTGCCGCCCTCGCCCGCGGTGTTACCGTCGCTACCCGCTACTGCGCCGTCCGTCGCCAGTTCCAGGACCGCGACGCCGAGGAGGCTGGTCTTAAGACTGGCGAGACCGCTGTGCTCAACTACAAGATGGTGCAGCAGCGTCTCCTCCCCCTCCTTGCTGCCACCTACGCTCTCCACTTCACTGGTCGCGGCATGATGGCCATGTACAACGCAAACCAGGAGGCGATGAACAAGAACCTCGCCGCGGGTGCTAAGGACGCCCGCGGCGCTGGCCCCGAGGAGCTGAACCCGGGAGCCGAGCTTCTCGCCGACCTGCACGCGACCTCTTGTGGTCTCAAGGCGCTTGGATCCACGATCGCCGTCGAGGGTCTCGAGGTCACCCGCCGCGCTTGTGGTGGTCACGGTTTCTCCTCTTACTCCGGCATCGGCCCGTGGTACGCCGACTACCTCCCCACCGCCACCTGGGAGGGCGACAACTACATGCTCACGCAGCAGGTCGCGCGCTACCTGCTTAAGACCGCTCGTCAGGTCATCGACGGCGTTGCGCCCAAGAACGAGACTGCCGAGATTCTCCAGTTCTACATCTCGCGCAAGGACACTGGTGTCGCCAACGACGTGCTCAACAACGATGCCGACATCGTCCGCGCCTTTGCGTGGCGCACGGCCTTCCTCACGCTCGAGGCGCTCAAGCTCCGCGACAAGGAGAAGAAGTCGTGGAACTCGCTCCTCGTCGCCTTCTGGCGCCTCTCGACCGCGCACTCGCAGTACCTCGTCGTGCGCAACTTCTACGACGCCGTCTTCAAGGACCCTGCCCGCCTCGCCGGCAATGTCGGCGACGTCACGGCCGACGTGCTCCAGGACCTCTTCCGCCTGTTCGCCCTCAACACGATTGAGAACCACGCCGCCGAGTTCGTTACCTCGGGCGCTATCACGAACAACCAGCTTACCCTCGCGCGCGTCAAGGGAGTTAGCAACCTCCTCGACCGCATCCGCCCCCACGCCGTTAAGCTCGTCGACGCCTGGAGCTTCTCTGACTTCCTCCTTGCCTCCTCCCTCGGACGGTACGACGGAAAGGTCTACCAGGACCTCTTCGAGCGCGCTCGCAACAACCCCGTCAACGAGCTCATCTTCGACCCCTACCCCGACTCGGACGTTCTCATCAAGCGTACTGGCGCCAAGCTCTAAGCGTCTCCTCGAAAGTAGCAGTGTAACAGTTAAACCACCCATTAGTAGAAAATCGGCATGTTTTGGTCGTTGTAGAACAAACCCATGGATAGATTTGGTCTCTCACCTGTGCAAGTGTCTTGGGGCCAGACGAGTAGTGTGGCATGGGCGGCGGGGATGATCGGCGCGATCCACCTCGGTGATCGTCGTTGCCAATACGTTTGGCGTGCTGAAACTGTAACATTGGCGGCGAGAGCTAGTGCCAGACGGATCTCACAAGCACCAGGTCCCAACCGGTCATGAGACGTAACGTCCAGCCGAAAGTCCGTGCGTTGTCTCGGCTGAACTGAGGAGATCGAAGACGAGGCACTTGGTTATCCGGGGCGGATCAAGCAGGCTGTAACCTCTCGTTTACCATGTCCAGACATTCTCTAGTGGCATAGCAACTGGACGTCCAGACATCCTCTGAGTGGCATAGCAACTGCAGATATGGAGTGAAGCGACGTGCGGGCTGTAAACATCCGGACTTGTTCACCACCAGATCCGCACGCCACACCTGCGCTCTTGCCTTTGCCGCAGTCCCACAGGTACCACAAGACCCTCCGAAATGAACCCCCTGGAGCTTCTCGCATTCCGTCGACATGCGGCTCTGCTTTGCGGCGCAAAGTTGCGGCCCATGTCCAGGCAGCCAATATCGAGTGGGCAAGTGGTGGGCACTTTGCCAGCCGAAAGATCAGGACGTCGTTCGCGGCCCCGCGAATTCCGGAATCCCGAGCTAAATTACCTCCCCTGCCCTGCACCCCTGCCTCTCACTATAATTGGAATTGCCGAGCGAATGCTCACCACACACGAGGTAGGGCGGTCGCCTTGATCCGCTTCGCTCTTGCATGCGCAGACCAGCTGGCTGGGTGATTCACGGGTAAACGTGTGCATGTGTTCGCTGGCATCTGCGTTATCGTGTCAGAATGGAACATGTTAGGAGTCAACGAGTCAGGAAGGTCAGAGCGGTCAGGAGACCTCGGTCAGCAGAGTTGGACGAATGGAGTCAAGGCAGACGCAGGCTGGACGCAAGGCACACGAGAAGCATCCCGTGCCCGCTCCGGATTCTTGGCGAGGTGTGTCGAGCCCCACCAGAGTCAGAGCATGAGTGATGCAAGCAGTTACGCAGCGGCAGCGAGTCGATCGAATTGGTAACCTTTAATACTCTGCATAATACAACCGGAAGCGGAAAGGGGCGTCATTAATGTGCGTATGGATATGGATGGAAGGTCAAAACGATGGTCGAACATGTTGACGACGGAGGTCGATGAAGGACTCTCAGCGCCGTAACGGCTCGCTAGAGGTCTTGATATAGAGCTCGCAGTGCGCGCTTAGGTCCTCCGGGACTGAATGTTCCTGAGCTTTCCAGAGTTCTCGCACGGGACAGCGTCGACGAGGACGCTCTCGCCCATGCCGCCGGCAACGATGGAGGACATGGTGCGCGTCGGCTCGTATCCGACAACGCTGGACTCAGTGGAGCGGATACGCGTGGGGGGCTTGCCGCCAACGAAGCCAGACTCGGGGACCTTGTTGGTTGCCTGCTTCTTGCTCTTGCGGCTGAAGAGCTTGCGCCACCAGGGCTCGTGCTCGGCGGCAGGGGTAGTGGTGGTGGCGGCGGTGGAGGCTGCGGTCAGCTGTCTGCGGCTAATGTTGTGGTGCTCCACGGCTGCTGGTGGCAAGAAAGAGAAACGTACCCATGATGATTGGTTCGGTGGTTGTGATGTGGTGCGGGGTAGACAAGTGTCGGACTGGTGAAGCGTACTGGGACGCGGCCGACGGGGGTCTTTATACTTTTTCAGAGATCACATGGACTGCAACGTTGATCCGGCAACGGCTGGGTCAGGCCGCATCTCGACTCTAGGCTGGATGCAGAGCGACCTGGGCACCATGCCCGCTCTATTCGGCTACGGACGGCTTCGCTTGAACCATGTGCGATAGAGTTACAGCTGCATGCAGCGGTCCTGCGCTCAGCGGCGAGAGACGTTCTCGGGTCAACCAACCAGGCCGCGGGTTGACGTCACCCCCGCGTGCAGCCCCTGCTGCCCGAGCTTGCGTCCTGCCTCACTGGCTAGACCCGCTCTCTATTCCATGCTGCGCCCTTCTGGCCCCCTCCGTGCAGGTAAGAATGCAGATGTGGTCGCTTGGGCAATATTGCTATTTTGGCCGGATCAACGAATCGGAGGCGCTGTGATCGATCAACATCCTTTTCTCAGCCAGGGGTCGGAGGGTCCGGAGCCGTGTCGCGGCCAACCACACTGCAACAACGCTTGGGGCCCAGCGCGCTGCCAGCTGCGACACACCATGGACACAGTTTGGACATGTGAGCGGGTGGGGAACCGCAGGGTTTCGAGTGGGGCAACCCCCTGTGCACACGTTGTGGCGTCGCGAATCAAGACTCAGCCGGCTGACACTCGCATGAACCAAATACTCACGAGCGAGGAGATGTCCCGCCTCTACGCTGGGGTCGGCGGGCTCCGTGCTCCGATGCAGTGGGGGTTGGCAGTCCTGGTTCCGCTCTATCTAATCTCTCGGGCGGCATGGTCCGGAAACGCCCTTCCGCCTTAGTTGTCGCACGGTGTCGCCGCCACTTCGCAGGAACGGCGCCGTGGCTGCCTGCCATCGACAGGGGGACGTAGATGAGGCGCAGTACACGACGCTTATCGTCGCTTCAAGGGATATCCGACCAGACCAAGGCGCGAGGATCTGGTCGGATACCCAGTATCGCCCATGGTACCAGTATCAACTTGCCAGCAACGCCAACGCACCTCGCACTCACATCTCACTGACAGCTGCGATGCGCCCGCATACGAAGCACAAGTATCCAATCGAAGAGAGATAGCATTACAACAGTTCATAGTGGTTGGCTGTCAAAGGCCGTCACGTGATCCCGCCCTATCCTCGCGGCCCTACTCCTCCCGACTCTCCGTACTTTCGTATCTAGGCAGCGACGCAGACCGCGGCGCTCGAAGATCGTCGACTGCAAGAGCAAGATCGCTCGGCGAGGTCGGAGATCTCTGCGTAACGTCGTCAGAGGAAGAGGGCGAATGAGTAACGCGGGGCGAGCGAACAACGAAGCGAATGAGACCTTTGAGTGTTCTCGACCTGTGAGGCGAACAAGCGACTCGAAAGCGAGCTCACACAGCCCCATGGTATCGTCTCGTATGGTCAATGGTAACGGGCGGGGAAGTCGCGCTAGGGGCGCTCAGCACGCCAACAGACCCACTCCCATTCAGACGACGGAGGGCATCAACGTCTCCGTCAGGCTTCCAGTCGCGGGGCGGGGCATCGCGGAGTTCCCTCAAGTCTCGGGGCGAGTTAGACCCGCCCGAGCCGGAGCCGCGCAGCTTCTCGTCCTCGCCTGTTCGCCGGATGATCTCGAGTTCCTGCGCGTGTGCGCGCTGTGCCGCCCTATGGTCAGCCAGCGCCTGCCAGGCCGTGTGGATGCAGAGGCCCAGCGCGATGGCCATCAGGATCGCTGCGACCTGGAAGTCAGCCTCAACGTCCTTGTCTCACTCTTTTGCTACGAGGTGTCTTCACTGGAAAGCCTCTTCGCCGCGGAGCAAGCAACTCACCAGACCTGGCCACACGCCCTGGGCCGGGCTCGAGAACGGCTTCTGGGGCTTCGCGCTCGTGAGGCCGGTCTGAACGGGCCCCTTGCCCTTGCCGAGTCCGGCAGTGAAGCTCGGGTCCGCCTCGAGGATGCTCACGAGCTGCTCGCTGCTGAGCGATTTCGACGGAGCTGGCGACATTCTTGCTCGTGGAGTCCGTAACAGTGAAGGAGAGGTACAGTTGCAAGAGAGGCACTGGATCTATAAACTCTGGCTATGCTTTGGAGCTCACTTGCTGTGGGTGAGCTGCAAAGGGGGGAGGAAGGCACGCAAGCTCGCCCAAGCTCGCCAGTTTGCACCATGTTGCACCAGGGGTACAGGACGAGAGGTATGTGGGATCCGCCCAGCCCGTGGGACCAAGGAACCGCCGTGACACCGCTGGGTGCATGGGACCTGTCCCGTGGGCTCATCACGGCTGTGCACTCGTGCAGCAGAAAGTGTGCGGCATCGGGTGTCGGCCCAAGGATGCCCAAGACGTACGGGCCACAAAGAGAGGAGGGGATCCAGTGATCGCAACGTGCCTGGAACTCTAACCCGAAGGGTCTCGTCGGGCCTCACGTCGTCTGTTGGCTGGCTTTTGTTAGGATGGCGCGATGGGCGTGCGCAGGACCCAGTATTTGATGCTTTACGTACTACCACCTCTTCGGTGTAGGCCCTGCCACCGTACCTCTCTCTACACCCTTCATCTGCGTCTTTCGTTTGAGCAGGTGGAAGATGAGCGAGAGGGCGGAGCTACGGGTGCCTGGGTCCGTGACGTCGGCTGTGTTACGACAGCGGAGCGGAGAGGAGGGAAAAGAAACGAGCGGTCTGCATGCTTTGCTTGTAGGAGTGTCCTTGATCCTGTCTATGGTACAACGGTCTAGATGTGTGGGCAGTGTCGGTTAGTAGCGACGGTGAGCTGTGGTGGTGGTCGAGGATAGTGGAGGCAGATCGTTGCCAAGAACGCCGAGATGTCTCGGCCCAATTGACTGTACCCTGTCCCCTTCCCATGTTTGTTGACGTCGGCGGCGAGCGTGCGATCTCTCACTCCCACGAGGTCCTCGAGTTAGAGATCGCCAGACTTAGTCCAGCTTGCGATCTTGTTCTGATCGCGGCGACCGCAGCTGAGCGAGTCACACCACGCCTCCGTCCCTCCTACCACCTGCCGACTCTCCCCTCGTGAGCTCTGGCACACTGGACAGGGGCGTCTTCTCCTCCCCCTTGAATCCCCCCGCGACGGCCACATACCCTCCCTGCGTATAAGGGGGCACCTGCCCGTCCTCGGGCTCGTCGGCGTTGTAGGGACGATAGGCGTGTTTGGGCAGATGCGGCTCGCCATATGGAGCAGAGGTGTGCGTTGGATGCGAGGCGGGCACGACGTGCGCCACGGACGCAGGGAGCGGAGCTCGGCGGCGTTTCATGCGCACCACGATAGCACCGATGACGACGGCGAGGATGGCGATGGCGGCGACGGCGACGATCTGGCGTTAGCACGGGCGACCGGAGGCCGACGGCCGGAGGGAGCGCAGGTAGGGCGAGCGTAGCTGGTGAAGTGAGGGCTGCAGGGAGGATCCTAGAGGAGCTTGGTATCACTTACGATCCAAACGTACACCGGAGCTGGCGAGCTCCTCTTCTCGATCTGGATTGTGCTCCGTTTCGTGCGCCAGACAGCGCGTGCAGACGCCTGTTCGGCCAACAACGCCGCAGCCACTGTTCCAATCATGCTGTCTCGTTTCTGCAGCTACTCTTCCTCGTCGGGGTCGGTATCTGAGGCGCAAGAGAGTCTGAGGTTATCGCAGGCTGTAAAGCAGGCTTTAGAATCGGGGAGTGAGGTCGACGGGCTCAGCGTTATAGCGGTGGGAGTGAATGTCGCTCCGAGAAGGTGCTGGGTTGTTGTTGATGTCCGGGGAAGACATCGCGGCGTGGTAGTTTTATCGATGCATTGACACTACTGCGCTGCAGGACCCCCCTGACACACCGATCCGATGCTGTCATGCCCCTCTCCTTCGCCGCTGCGCCGTCACTGACCCGGGGGCGGCCGATGTGGGAACCGTAGGAGCGGGCAGGAACGTTGCCAAGATCTTGGGAGCCGCTCCGTGCGCCGCGTCAGGCCGGGCTACGGCTGCGGCTTCGGTGTCGCAAGGTCACAGAGGTTGGACGGTCCGTGCCTTGGCACTCGGCTCCTACGTCAGTGTCAAGTCAAAGCGACGGGGTGGCTGCGGATGAGCTGCGTCGGCTGCGTCGCTGCGTCTGGATTCACAGCCCTTCACTGCATTCCCAACGTTCGCAGTTCCCAGACATAACGGGGCTGCGGCGACGTCACCCTCACCGGGCTTGTCTGTGACTGAATGGGAGGCGATGCGAACAGAGTGAATAGCAGGATCGACGCCAGATCGACGATCGCGTCGTAGCACGATGAGCCTGACAGACATCGCTGAACATAAGTCAAACACGTGCACAGGACGCGAAACAATGAAGAGTGCAGACAACAGCTATCCTACTCGCTATAGAGATGCGTGATGCAAAGAAGAGTGAGATTAAAAAGTGGTACTAATACTATATCGTAAACAATGAAAACACAGAAGGCGAATGGACTAATCGTAAATGAGCAGGGGCAGGATACGCTCCTGGTTGAAGAGGAAGTTGTTGGCCATGTCCTCGGCCTCGAGGAAGCGGGTCGGGTACACGACCAGATGACCCTTGACCTTCTGGAGCAAGCGCTCCATCTCATCGAGCTCCCACTGGTGCCATGGCTCATCCTCGCCCGATGGCTTGTGCGGCTCCTCCTCGCCAACGAGCGTCTCGACGGCATTCGGGCCGGCACGCTCATCGGGCTTGCCGCTGCCGCCGGCACCCTGCACTGCCGACTTGCCCGTGCGCTCCTGCTCGGCCGTGTCGCCCGTAACGGGTTTGCCAGGGTCGTGGCCAGCAGGTCCGACCACACCGCCGCCGGACCCGTCCGCATCGTGCGTCTGCTTGACGTCGCCCTTGTCCCCGCCCCCGCGCTTCTTGAGGAACTTGCCCGCGTGGTTTGCAAAGCTCTTGTACTGGTCCCATGTCGTCACCATGTCGTCCGGAATGCAGCGGAAGACCTTGCGGAAGATCTCCGTGTTTGACACGGCGGTCGCCTGCCACATGTCGTCCCAGAACTTGGGGTCGAGGGGGTCGTGGAAGCGGTTCGGGTCGATCATAGGCGTCTCGACCGGCAGCGTCTCGGGCTGAGCGGGCGTCTTGTAGTGCAGGTGCTTGCGGAGCACGTTGCGCGCCTTGGACGGGTCGACGGCGGTCGTGTCGTCGCCCGCCTGGCTGATGGAGCCGCCCGCGGGACGTCCGTAGCTGTCCGCGTGCGACGTCACGGACACGTTCGACGCAGTCGGGTGCAGCTCCTTCGTCGACTCCTTCTGGCCAAGACCCGCCGGGTCCTGACGGGTCGGCTCGCGGTTCGAGTGATGAGGATGGAGGTGCTGGCTGTGGTGCTGGTGCTTCTGCGCTTCCTCTTGCGCTGCCTGAGCAGCAGGACCGCCGGTACCGGCGACAGCGCCGGGACCGGCACCCGGACCGTAGCCGTCGGCCCAGCCGTGGCCCGACTGGCCCTGAGGCTCCGGGATGGGGTTGCCGTTGGCGTCGACGATGACGTTCAGGTTTCGGCCGGCACCGTTCGGGCCGGGATCGGCGTTGCCCTGCATTTCGTTCTTGACCTTGTTCGCAGCCTGTCGCATGATCGTGACCTCCTCTAGCGTCGGAACGACACTGGACGCAAAGCCCTCGACGGGCTGGCCGTCCTTGCCAACGTCGGTACGGTCGGCCGGGTCCTCGTCGAAGGGCATCAGCTGCGGCGCCTCGCCCTCAAGCGTCTTGATGGGGTGCATGACCTTCAGCGCAGTACGCTCGGCGTCGAGCTTCAAGTTTGTTCCAACACCGTAGGCAATGTCCCTAACAGCAGTGCTGACGGTAAGGTTGAGACGCTGGAGGGCGTTGCTCTTGGCGTGCAGGCGCGAGACGCCCGACTCGCCGCCGTGGTTCTCCTGCTCGTTGTCCGGGTCCCAGAGCGCAACGTCCTGCGGCTCAGCGAGCGGCTTGCGCAGCATGAGCTCGTCCTCCTCGATCGCGTCGACGTCGACACCGACGTGCTCGCGCATGAGGCGCATGCGCAGGGTGTGCGCGTAGCGGCCGACCTTGAAGGGCTTGCCGGCCATCGTGCCGTCAATCATGTCCGTGTCACGGACAACAGCGAGCAGCTCAGAGTCACGGTCACCGAGCTGACTGCGCTCGTTGATGTTGGCACTTCCGCAGAGCACGATACGGTCGTCGACAATCATGGTCTTGCCGTGAATGTAGACCATCTCCGAAGTGAGCGCGCCAGACTTGAACTTGGCCCACGTGCGGAGCGAGAAGAACTGGATGTAATCGTCCGGGTTAATGCCCTCCTTCCTGAGGCGGGTGAAGATCGAGTTGGCGCCACGGCAGATCGTGCGGTTCTGGCACTCGAGAATGAGACGGACCGAGGACGCTTCGGGCTTGTCGACGGGGTACGAGTATCCGGGCAGCAGCGGGATGACGATGCACGCCCTCCAGTCCTCGCCGTTCTTGTGCGCCTTAATGATACGCTCGACGAGGGCATCACCGATGTGGTTCTTGACACGTGTGTTGTCCACAACAGTCGACGTGATGAAGAACTGGTTCTCGATGTACACAAAGTGCTCACTGAGCTGGATGCTCTTGACATAAGCGTTCGTGATCGAGTGCTCAATCTTCGAGTTGGTGCCCATGCTCCACGGGCCACAGCTGCGGCAGATCTGCACCTCGCAGGTACCGTTGAGGTGCAAGTCGACAAGCTCGCGCTCGGTAAAGTCGGCAGGAGGGAGCAGGAACGGCATCTTGCGCGTGTGGTTCTTCGTGCGCAGGAGGTAGTTCCAGCGCTGGCAGAAGTGACGACACAGGTCTCGCGCCGGTTGACCAAGGATCTGCAGAGCGGTGTCGTGCCAGGGCATACGCGGCTGGCGGGAGCGGTCGAAGCGGTCCTCAAACGGCTTGTCCAGGTCAGAGTACTCGTCGATACGCTCGTTGAAGTAGTCCTTGCCGCGCCAGACGGGACCGTTGGGGCCAGAGGGCTCGGTGAAGTCCTCGTCAGTGAGACAGTGCTGGGGCGTGTCCCAGCGACCGAAACACAGGTCAAGACCTCCCATGAACGCGATCGTCTCGTCGATGACACAGAGCTTCTCGTGGTGCGACCAGTAGAAAGTACCGTTGGGCAGGTGCGAAGGACTGCGCTGGACCATGACGTTGGGGTGCAAGCCGGTCAGCGTCTTCTTCGTGTACGGCGAGTTGACGGGCGTAGCAGCGTCCATGACCTCGTTGTAGATGATGACGAAGATGCGGACACCCTCCTCGGCCTTGCGCTTGAGCAGGTTGTCGAGACGGTACCGCTCGTCACCGGGGCGACGAAGGTAGATCTCAGGGCTGATCCACCAGTCGTGGATATAGATGCGGTTCTTGGCCATGTTGATGGCGCGACTGAGGTTCCAGAAGTAGTCACGGCCATCGACGAGCCACTGAGCGGCAACGTTGACACGGATTGGGGCGAACGAGTCGAAGCGGTTGCGGCCGGCCCAAAGGGTCTGCATAGCAACGCGCTCCATGGACACGATGAACTGGTGCATTTGGCGCTGCGGTTAGTTGTGATAAGGATCCGGTAACTCACAGCATTCTTCGCGACCAGCTTGAGACGCCTCTGGGCGTTGGAGATGTAGAAGGTGTGCTGCGAGGCGTCCTTCTCATCGTCCTCACGCATCTCAGTGGGGATGTCGTCCGCGTCGCTGTTCTTATGGCGCCGAAGTGCTTTCAATCCCTTACGGTACGCTCTCTTCGGGCGCTCGATGGCAAAGTCGTTGTCAATGATGAAGACATCGTAGACGTCCGTCTCGGACGGGCCGTCCGTCGCCACAAAGTACGACTCGCGAACGATGAACCACTTGGGCTTCCTGTGGTTCTTCCACTTGGAGGGCACGAGGCCGGGCTGGTTGTTCTTGCGCGAAACGTGGATCGTGGGGATCTTGATGAAACCGGCCTTGCCCTGGAATCCTCCGCGAGGAGCGAGAGCAACGGTGAGGGCAGACAGCTCAAAGAAGACACAGAGCCTGTTAGATTCCGGACGGAACATAACCGCACGGATGAGGTCGACGAGGTACTGCTGCAACAGATCACGAGGGCTCGCCTGGGGGTTGGAGTCGCGAGCGGGGCCCTTGCCCTTGCCGGAGCGGTCGACTTTGGACTCGGCCTTGTCGTACAGGTGCGCCGAGTCGCGAGCCCAGTAAGGGAGCACCTGCTTGGGGAACTCGGGCATCTCGACACGGCGAGAAGAGCGCAGACCGCTGATACCGGTACCAATGTTGGCGGCCTTGTAGTGGGTGTGCAGCGAGACAAAGTCACGCAGCTCGCGGTAGATGACCCACTTGATAACGCCCTCGCCGTACTCGCACTCAATCTTGAACCACTCGCGGCCGCCGCGTTCCTTCTCTTTGTCGGTCAATGGTCGATCGGCACTGGCGATCTGCAGCTGCTTGTTCTGGCGCTTGTTGCCGACACGCACGCTGTCGCCGATGCGGAAGCGGAGATTACCCAGCAGAACAGGCACTGCACGGTGTCCATCCTCGTCGCGGTCGATCCAGGTCTTCATGATCATAACGGGAAGCGTGTTCGTGAGAAGCTCATTGGTGACATTCGGGGGGCGCATCTGAGTCTGCTCCGTAGTCTGCTGGCGCTTCTTCCTTCCGAACCGCAGTGCGTTGCGCATCTGACCTCCACGCGAGCCAGCAGCCGACGCACCGAGCTCGTCGCCGCTCGAGTTTTGGATCCGGGCACGGGCTGCGTTCGACATGGACCCTCGGCGAGGCGTCAGGGGCGAGATGGGTGAGGTGTACGCGCTGGCCCATTGCTGGTCAGGCGCATCTTCCCACTGGTCCTCGGGAGGCGGCACACGACCGAGACCATGGTCGAGAAGCTCGTCCTCGTACGACTCGTGCTTGTGGTGAGCGCCATGCTGCTGTCCGCCAGGATGGTGAGGGTCGCCGCCAGTTGCACCGGCTCCGGTGCGCTGCTGCTGGGGCTCGAGGACCTCGGTCTTCTCGTAGTCGCGGTGGATCATCTGGCCATTTGGCTGTTCGATGTTGGCGTGAATCGTAGTTGTCTGGATCTCCCTCAGACCGCCCGTTCCGCTGGCGCCGGCGGCAACACCTCCACCTGCGCCTCCACTCGGCTGCATGTTTTCGGGGCTTTCCTGAAGCTTGCTGTGGCTGGACTGAAGATACTTTCCGCCTTGCATGTGGGCACCGTCCTTGTACGCAGGCTCCTCGCCCTCGCCGCTGCGAGTTACTTGGAGGGGAGCACCGTAAGCGGTCGCCGTCGAGGCGGGGACGTCCGGGTCTTCCTCGCGATGGAACTGGGTCGCGGTCAGCGCGCGACTCTCGAAAAAAAACAAAACGCCGCTACGTCATTGACATACCTGAAGATGCACGATTCTAGGGGCTAAGGAAATGTCGGTACGCGGGCCAGGGGGCTCCTCCTCCTTGACTCCCGGCATCTTTTTCGTCGTCCTCCCGAGCTCGTCCTTCTGGTACGGCTGATTGAAAGCAACGGGCCGTGGTGTACCGTCGGGATTCAGTCGAGGTGTACCGTCTGCCAGGAAGCGATGGTCGTTGGGGCCCTGTCCGTCGACGGGAACCTCAGACACGTCCTGCTCATGCATACCCGGTCCACGGCCTGCAGCACCCTCCTGGTACATCGGCGCCTCCTGCGTGTCACCGCCTCGAACACCGGAAGGCATGGCAGCTTGGCGGGGACCAGTGATGTGAGGAAGGTACTTGCTTGGTTGGGCCTCGTCGGCGATCTCACAGCCGTCGCCATCGTGGCCGAGCTGGCTCTTGAAGCCGGTGCCCGGGATGGCGGAGCTGACCTGGTTCGGGTCTAATGTTGGCTCGTGGTCAATGGTGCGGGCGTTGAAGACCTCGCCGTCCTCGGGGTTGAGGTTGTAGTGGTCGCTCATCTTCTTGACATCGTTCATGAACTCCCTGTCGCCGAGGTCGTGGGTCTTAGGCACAGCCGCTGGCGGGTTGCCATTCTGACCAGAGGCACCCGGCGGGGCCTTGGTCTCGGCAGATGACATGCTGAAGGAGTGCTATCGCGGTATGGCGCAAAGCACTATGGGGCGTAGTGTAGGTGTGGAGAGAATGTTCGAAGTGAGGTAGGGTTATGATAGTGGAGTGGAAGAGAAAGAGTTAGTCGTTATGGGAGTAGAGTATGCCGGAATGTGCAGAGGCTAGGGGCGACGGGTGTCGAGGACGAGCGTGCGTGCGGTGATGGTTTTGAGGAAGTTCGGTTCGAGGCTCTACGAGGCAAGGAGGTAGCCAGGCCGAGTGCGTCTGATTTCTCGTAAGGAGGTGTGTTGTTAATGAGTAGGACACCGGCCCTGGACGTCGCCTGCACCTGGAGCACCGGGCCCTGGGAGGGCTTGTCTGGAGTGCCCGATACGTTCCTGTGACGTCAGATGTCCGAGCACCGTGTCCGGTACGCGTTTGAGAGGGCTGAGGCTGAAGGGGGGTGCATGCATGCATGGGTGCACCAGCGGTGGAGCTTAACTGCTAAACGCTCGGCTGCGAGCGAGACACGGCGACACGGCGGTCGAGGGTGCATGCGAGGGTGAAAGGGTCCTGCGACGAAGGACGCCGCTGAATGTTCTCGATCTTGTGACTGACATCATTCTCCTTCCCTCCGAGCCGACTGGCCCCTTTTCTTTTTTCTCGCTCCCTATGCCTATTTCGATACGACGCGCACATCGAGAGAGTGCAGAGAGAGCAGAGAAACAACAGGGGTCACGCGCAAATCCCAGACCGACCCCACCACCGACCCTTTGACCGATCATCACCAAGACACCCCTCTGAGACAGCAGCCGGGCCCAGTCCGCCGCTCTCAACGCCTCCCGACTCTTTCCCCTTCCGATGCCGGATGACGCGCGACGCCGCTGATAGCTACATGAGCCATCCCGTGACTCGCGGCATCCGACACGCGACTACCTTCCCTCCATTCTGAAAGTTGGCCGTTGCCTTTCCTCAACACTATCTACTCTTGAACGCTCAGAGACAACCACCGTGCTCACCAGATTTCCATGCTTCTCATCTTCCTCATGGCTCCAGCCACGCATCTTCCAGCGTGCACATTCCTTTCCACATCGATGACCACGATCCTCGATCGCAGAGCATGGTGATCACAGGCTGGGGGCTAGGCCTTAGATCCTCTTACGCCCTCGCACCGACCGCACTACGGTTGTGTGCATCGTGTGTGTCCCCTATCCAGCCTGCCAGGCTTGCCAGGGGAACACCATGATCTCTCTCGACTCCTCGTCGCCCCGGTCGCCCCGGTCGCCCCGGCGGTGACATACACAGCGGGGCTTCATTCCAGCACGACATCAAGAGACTAGAACGCTGACGGATTCCCACTGACCATCCTTCACTCGTTCATCACCCAGACCAAACTCACCTCGCAGCAGCAATCATGGCACGCAAGGCCGCCCGCAATGCGGTCCTCCTCGCCGTCGTCCTAGCTCTGACGTCGCTGTACCTCCTCTTCGTCCTCCTGGACGACTACGCCCAGCCCCTTCCCATCAAAGTGGTCGCGCGGACGCCAGCGCAGCTCCCGATTGCCGAAGACTACAAGCGCGCAAAGGAGGCAGTGAGGGAGCAAGTCCTCTTCAAGGCCAACCTCGCCATCAGCAAGGGCTTGACCTATGGGTCGGACGGAATAGTGCGCGGCTGGGAGCGTCTGCACAAGCAGTTCGGCAAGGCAGGCCGGGAGCGCGACGAGCAGCACCCCATCGAACAGCTCATCTACCGCGGGAAGCGGCGCTGGGAGGCGCTCCTGAAAAGGTGCGTCATGCGCTTCTGTGCACGTGCTGACAGGCAGGCAATCTAAGGATCTCGCGTCTGCGGTCAGAGCGTACGAGAAGCGCTACTTCCGCCCTCCGCCGCGCGGCTTCGACGCCTGGTTCCGTTTCTGCACTGAGAACAATGTCAGGATCATTGACGACTACGACCAGATCGAGAAGGACATTGGCCCGTGGTTCGGCATTGCGCCTGACCAGTTCCGCAAGCGCGTGAAGAATCTCGAGAAAGTCAAGCATTCCTAGTAAGCTAGGCTGTAGGCGAAGCGAGCTAACCGACAGCAAGATCACGCTCTATGCCAACGGTTCCTCAACGCTCACCGGGGACCGCGCCTCCTCTCCAAGAGCGCAGATGCAGTACGACCTCATTGCACCCCTGGCGTCGATCATCGGTTCCGAACTTTCGTTCCAGGTTTCAGACCACGACCGCGGCAATGCTATCATCAGCGAGGAGCTGCGTGAACTCCTGCTCTCTGCCGCCGGGCGCGGGTCCTTCGTCACCGAAGCCGAGCTCGCGAAGCACGAGGACGACGGGCAGGCCTCTCTCGGGATCCAGTTCGCCTGCTCTCCCAGCAGTCTAGCGAGGCGAATCAGCATCTGGCGCCCCCAGCCTGCGCTGAACGACGAGCCGATGTCCTTCATCTACGACCTGCGCGAGGACGCACAGATGAACTTTTGCAACAACCCAAAGCTGATGCGGTACCACGGTGCGTTCTCCTTCCCCTTCGCGCGGCGCGCGGGGATGCGGCCCATGTTCCAGCTCTCGAAGACGGCGCACAACCACGAGTTCAAGATGCCCCCTTTAGAGGGCTTCGAGCTGTACGAGGAACACCCCTATAAGGTCATCCCGTGGGAGGCGAAGGACGACTCTCGTCTCTTTTGGCGCGGCACGATGACGGGGGACGAGTACACCCAGCCACAGGGCAACTATAGGCCGCACTACAACTGGCGCGAGAGCCATCGGATTCGGCTCTCGTTCCTTGTCGCACCAACGAGCCAGGACGGGAGGGAAGACGAGGACAGGCGGTGGCTCTGGGTCCGCCGCGGCGGGGAATGGACCAAGGCCTCCTTCCCGCGCTCGCTCTTGCGCAACACCTACTTCGACATCGGCCTCATCGACAAGCTGCACCAATGCGACGAAGCCACATGTGCCCAGATGCGCAAGGAGCTTCTTTTCAAGCCAAAGACCTTGCGCGGCTCAGAGGCGGCGTACAAGTACTTGTTAGATGTGGACGGGAACGGGTGGAGCTCGCGCTTCCGCCGCCTCATGGCTGGCGGCAGCGTCGTGCTCAAGTCCACAGTGTATCCGGAGTGGAACACGGACTGGCTCGTGCCGTTCTACCACTACGTGCCTGTGCGCAACGACTACAGCGACTTGACGGAGATCATGGCGTTCTTCACTGGTACCCCCGGGACTAGCGAGGAGAGTAAGACCGAGGGAAGGGACGACCTTGGGCGGGAGATTGGCGAGAATGCCCGCCGGTTCGTCGCCGAGCACTGGAGGTGGCAGGATATGCAGGCGTACATGCTCCGGCTGCTGTTGGAGTATAGGCGCCTCATGGCCGAGAACAGGGAGAGGGAGGCGTTCGAGTGAGTGGCAGACGTCAAGGACTTTACATACTCGACACGGACAATGCACTTCATGCTGTACAAGTTGTGCTGCTGCAGGTAAACCAGCATACCAGCTTTCGAGGGGAGAAGGCCAGGCGGGAGAGGAGGAGGAGAGGCTGAACGTTCCAATTTTTCGGAATTTTGCGGCACTCCTCTTATTCCACCAATAATTTTTCTGTCATAAGCCTCGTTATATCAGTCGGTAGATAGTGTGACTCTTACGCAACAAAGCCGATTGATCACACAGTCATGGGTTCGAGCCCCATACGAGGCTTAGCTTTTTCGTTTTTGTGTCCCCCACGCGCCTTCTCCTCGACCTTTTTCGTCTCCTTCATAGCCCTGCGGGAAACCCCGGAAGCGCAGCAGTGGCTACAATCGTACAGTCCAAATCGCATAATGGTACAAGGTCTCTACTTCTTCTCTTTCCGTGTCGTACTGGCCTCCTTGATCTGAACGTCCTCCTCTTCCTCATCGCTCGAATCACTACTCTCGCTACTCACATCGCTCTCGCTCTCCCCCTTCGTCCACTCCTCCCCCTCCACCACGGGAACGCCCGAAGGAGCATCCCCCTTCACGTCAAACACGCCCACGCCCAAGTCCATCGCGACGTGGGAGCCCGTCGGATTCTCAATCGACACGGATGACGGGTCCTCACGCGCGCGAGCGAGGAGGGCGTCGTTCGACGCGGCGAGTTGCGGAAGGAAAGCGCGCGCGCGGGCCAGGACTGGGGTGTTAGCTACTTGGACGAACTGGCAGCTAAAGCTGAGTGTTCTGATCTCCCGGCGGGCGGCTGTATGTTGTTCCGGATGGCGTCTGGTGATGCCAGACAGGACGGCCACGGCTTGCACTCCCCGCCGGGGTCTCTCGGCGGGTCTCGGCGGGACGACAAGGGAAGGAAACAGAGGGCAAACTCACCGTCAGACTGGGGCATGGCGAATGGCCGCGTCCGCTCCGTCGGCATCTGGACCTCCTTCCCCTCCTCCGGCCGGGTCATGGACGCGAAGAGCGAGCCTGTTGTCAGCTAAGCGAGCCTACTTTCTCGAAGCTCACCAAGTCGCGCCTCCCGGTCCTGATCACTCTCGACGTCGAGCTTCTCGACCTTGTTCTGTTTGCCTAGCTTGTCTTCGCTCATGGTTGCGCGATAGCGTAATGGAGATGGCGGATGGGTGTCAACAGAGGAGAAATTTGTTTTGACGATTCGAGAATGTGGATGTGGAGGACCTCCACTTTTGGCTTCGATCTGCGCGGCGATCATTCCACACTTCCCGTGGCTGCAGTGGCACGTTGAGCTAAACTGAGCTGAGGAATGACACACGGATACTTGTCTGCGGAGCCTCGGAGCATGCGTGCATGTGTGCGTGTGCGTCGAAACGGATACTTGTTTGCTCTGCCTTAGCTTTATCGTCCACACGGCTCCGAGAGATAGCCAGTGGGCTGTGTAGCGTCTTGTGGCATGGTGTGTGTCGGCTAACATCCCCACCTGGATGCTCATTATCCTTGTTGTCAAGATATTAAGGGGTATATGCATATAATGCTCTAGGAGAGATCTATCGGCCTCTGTTTCGGCCAGCCTACATTGAGTCGCGCTCGCGCCTCTGCGCACCGCGCTCACACTCCACTTCACGCACACGCACGCGCTACGCACTCGCGTCCACGCCCGTGTGCACGATTTACTGGTTCTTCTTCGACTCCTTCTTGATCGGGTTTCCGTCCTTGTCGCAGAGGCCCTTGCGGTGCATCTCCTTGATGGAGTCGATGAGGGGGTCAAGCTCGGCGACGGGGTCGCGGTGGCTGTCAAACGTCTTGTCGGCCCAGGTAAAGTACTGTCCGTAGTTGCACGTGAAGTAGATGTGGTGGAGGGTGTGGTGGGCGGGCGAGTTGATGAACTTCTCGAGGAAGTGGTCGTGGATCATGTCGCCGTCGTGGATCAGGATCGTCCACAGCTGCACGAACCCGAACATGCCCAGGTAGAGCAGGCGGTGCATCGGGAACAGGTAGACGAAGATGTGGTACGGCAGCGACTGCGCGTACCCGTCGAGGGGGTGGAAGGCGAGCGCGGCAAACGGCGTCGGCACGATCCACTTGTGGTGCGGCTTGTGGATGTACTTGTAGATCGAGCGGTGGTGCTCGATGCGGTGGATCCAATAGATGCAGAAGTCGGTGAAAACGAGGAACACACGGCCGAGAAAGCAAAGTAGAGCCATCCGCGGTCCGAGACGTTGTCGTACAGCATCGAGTATCCCCTAACCTCGCCGAGGAACCACGGGAGCGTGAGCACGTCGATCGTCGGCGCCGCCACGAGCGAGGAGATGATCTCCTGCCGGATCTGGTTCTTCAGGAACCGCGGGTGGTGCTCCAGCCGCCGGTCGTAGAAGAAGTAGTAGCTGATCGAGCAGAAGAGGAAGTACATGACCGTCGCCGCAGCCCAGGCCACGAACAGCAGCGACATGCACTGTCGCGCAACGCTGTCGCGCGCTAGCCGCGACATGGGCTTGACGGCCTCCGCGGCCGCCGCGAGCGTCGCATTCGAGGCAAGCTTGCCCGCAGCGCTGCTGCCGCTGGCATACGTGCTTCCCGGGGCCGGGAAGAGATACGCGTACACAGAGTCGAAGGCGTACTCGTCGCAGTAGTGCAGGACGAGATCCATGGCGCCGTCGGTGTCGGAGTCGGGGAAAGATAAGGGGCTAGGAGAGGCGTAGAAGGGGTGGAGGAGTGGTCGTGGACAGTCGACGAAAGTCTTATAAACACGCGCGTGTCCGTGTCTCGGGACGAAGCGGCGTTGAGTGCTGGATCGGACGATGGGGTCGCACGATGGTGACTACCCCGCAGCTGTCGGTTGTGGCCGTAGTGTTGGTAAGCTCGCCCTGTGCGAAGCGGTGTGTCGAGCTGAAGTCGCCGAGAGACCAGCGATCAGGTGGAGAGTATGAGCGAGTAAGCACAAAAATCAGTCGAGATGTTCCTTCTTCTGTTGTGAACACCGGGAGATGCGGCCAGCCAGCCCGTCGAGCCCGAGGACAGGCGGCAGACGACGAAGTTTAAGGGATCGTGCCACACTGCACGAAAATTCTAATTCAAAACCACACCCAGACTTGGCCAGTCCTTATCCCAGGTCTTATTCTCATTAACGTTTGTTAGCTGGGGGATCGACCGCCGCCCGGTCCGGCCGATTAGCGGGAGCAAATTTATCGAACGATCGTTTCTCGCGGCCCTGCTTTCTCATCCTGAACCTGAGCGCGCTGAGCGGCTTCGGCGGCGCCCGGAACACTAGCTTCGGCCGGGGATCGCGGACCCTGCAATGTCGTACTGCGCTCACGTGATCGTAGCAAGGAAGCCTCCCACGGTCTATAAGCCACTGGAAGGCTGAACAACTTTCCCACGGTCTGAGAAGTTTCCAAAAATCCATCGTTTGACATTCCCACGGTCACATGAAGTTCCAAAAAATCTGTCGAGGTCGGAGAACGTCCTTCGGAGAATAAAGTCTTTCCCACGGTGTAAGAAAGTTTCAAAAATCCGTCGACGTCGGATGCCGCCTTACGCAGAATCGAACTTTCCCACGGTCACAGAAGTTCCAAAAATCCATCGAGACTGCAGGTCGCCTCTCGCAGAATCAAACCTTCCCACGGTCAACAGCGAGCCCGCCACACAGCAGGCATCCTTCGAGTCGTTCACGTTAGCCTCGTCGCACTAAATGCCTGCCAGCGCCTGCCGTGTTAGCCTTGCAACAGTTGCGGTTAGCTGACCAGCTAGACTCAAGTGCCCTAAGTGACAGTGGAAGTTCTAGCGCCCTTCATTATCGATTGCTCTCGCCATCTCTTCAGAATGCGAGGGACTCAAGGAACCATCGAACCCTCAGCCTCTTGGCGGCCTCCACTGCCAGCAGTCTACCGCGATGTGCGATGAGCACCTGCCCTTCGTTCACGGGCAGTGAGACAGTGGAGCTGGCTATCGTCAGCATCACTGTCAGTTCCGGCCAGAAACGGCGGGACGACGGGGTTACGATTGTGGTAACTTCTCAGGCACAACTCGAAACGGATAAGAGAGTGGAGTAATGGAATGTGTTCCGGGGTGCCGGTTCGCGGTCGAGGTGGATGTGGGAGTCACAGAGTCTGGGCAATGCGTGGGTATGCCACTCCGCACTTGCTACTCCACTGTGTGGTTCATCGATTGCATCGCAGTGCATCCTTCAGGCATTCCAGTGTGTGCTGCAAGAGCGTTCAAATCCGTCGACTACCACATCGCTTAGCGAGCCACCGTTGAACGCCGGTGCTTGGCGAAATCGAGCCCGATAATACCCAAAGTCGGGTTCATTAGGAAGCCGGGTGCCCAGTTGAAATGCAGAGATTACGCGCCCACTACGTCATGAACCGAGGGCACATGACCTTTTGTTCGACCCCCGCCGCATCTAGACTCGGTAGTCGAGCGCGTCCTTCACATCGCATCGCATCGCATCCATTCTAGACCATCACTCAGCATCACTCATCACACGCTGACATACGCATCGCGCTAGTGTCTGGGTTTCCCGGAAACTTTCTACAAGCACAACACTACCACTACAAATACCCACCCGTTGCTGATCAGCAACCCATCCCCCCACCTCACCTCACTTAGCCTCCCCCACCTCAAGCGCTCACAATGGCGACGACTACCAGCCTCCTGCACACCGCGCTCCAGAACCTGCACGTCGCGCAGCAGGTCGCGCACCCCTCTCACACTCCCCGGCCGGCGAGCAGTGTCGACTCAGGGCGCAGCTCGCGCGCCGGATCGCGCATGGCGAGCGACGACGAGGACGACGAGCTCGTCACCGTCGGCAAGGGTACCGCCCCTGGCACACCCATCCCGGGCAAGGGCCAAGTGCTTGGTCAGCGCATCAAGAATGCGTCGAATGATCCGGTAAGTGTCTTCTCCGCTTGCTTTCACATCCTATCTCCGTCACATCGTGACCAGGAAATGGGTGGCGATACGCCTTGATCCTTACGCCTTCACGCCTAACGCCACCCCACGGGGGCCCTGAACCTCATCGCTGACACCAGCTTCGCATCCTCCCGACGCACCTGGCGGTGCGCGTGTTCCTGCAGCTCGACATCCGCTCCCTGGCTCGTTGCGACCGGGTGTGCAAGCGATGGCACAAGTCGAGCACACTGAACTACGTCTGGTTCCTGCAGAACCGGGCTCTGCACCTGCCCCAGCTCAAGGCGCAAGAGGGCAAGATGCGGACGCTGGACGATGGCACCGAGTTCTTCGACCCATATGACAAGGGTCCGAAGCTCTCTACGCTCGCGCCGGTCCCGCTGCCGAAGAGCGCCGCGCCCCAGTGGTCCAAGGCCGAGAGCAAGAAGGCGTGGAAGGCCCAGTTCAAGCACACGCTGTACAAGGGCGACGACGACGATGACCATCCGAACCGCGTCGACGTCTCGGCCCTCTCTTCAGGCTATTCGACTCCCGGCGGGGGTCGGCACGCCTACTCGGGTCTAGGAAGCGGCAACGCGAGCCGCTGGGGTCCCGGCGAGAGCGGCAGCATGACGCCCAGTGAGAGGAAATTGGCAGCAAGGGAGGAATACAAGGCCCTCGGCGGCAGGAAGAGCAGGAGGAAGAGAAAGATGGCGGGAGAGCTCGGCGCGAGGGATAAGGGCGGCGCGGCGGCTATTGTGGACGATGGGCGGTTCGATTGTCCGTGGTAGCCCGTGGCCACGACGTGCGCGCGACCGCAGCGAGCGCCGAGCCGAGCGAGCCAATGGGTTCGTGAGCCGAGCGAACACTGCGGACTGAAATCAAGCCAACCAGCAAGCCCGATGTGCAGTGAGCACATACTCAACAAGCCTCGACGTCCCCGACGTCCATCAAACGAAGTGGTGTCACCAAAACCACTCCCGGCAACGAGCATCAGCCCCGTCCGCCGAAACAAGACGACCCCCTGCGTCGTCTCTGTCAACAAGTATAAAGTCTAGTCAGAAGTTCTCGGAATGTAGTGCGAATATGAATGCAAATCTTGATACAACATTGCTTCTCTTTTAATACTGCCTCGTATCTGAGCTCAGCGGCGGAGACCCTGCTTGCTTCATTGCAGCTGAGTGCGGCCCGCTACCACGGCAGGATGCCTTCCGGCCCTAGCGCCCTAGCCCTGGCTCTCGCGAGCATACCCTCCCTCGCAGCCTCGCGGGGCGGGGGACTCATCTCCCTCTCGCGTTCCCTCTCTCTATCCCTCCCTTCGCGTTCTCGTTCCGCGTCCCGCTGCTCCACACTCTGGAGCGCCGCAATCGACTGCGAATGATACTCCTCTTCATCGGTATGGCTCGGCGTGAGCTTGAGCCCGAGCTCACCCCCGAAGCTGCTGAAGCCGCCCTGCGCATACCCCCCAGCGGCCGAGTATCCGCTCCCCACACTACCGAACGAGCCGGCATCGCGTTTCCGCTCACGAGAGCGCGAAGCTGGGCGCGAGTTGCCGCCCGTCAGGTCGACGAAACGGCTACTGCGCTCGAAGCGCTTCGATGCCTGCGTCCTTGGGTCTTCGACGAGGACTTGCCGCGTCGGACCCTCTGGACGGGTCTGGCTGAAGTTGGCACTGAGCCCGCCGTCGGCGCACTGGCAGGAACAGGCGGGACAGTGTTTCAGCAGCTCGAGCGTCGCGCGGAGACAGCGCCAGTGGCTCGTGTGCTGGCACAGTGTACAGCTTGCACTCAGGCCCTTCACGGGCGTGTTGCACACGGAGCATAGCGGCGCTTGCCGCGGCACGGAACACGATGTGCACTTCTCCTCGCCTTGGGGGACGAAGGCCGAGTCGCACGCGCGACATCGCGTCGCGTACACCAGGCCCTCGCGGTATACCTTTGGTGGAGGAGAGGAGGCGAACTCGTACTGCAGCAGCGCGGCGCGCTTTCCGACGAGTCCGGCGCGAGGAGCCAGTCGGCGTACGCCAGTTTCCACAGCTCTGCCAAGGGTAGGAGCTCGGAGCGGAGCAAGCTCGGAGGTGGGGCGTCCGAGGAGAACTCGAGGTGCACGCCGCAAGTCATCCGGCGGCGTTCGAGTTTGCCTGGAGTCTGGGCCAGGTTTGGCTTCGAGAAGACCCGGCGCAGTGGAGACGCACTGCCGAAAGATACCTTCGTTCCCGTCCTGGGCGCGGACGTCGCTAAGTTGCTCGACTCGGGGACAGACGAAGCCGAGGCGGTCGCAGCACGCTCGTCCACGCTCCGGCCTGTTGGTGTCGGCGGAACAGGGGGCAGCGGCGGGGAAGCCAGAGCCATGCTGCCCGAGCGGGCGAAGGGGCGCGTAGCCCTACGCCTCGGCGACGGCAGCCCCGGCAAACCCGTGATCGACGAGTGACTCTCGTGTCGCGTGAAGGGGTGGTCGTGCCGCGAGGGCGTGCCAGGAATTGCAACCGGCGAGCGCTCCTCGTACGACCCGGGAGTGCGCTCCTGGTCGAACGACGTCCGGTCGCGCGGCGTCAACGCCATGCCCCTTAAGCTGATTGATGAGGGATTCATTAAGATCTGGCTCCAGCCACTCGTCCTAAGGCTGCCTGGGCCCGTAGCGCTGACAGGCGTCGAGGGGGTAAGGCTGCTGCTTCTCCTTCCGGGGCCGAAGGGCGTGACGGCCGTGCCGGAGGTTCCGCCGCTGCCGGCCGACGCACGGCTCACCTTCCGCATACCGAAGTAGGACGGTTCGGGCTGCGCGACCTCCTCGATCGCCGGTGGGGGCGGCGCGCTCTGCTCGTACTCGAGCAGACAGCACGATACCAGCGCAAGCATCTGCATGTCCATGCGCTCCATGAGGCGGTCAAAGATACCGTCCACGACGCAGCGCTTGCGCTCCATCTCCCGTTCCCATCGGAAACGCTCCGCGTGTGTTGCTGCTGTGCGAGACAGCGGTGCGTGGTCGGAGTACGGCGGTGGAGGGTCAGTGAGCAGCGCGCGCAGCGCGGCCCACACCTCGGCGTGCTCCAGCTTCTTGACTTCGAGCGCGTGGACGAGGTTACCGTCGATGCTTGCCGTGTACAGCCGCGCGAGCTCGGGATCGGGCTCGGGCACGAGGTGCGAGACGTTGTACAGCGACAGCGTGGAGCGAGATTGCATCGGCTGCAGCTGGGCCTGCATCGTGCGCACGTGGCGCTTGTAGCGGACCATTGTCGGCTTGTTGTGCGGGTTCTCGAGCCGACTGAGCGCGCTGAGTGCCTTGGCGAGCGGCGTTGACATTGGGTCCTCGCGAGAAGGGGAGCGAGAGTGTCCCGACCTCGCTCGCGGGAGTACAGTCTGTTTCGGAAAGAAGCACACGAGCTGCCCGTTAGGGCCGAAGGCGGCCCCCGTCGTGCGGATCAGCATAGGCACGTTCGCCGCTTCGTCGACTCCCGTGTCGCTGTCCGAGTCCTCGTCGACGACGCGACGAGACGTGCGCTCGTGGTATCCGAGCAGGAACTCGGTGACGCTGATGAGGCACTGGCGGTTTGCAGCCCGCATTTCCTTGATCGTCGAGATCATGCGGTGCCGCGTGATCGGGGAGACAGTCGCGTTGCGCTCAAGCTCAAACGTCGGGATCTCAGGTCCGTAGGGATAGTTCGGGGGGAAGCTCCAATGCACGCGGATGAAGGCGTACCGGTCTCCATTGGCCCAAGGGCCATTCAGCGACATGGTCAGCTTGCGCTGAGATAGATCAAACTTCTCAAAGTTCACCTTGGATTTGGGGAACATCTTGTGCACAGAGAGCACCTCGTCCTTGAGCGGAATCAGGTCGGAGACAGACTCGGTGCCGACGCCCGTGTTGACCGACGACGCGCGGGTCAGGCTAAGACCGCGAGTCTGACTCATGTGCCTTAAGGACTCCGTGCGTCCGCCATGCGGTCCCTTGGAGCGTGATCGCGAGCTGGATCCATTCGTCGAGTCGCGTCCGGCGACGGAGGGGGCGCGAGATGGACCCGCGCTCGAGTCGGAGGCGACCGCGGCAGCGCCCGGGCCAGTCTTAACGATACGCGAGAGCCACTCAATCTGGCCGATCTTGCGTGTCGACTTACCACCGCGGGTCATGCTCGTGAGCGCAGGACGCTGGAGCATGCGCTGACGTGCGATTCCACTGGGTATCGTCGGCTTCTCCGGTCCGAGTGGCTTCAGCGCCTGTCCTAGCGGATCGAGGGGAACGGAGAACGTGCGGTCGATAGCGCCGCGGCGCGTCACGTCAACATCGATAGGAGCGCCGGGCTTGTACCCCGCGCGCTCGAGGAGATCCTTGGGCATCGGCCAGATACGCAGCTTGCGGTCGAGACTCCACGTGATGAGCTGGAAGTTGCGGTCCTCGAAGTCGGGGTCTGCGCCGCCGCGCCGTCGCCACACAAACTCCTTGACCACGCCCGAGGAGCCCTCCCACCGCTCGATCGGGACGTTGCTCCCGTCCGTGCCGAACATCTCGAGCGCCGTCTCCCCTCGCTGCGGTAATGCGAGCACGCCATGACCCCAGGGCAAATTTCGCGCCCGCCAGACGGGATAGCCTGTCTGGATCGTTGCATTCGTGAACGGCTCGCCGGCGGAGAAGTCCTCGCTTGCGAGTGTGCTCCTGTCGTCTTCGGAGACGACAGAGGGAATGTCCCAGAACTTGATCGTCTTGTCCAACGAGCAGGTGACGAGCCGGTGCCGCAGCCGCCGGTCCCAGTCTATGCCGTAGATCTTTGAGTCGTGCGCCTGTATCGTCGCGACGGGGACGGAGCCATACCGGTCGTCCCAGACGAGAACGCGGGTCCCGTGCGCCGTGGCGAGGATGTGCTCCGCCTTCCTGTTCCACTTGACTTGTGTGCCGGCGGCTCCCCACGCCGAGAGACGAATGATAGGCGTAGACCCCTGTACACGCAGGTCCCAGCCGCGAATACCCGCGTCCATGCTGACCGTGGCCATCAGGTTGTGATTCCGCGGGTGCCAGTTGATATCCGTGATGGCACGCAGGTGCGCGTCGATCGAACGCGAGAGCGTCTTCTGTGCGTGCAAGTCCCAGATCAGCAGTTTCTGGCTCGACGTAGACAGAATTAGATTGTCCGTGATCGCGTGCGGAGACCATTGGCAGCTGTACGTTAGCTCCGCAGATCGCCTTGCAGCTCACTCGGCGATTTGCCATGTACCTCCTTGAGGGATGAACCGCGGGGCCTTCTCCAGATTGGCGAGGTCGAGGATGTACAGTCCCTTCCTGCTCGCCAGACACACGTCACGCGAGCTCGGCGAGATGGATAGACTGCCGACTGGCTGGTTGATCGAGACCGTCGCGCCCTCGACAAACTCATCGTCGGGAAGGAAGGTGCTTCCCATGAGGGAGAGCTGGCTGGCCACACTCGCGTTGACAGGCAATGGCGCCTGATAGCTACTTCCCAGCGCAGCACCAGCAGCAGTGAGCGTCATGCCGGCTGTGCGGCTCATTCTTCTTCCCAGCGCCGGTCGGGGTGAGACGCCAGGACTCGATCCGCCGGGCGACAATCCAGCCTGTTGTGGAGGTGAGGTGAGTGTTGCTGTTGATGAGGGAGACGCCTGGGAAAAGCTCCGTGTTGGCCCAGTTGACGGGGAGAGTGTCAGCGTGGGCGACAGCGGGCCCAGCCCCCTTACGCTCGCGGCCGAGGAGCGTCGCGACGCCAGACCAGCGAGAGTCTGCAGGGGCGTCGTGGGGCTGGCAGACGGCGATCCGACGCCCGAGGGCGAGGGCGAGCTCATCGTGTGGGTCACGCGTCGCCTGCGTGCTGCGCTTGCTGCGTTTGGAGGACGATCAAGGTCGAACTCGTCGCGATGGTGATGTGGATTGAGTCACAGGAGAGATGGTCGAGTGAAACGGACGGTGTATGAGGTCAGAGTCCTGGCTAACCTGGCTGATAGCGATCGTTCAGGGACGGATACACTCCAGAATTCCATCCACCACCAGAGCCTCATCAGCCAGCCTTTGTTTTCGCTCCATCCACACCCTCCTCTAACCATCACCACCATGTCCGTGGGACTCTGGCAGACCCCTCTGCCGCCCTCGGTCGCGCGCTCCCGCCTCATCTCGAACATTGCCGCGATCGTCCTGTCCATCTTTTGCCGCACGTTGTTCTCGCCGTACCTCGCCCTCCGCTCCGTCGTCGTCTCATTGTTGGACAAGCTCGGTCTGCCCGGCAGCTCCATCGTTTGGTGGATCGGTAAGCTTCGCAGATTACCGCAGTAGCTGACGACAGAAACCCTCGTGACGGCCACGCTCGTCGTCAATGTCATCGAGGCCGCGTACTGGGTTGCATACCCCCCGCCGCCGCCTAAGCCTGCCGGACCCAGCCTGCAGCCTCTGGCCAAGTCCTCGCCCCTCGTAAGCTGCAAAGGGGCATATTCAGCTGACTCCAGACCCGCTCGTATCCCCCGACACCCGACTTCAACGAGACCTCGACGATGCCGCTGGCTCAGAGCCCGCTGAGCGCCTCGGTGCGAGCGCCGGCGAAGTCGCCCTCGACGCCGGTACGTCTGAACCAGAGCCTGGGCGCCAGTCTTAGCGGACGGAGTGGATCACCGTCAGCCGGCCTCTTCTACGACCCGGACAGCACTGCGTCCCCCGCAAAGGTCGCGCTTTCCCTCAGCCAGAGGGGCCAGTCCACGCCGACGCAGAAGCCGGCCCAGCCGCAGCCGACCGAGAAGAAGGACGGCTTCGTCCTCGTCGATCGCGAGGAGAGGGAGTGGGTTGACAATGTCTGGAAGGGCGTGCGCGGCAAGGCTGGAAGGTTGGGCCTGTGAGCACGCCCTGGTGAGAGATCATAGAGAGCATGGTAGAAGTCACATATGCATTACAACTGCCACAGCTTGATCGTGGCCTCGGGCTCTATGCTGCCCGTCGCTACCCTCTTCCCTGATGGGTCCACAGCAACAGCGACGACCGGCGTGTTGTGCCCCTTCAGCGTCTGCAGGACTCTTCGATCTTGCAGATCCCAGATGACAGCACAGCCTTTCTCGCTGCCAGCGATCACGCACGCCGCGCGTTCCTCCTCCCTCACCTCCGTGACCTCTGTCACCTCCATGGTCTCCTCTGCATGCGCTGCGAAAACGAGAGCTGGCGAGGGATACCGCTCGCTGACGTAGTCGGCGTCACGGAATGTCTTGAGTACCTTCGAGTTGTACAGCGAGTATATTCTTATCGTGGATGATAAAGTCGCTGAGAGGATGAAGAATGAGCTCGGCGTGAAGCGTGCAGACCCGACAGGCGAGTTTGTCTCGTTGTCAAGTGTGCGGAGACACTGCGCTGTCGTGATGTCCCAGAGACGGCTGCATGTTAGCTCAGCTCAGCAGTCCTCTAGCTACACTCGCCGTCACTCACATCAGTCCATCTGCACTTCCTGTCAACACCAAACTGCCCTCCGAATCCCACCCGATCGTCCAGATCGCCTCGGCATGCGCTGGGAAACTCCGCAGTGCCGTCCCTCGTCGCACGTCCCAGACGATGGCGCTCTCGTCGAAACTTCCTGTCGCGATCAGGTTACCCCTTGGCCCCCATGCGCAGCAGAGTACGGGTGCTGTATGTCCCGTCAGTGTTCGCAGGGGCTCTGAGCGGTCCGATACGACTGGGTCGCAGCTGAACACTCGCACCGATGTGTCGTCGCTTGCTGTGGCCAGGTAGAGACCGTCAGGGGACAGGTCCAGCTCGTTTATTCCCGTACGGTGGGCGCGGAGACTCCGCTGGTGGGCTCCGGATTCCGCGTCCCAGGTGTGCACAAAGCCATCGGCACCTGCAGTCAGCTACCGTTTCCGACCTGGGTTAGCGAAGGGAGGTGTCGGAGGAGGAAAACGGCCAGGAGCCAAGAGGGGCTGCAGGAGGGTAGCACCTGGGTTAGGGAGTAATCAAAGGAGTCCCCATGCAAAGAACTCGGTGTCGGAGGAGAACAGGGATGGAGGGGTTCGGAGGGGACGAGGAAGGGGTCGTAGTCGCAAGAGCAATCGAGGCTTTCAGACTCACCAGCCGAGACGAGCGTCTTCCCATCGGGGGAGAAGCGGAGTGACGTGACACTCCTAGAATGCCCGTTCAGTGTTGCGTGCTCCTTGAAGCTGGGCTCGACGGTCATCTGTGCGATGCTACCTTCCCCTCAGCTCGATCATCTCTGCTCTCCGTGTCAACAATCTCGGCGACAAGCGACGCGCACTGGACAATGTAAGTCACGTGTCAACTGGCACGTGGCTTGACGTAATCGTGCGCTCTGGCGGTGGCGATGCGACGGCGATGCAATCGACGCCGCGATTCAAAGATTGCCCTGTTCTTTTGGAGGTTACGCAGTCTGCATGCTGCTTCCTGTCTCGACGATGGGTTTAATCGCGCTCAAGGCAGTGTAAACAATGACCCAACGACTAGCCTCACCCGGTCCGACACCCATGGCCGCTCCCTCCCCTCTTGTCCTTGCCCCCTGCTCACCCTGCTCACCCTGCTCCATTCTCCTTGTCCCCTCGCCGTGTCGGACCATGGTGTCCTGCAAGTTCCATATATGTCATTGTCTTGCCACTCACGTTTGAGGTTTGTCTGATCGTGGCCACCCACTTACTCTTTTCTCTCGACGCCCGAGCTCATCGCTGCTACCTCTCGCAGGCACGCAACACTCGCCGCGCACGCACCATCAGCTCCGAGCGCAACCCCGGACCCAACCTGGAACGCCAGTCTGTCACTGTGACCCCGACTGCGATCACCCCGGTCTCGATCGCGGTCCTTGCGCGCAAGGCCGTCGCCATCACCACCCCACCTTTTCCCCAGCCTTCACTTCCTCCTAGACTTCCTAGACTTGCTACGCTCGACCTCGTACCTCTGGCCCAGCTCACCCCAGCCTTCACCCAGATCCTAGACAAACCCCAGACGGCACCCCACTGCCCCGGGCGCAGACAGAACGCACACCCTGTCAACAACATATAAACCATTCACTAAGCCCGTCGACCTTGACCCCCTCAACAACCCTCACCTGTGCAACTAACAATCAGCTTTCAGCATGTTCCTCCTGAAGCGACGGAGCAGCTCGAAGCACCACCGCGCCTCGTCGTGGGGCAGTCTCCTTGACCGTCCCAAGATCCCTCCGGCGCCGGTCCCCGAGATCCCAACTTCTCGGTTGGACAAAGAGCCACCCTGCATCCCCGAGCTGGGACTGCTGGCGCGGCGCAACTCGATCTCCGGAGGGGTGGAAGAGACACTCACCGATGAGACTCAGTCCGCTGAGTCGGTCACACCACCGCGCGCCTCGACGCCAGCTCCAAGACCATCGACCCCAGCGAGAGCCTCCTCCCCTCGACCGTCGACCCCGATGGCTACCCCAAAGTCTGCACCGCGGCCGTGCACCCCCGCGCGCACCCCAAGCGGGGAGAAGCCCTCTGCCCCCTCAACGCCACATTACCAGAAGGCCCGCCCGTCGACGGCAGAGCCCACGCCAGAGCGGCGCATGTCGAGCCCGCCGCCTCGCAAGTCGTCTCCGCCCTCGCGCGCAGCAGCACTTAGGAAGTCGCTCCTCCCCGCGCGCAAGGCGAGCAAGATGGCAATGCCCGAGACACCCAAGAGATTCAAGGACAGCATCTCGGCACCGACTCCCGTGCCCGGACGCACGCCCTCGATGCCCTCTATCGATATCGGGGCGGCGGCGTCACAGGGGTCATCGCCACCGAGCCGCCGCCCCTCTATTCCCAAGTCGGATGAGGAGGTCAAGCCCCCTGACCGCCCGGACCGTACTCCAACGCCAGGCTGCGAGGCGACTGCAACAACCCGCCGCCCGCCCGCGCCGTCGTACAGCTCGGACTCGCTTCGCTCGAACGAGTACCGCCTCCCGTCCGCTTCGCCGAGTGACTTCCAGCGCACGATGGAGAGGCTGTCCCTCTCGGCCGTTGGATCAAGGCACTCGGTCGGCTACGGCTTCGTGCCGTACTTGCCTCTGTCCGAGTCGCCGGCGCCGATGACGCCGCCCCGTGTGGCCTCCCCGCCTGTCATTGCCACTCCACCTTCTCGGGCAAGCACGCCGCCGATCCGTGTCCACTCCCCGCCGACGATACGTTCCTACGTACCGCTCCCGCTTGAGCCGCAGACCACGGGGGTTAGCTACAATGAGCCGATCACGCGATACGCGACCCCGCTCTCGGTGCCGGAGCTGCCGCTGCCTCAGACCGCTGAGGTCCTGACACGCTCGACGTCTACCGCATCCTCCGGCTCTGGAGTGCCCTCTCTCTCCTCATCGCTCAACTCCTGCTCCGAGTCTGACGAGGATCTACCGCCGCTGCATCGTCCCTCACTCGCTGCCCTCGAGGCTGACGCCGACACCGAGGTTGACCCAGAACTACCGCCCTTCAATGCTCTACTCCTGTTACATAACGACAAGCCCGGCCGCAAACCCGTACCGAGGGAGACACTCTGGCGCCGTGCCAGCGTGGCCGGCGCGCCACCTGTGCCTCCGCGCCGCCGGTCAGAGGGCTGGCGCCTCGAGTTGCTCCGGATAGTGCGCGGGTTCGACGACGTGGCCACGGCGAAAGAGGAGCGCGACGTCGTGCGCAAAGTGGGAGATCCAGGGCTCGGGGAACGCGAGGCACTGAACGTTGTGCGCATGTTTGTGGATGAGATTCACGCCAGGGTTAGGCTTGGGGAGAGGTGTCGCGGGTTCGGGCTGTGAGGCCGCGTCTCTAGCTCGAGGCGAGAGGTGCCCGCGGCCGCGCTGAGTGTGGCATTGGACTCTTAAGACTGTGGAGTGCGGAGTGTGGAGCAAGGAACGATCATGTTGAAATCACAAACGCCCAGGGGCGTTTCATCTGTAGCCTCTATCGTACTCTGAAATGAAATGTGTCCACTTGTCTCTCCGATGGAGTCGCGGCGTTCTTCAGGTTCTGCTATGTAGGGTATTGTGTAGCGTTGCGAAGAGGACGTCATGCATGGCGGGGGTCGGAGGAATGCCGAAAGCTTAGGTTTCACGCCGCGGTCGAGATGTAGCCAGCGCGGCCGACAATGAAGGACGGCATCGGGTCCGTCTAAGGAAAGCAGAGCAGACGGCCTGAGCCTGCAGAGAAGCACGAGATCCCGAAGTTCACGGCAGGTGTGTCTTGAGCCGCTGACATCGGCCGTTGTCACGGCACGACGAACCAAACTGGACAAGTGTGCACCGCTCTGATCGGCACTCTAAGGACATACTGAGCATGAACAATCAACCGCACCTTCGGGCACACCTTGCATGTTCTTTGTTCAAGGTGCGGCCACCCTTGGCCACCTTTGGTCGCTGTGCGCTCCTTTCGATCATGGTTCCGCACTGCGTCCAGAACTCGGGGAACTGGGATGAGCACTGTGCGCGCGTGACTTGCTTCGCTCCGCTGCCCGTGCCCACCGCGGCATGACGAGGGTACAAAGTCACAGGCGGTCGCACACTGACCGCCGCGCGCATGCTCGCGGTTGCGACACACGCAAGTGGCAAGAGGTGTGCCCCGGTCTGGACACCTGGAGCAGGCACAGAGAGAGGCACAAGTGAATCTTCAGGAGGGTGTTTCACCCATTTCACGATAATCTCGACCGCAGAACGAGATTCGGGAAATGGCCCCAGCTGCCACTCAACACCACCCCACCTCCTCTCCAACCCTCACTTCCGCATCTGACCTTACTCCTTCGAGCCCTCCTGGTGACAAGTGAAATGTGAGGATTCTGGAACCCTAGAGCGAGGTGGGGTGTTCTGAAGGTACTGGGGAGTGTGAGAGGAGTGGCAACACTGAAACAACCTCGATGCCCGCAATCTTCCAGCACCGCCACCAGATCAACCAGCATCACTCCGGGTTCCACCTCGGCACCAGCGTCGTGAAGCGTTCACTTACGGCCCGGCCACGTCCTCGTTGTTTGAGACAGAATGCCAGATCCCGAAAACACACCGGAAACACACCGGAAACAACCGGCTTCGGACACATTTCGGAGTTCAACATCCTCCACTCCTCAACAACTTGGGGTCACATGAAAGCGGGGATGGGCACATCACCCCTCCGTCAAACGTGCGGAGGAGTCGATTCTGACAAAACCCATATGGGAGATGACACCCCCTCATGGACTTCATGCACGAAACCCTGCAAAGGATATGTCGAAGGAGAAACCGGGCCCGGACTTCCGGACAGCTGACGTCGCGTTTCCACAATCCTGGGATCCTGTCGTCCCAACCTCGCCGAGAGCATGAAACGCCCCCACCCTCACTCACCAAGGAACTCGACTCTGACACGTCGCAGGACACTGACACGTCTCACCACTCATGACACGAATATCGTTGCATATGCTGCTCCATATACACTATCCCGACGCATAACTGATACGGTTCAGGACTGGTGCGGCTGAATCCTGCAGGCTTCCACGGAGAAAGCTAGGCACCCTCGTCTGGGTCTATTGTTTACTCTTTATCTCGCTTCCACGTCTCTGGACCTCTTTGGACCCCAGCCTGGAGCGTCATTGTCACACCTGCCACCATGCGGGATGAGACACGATGCATCTCGAGTTTCACGTGTGGCGTTTGACATCCTGCTTCATGTCCGCGTCACCTCATCACCTCTCGTCCACGCCCTGCGTCTCATCCTTCTCGGGCTCGACCCTACGGCTCGTCGACCCTACCTTCATCGGAACTCCGATCTCCCCTCCTTACCTTCCTATCACTTTTCGTACTCGCTCTGTCCCCGGCTCTCATATATAAGTGCCGCCCATCTCGTTGCGTTAAACCCCATCCACAAGCTCACCATGAGCATCCCCACCTCACCTCCACCACTCCGCATCCAAATCCCCGTCCCACCCCTCACCCCTCCCCTGCCACCGCCAGCAGCACCAGCGAGCAATGCCTCACTGACGCCGCTGGAACGGTACAAGTCCCCCCGGCCCAGTTGGGGGTGGTATCCGCCCTCTGCGCATCTGAGGCCCGCGAGGGTGGTGACGCTCACGGCGAGGGGCACGTTCACCATCTAGCACTCTTCTTATGGGACGGGAAAAAGAATCGACACGATGTCAGACGACACGAACGACATGAGAGTTCGAGCTGGATCTCGACTTTAGCGGCTGGACCGGACCGATGTGGCTGGACCACTCCACGATGGAGGGCGGCGCCCTCACCATGACTCAGCCGGACTGAGCACCACGCAGCCGGCCTGCAACCATTACTCGCGACCGGATCGCAACAACAGCAGGAACTGTTTTCAGCGCAGCAGGATCTGCATCTGACAGCTGGTCTGTCATCTATCCACAGCAGGACCGTACCCAACAAGACCACAAGACGACAAGACGACAAGCAGCAGGCTTCCTCCTGTCTAAGAGTCACGGACTCCCTTCCGCTATACCACATATACCCAAGATAACCAGAACGACCATACCCCCCAGAATGACCATATCCGAGAACAGACACCCAGAATCCAAAATCGACCGCAATGCTATACAGTACCACCCCTTTCCCCTCCTCCACTCTAGACCAGACCCAGACCCAGGCTCCAGACTCGACTCTGACTCCAGACTCCAGACTCCAGACCCGATACTGTATCCATAGGCCTCCACATAGAACCGAATGTATCCTTGTCCTCGACCTCCTTCCCACCCCCTCGCCCTAGCGCCCTCCTCACATTCTCAATAGCTTAACCGCCACTGTTCAATGTGCAGAGAGGGTAACTTACGTAATCTGTACTTCAGGACACCCCACGTGCTAACACCCTGAACTCTCGCCCTGTCGCGCTTGCCCCGCCCTGCCCGCCCTGGTGCCTCGACGCGTACAAGCCCAAAAGAGGTAAACACGGCGCGTCGAGAGGTCCGTCCACGCGTCGATTCTCACCTCCCTGCTCCATGGTCAGGTCGACTTTGCGCCCGCACACCTTTGCGATCGGGTGGCCACCGAACTACACCGCAGACCAGATGCAACCACACTTCCGATTGATGCAGTAGTTAGATATCTCGAGGATACTCGGCACCAGCGGCCAGCGGCCTAGCGGCCGCCAGTGCCTGCGTAGAAGATGAAATGGCGTTCATTAAACTGTGTCTCACATACGGAAAACTATCGCCGCCGCTCGCATCTCAGAGACACTGCACGGACAACGCTATATTCATACCACGCACGCACCCACCGAAAACAGCAGAAGGAAGCAGACTTAGTACTCCTCGGCGTACTCCTCCTCGTCCTCGGCGCTCTCCTCGCCGACCTCCTGGTAGTCCTTCTCGAGGGCGGCGAGGTCCTCGCGCGCCTCGGAGAACTCGCCCTCCTCCATACCCTCGCCGACGTACCAGTGCACGAAGGCGCGCTTCGAGTAGAGCAGGTCGAACTTGTTGTCGAGGCGGGCCCAGGCGGTCGCGATCGAGGTCGTGTTGGAGAGCATGCAGAGCGAGCGCGAGACCTTGGCGAGGTCGCCGCCGGGGACGAGCGCGGGGGGCTCGTTGCAGATACCGAGCTTGAAGCCGGTGGGGCACCAGTCGACGAACTGGATCGTGCGCTTCGTGCGCACGTTGGCGACAGCGGCGTTGACGTCCTTGGGGACGACGTCACCACGGTACAGAAGACAACAGGCCATGTACTTGCCCTGGCGGGGGTCGCACTTGACCATCTGGTTGTTGGACTCGAAGCACGAAATGGTCATCTCGGCAACAGAGTTGGACTCGTGGAACGCCTTGTCAGCAGAGATGACGGGGGCGTAGGTGGCGAGAGGGAAGTGGATACGGGGGAAAGGAACGAGGTTGGTCTGGAACTCGTTCAGGTCAACGTTGAGCGAGCCGTCGAAACGGAGCGAGGCAGTGATCGACGAGACGACCTGGGCAATCAGGCGGTTAAGGTTGGTGAAGGAAGGAGAGGCAATGCCGAGGTTGCGGCGACAGATGTCGTAGATGGCCTCGTTGTCGACCATGAACGAACAGTCAGAGTGCTCGAGGGTCGTGTGGGTCGTGAGAACCGAGTTGTACGGCTCAACAACCGAGGTGGACATCTTGGGGGCGGGGTAGACCGAGAACTCGAGCTTCGACTTCTTGCCGTAGTCGGTCGAGAGGCGCTCAAGAAGGAGCGCACCGAAACCGGAACCGGTTCCACCACCGAACGAGTGGAAGACGAAGAAGCCCTGGAGGCCGGAACAGTTGTCGGCGAGACGACGAACCTGCTCAAGGACAGAGTCGACGAGCTCCTTGCCAATGGTGTAGTGACCACGGGCGTCTGACGCGGGTTAGCTTGATTCTCGTCACGCTAAATTGCTAAATCGAGCCACTCACAGTTGTTGGCGGCATCCTCCTTGCCGGTGATCATGGTCTCCGGGTGGAAGAGCGAGCGGTAGGTGCCGGTGCGGACCTCGTCGATGACATTGGGCTCAAGGTCAACCTGTGGAGTGTCAGTTGCGACCGTGGAAAGTCACAACTTACGTAGAGCGAACGGGGAACGTGCTTGCCGGAGCCGGTCTCGGAGAAGAAGGTCGAGAAACCGTCGTCGTTGTGCGAGGGAGAGCCCTCCATGAGGCGGCCATCGGGCTGGAAAGGGAGTCAGCATCGCGTGCACGGGTGATACGCCACGTCGTTGGAATCGTCGCAGGTTCAGGTCCCTTGCGCGTTGGTCCCGCAGCTGCGGCCGCTTCTCTGCCGCCATCGTACTCACGCTGAGGCCGTGCTCAATGGTGTAGAGCTCCCAACAGGCGTTACCGATCTGGACACCTAAGAAAAAAGTCAGCGACACTGCGTGTCTCGAGCTCCGCTGCTTGACGCTTGCAAGCGCCAGCGGAACATTCTTCTGGGCAACGTACCGGCCTGACCGACGTGAACCTGGAAAGGGTCAGTGCGTGCTCTTCTTTCAGACTTTGGCTATCGCTTGCTGCGGTCGCTCGTTCGGCGATGCAGCAGCAGACTGCGCAGCGGGGTACTCACGGAGATGACCTCACGCATACTGTTAACTGTTGAAAGGAGTGGTTAGGATTACTGGGGCGGTTAACAGGACTGATCGAGTATCTGCAGTGGAAAGGGAAAGCGATGTGGAGAATGATGGATTTGGCGGCTAAACAGAGAGTGTCAAAAGGTAGCGCGCGTTGGACGTGTCTGGAAATGGAGGTCCGAGTGGGCGGAAGAGAGCGGGAGCGGGGGTGGGGAATGAAATGGATCGAAGGCGGCGGCTGTCCGGTGGTGAAGGGCGATGAGGGGGTTTGTTGGTGTGGTAGGGTGCGGTGGGAGGACGCGTGGAAGGGGAGGGGTTTTCAACGGCGACGAGGTCGGGATTGGCGAGGGCGCTTGCTACTCACGATTAAAGAGATGAAGTGGACGAACCTGGAAGAGAGAGATACTTTTGTCCGCTGACAGTCGTACTCTTTTGAGAGAGACGGAGTGATGAGAGAGAACAAAAGTAGGATGGGGGGTGTTGCAGCAAGAGTCAGAAGACGAAAGCAAGAGACGGTCCAGGCAGGAGGGCAGGCGCTAGGATGTTAGGCCAGGACAGAGCTGGACGCAGCGGTGTGTTGACTGGCCGGCTGCCTGAGCCTGAGCCTGGCAGGGGCGGGCTGGGCTGGCTGGCCCCGCTGGCTGGCTGGGTACAGTGTACGCTGCATACGCTGGGTGCTGGGCATGGGCGTACGGGCGTACGGGCGTACGGGCGTGTCTGGGTGCTGGGACCTGCAACGCGCAACCTGACTGGACGCGCCGCCCTGGCTCCTGCTGAGCAAAGAGAGAGCCTGAGCGCGTCCGCCCGCTCTAGCTTCGCAACGCGTTTCTCTCATCCCCTCCACCCACCACACCGTGGCCCGGGACCTAGCCCCAGGGTCACCACCACCTGTACCCTTGCATCCTTGCCTCCTTGGCCTTACACCTTGCCCATGCTCGCACACCACTGCTGCTGCTGCATGCTGCATCCTTCACGGAACCAAATAAACGCGCATGTCAACAATCAACAACACACCTCAACTCCCACCGTACCCACTCCCGGCCTTAGCCGTATTCCCGCATGTGGCTGTCCCACCACGCTGGGACTACTCAGGTACCATCAAAACAATCAGTCCAAGCAATCCATCTACGCGTCGTCTATCTGCTGCCTCTACGTTTTACACTGGGCTAGGCACTGACCGTCGGGGTCACCGCGCGCAACGCGCGCTCCAACAGCCCACCTTAAGCTACGGGCCTAAAGCCCTGCCATCTCACACTAGCGCACGCAGCTTATTCTTGCTTGTTTCTGTTGTCGTCGCCATCGCAGTGAGCAATCAACCAGCTGCGCCAGTCCTTCAGCACACGCTGCCGCTTCTCATCGTCCGCAGCATCGATTCCCACCTTGCACATCACTGGGAGCCCCGTTAGCATATCTGTCTTTCTCATCTCAGAGCCACACTCACCGTGCTCATACCCGTCGTACAGCTTGAACGACTTGTCTGCGTTGGGCAAGCGATGGAACAGGCGTTCCGTGGCGGCGGGCGACGTTGCACGGTCCGCCGAGCCGTGGACAAGCCGGATAGCTGGTGGGTGAGATCAGCATCGAAATCTTCGATTCCACCCCGTAACGCGTGACGGTCAGACAGCCGGGCTGCCGTACTGCACTGCGGCAGAGACAGCCCGACGGGTGGTCCGTGCGCCGCCTAAACCGCTCGCAAAAGCGCTTTCTTGCGCCATGCAACGATAAGCACCAGGGTCTGAAGAGATCCACATGGTGAATGGTGCGGGTTGCCCTGCAGCCCGAGCGTTGCAGACACGTCACTCGTGGTCCGAGGAAGACGCTTGATTCTGTACTTACGGACATCAATCTTCTCCGCATCCTTGTCCAGCTCCTCCATGCCCTCCAGAAGGGAGAGGCCGGTACCGACACGCAGGAGACCATGGTAGCAGAGAGCTGTCGTCAGTTAAGGAAGACCGTTTGCCAACTCACGGTCGGAGAAGAAATCGGCCTCCACTCTCGGGTCGTCGGAAACATTGCCTCGGACGGCCTTAGCGAGTGGTAGGGAGCCTGCGAAGTACTTGATACCCTTTGCAATGTACTCAATCAGAGCGCTAGGTCGCGATTCCGGAGACACGTCGACCATGGGGCAGAGCACGAACGCGCCGGCAATGTTGGGCCGCGGTGCACCCTCATGGGTATCAGCAATCGCACTCTCTGAGGAGCTCGGTGGGTACTTCAGGACATAGTACAGGCTGCTGTCAGCTCGGAAGATCCGACCGGGTTTGTCACATACACTGTCCAAGCGCCCATGGAACTGCAGAGTCAGCTGTTGCGTTCCAGACTTATCGTTGCACTTACGCTCCGCTGAGGAATACCTGACGCTGGTGGCGGCCGCTGGAGATGTCCCAGTGTGCGACGTCACTGAGCACAGCGTGGACAGCGGCGGGGAGAAGGTTCAGAGAGGGAAGGTAGGAGTTGATGCCCGTCGAGCGTCCGTACTGTCTGTTAGCTGAGAGCTCCGAACACAAGCCCAAGCTGCTTCTGGGCTCACAGAAGGAAGGTCTGGGATGATAACGCGGAAGCCAGCTTTGAGGAAGTGGAGGACATGGGGAGCGTACCTCAGTCCGTAGTCGCTAAGGCCTGGCTGTCAGCTTGCGAAAAGTCGTTGGGGAGGGGGGAGGCTAGACTTACCATGGACGAGAAGCAAGTCGCGATTCAACCCCTTGCCGCCTTCCTCCCAACCACCTTGCGGCTCCTTGTCAAGCTTCCAGACAGAGTAGAAGACCCAGCGGCCACCGCGCTTCACGCCCGATGCAAGCTCCTCGGGTTTCAGCTGGACTTCCTCGGAACCGATGATCTCGCATGAGTCGTAAGCTTCCTCCAGCGTGTTGAACTCCTTGTAGGGCTTGAGGAAGACACGACGCCAGACATGCTTGACATCGGGATTGTTGATCAGCTCGAGGTGGGGTGGGTGATGGGGAAGGAGGTAACGACCATGGGCTGCATGCGTCAGCACATTCCGCAACTTGCATGTCTGGGATGTTCGGCATATGTGGTGGGGTCAAAGGACGATCGAGTGAGGCGACTCGAGTTGGTGCACTCCATGTGACTGCGACGGAGCGGCGGAGTGACGTCTGCTCGTCTGACTGTGCTAGCTCCGATAGCCTGACGTGAGAGCGGAGCTCACTTACTAGGGTCGGGGTTGGTGTAGAGATTGGCAGCCACGAGATAGGGCTCAACGACCTCCCTGTATGCGATCAGCTAACGGTTCCGGAGCAGCGCTGCAGGCAAACGTACCAGAGGGGGTTTCCGAGAGGCATGATAAGAAGATAAGGAGCGTATAAGGTTAGGAGGATCAAAGGTCCGATGGAGGAAGGTGGGATGCAAGAAGGCGTTCGTGATCCGGCAACGAAAACAAAATGGAAGCTGCGGTGGGGCCTGAAACGTGAATAGGAATAGATTAGTCCGGCGCGCGTGTGTGCCCAGCCAAGCCACGGTTAGCAGCCCGGCGGCGGCCTGCTACGTCACCCCCCGTGTCACCGCCGGCCCATCGCCTGCGCGCCTGGGTAGTCTGGGTGAATATCGGTGGTCAAGTGGACGCCGCCACTGACGAGCGGCCCTGACAGAGTTGGCAACGGCCAGTAGTGGAGAGGGATGATACGCAGCATGAGCCACGCCGCCAATCGCCTTTCGCGCCTGTCGCCGTCAGTCCGAGGTCCACGGTCACAATCCGTTGGATGCCGATGTCGTGCCCTTGCGATGCGGTCATACTTTCTGTAATCGATCGTCCACATACCACCGCCATCCGTTTGCATCTTCGTCTGCGCATTCATTCAGTCAGCCTCAAGCACACACTCATCTCTTCTCCAATTCTCCACATTCTTTTCGACACATTGTTTCTCATCCTCACCCCTTTCTGCTTCACACGTCACTGCATATTACCCAAGGAACACTTTCGCTTTATCGTCAATCTCTCCGAGTCGTCTCCGTGAGGTGAGTATCACTTCGCCTCTCAGCTACGCAATCCATCTCGCTTCCAGCGGCGACGCGATTTTCGATTTTTGAGCACGTACAGCTGCCCGCCCATCACCCCACTATATCTTGCCAGATTCCGACCGGCGATCGACCGAGCATCTCGGCAGCCCTGTGTGCACGCCTGAGGTGGCCTGCTACAGATGCACAGTCGTCGTCATCCGAGGACTGCTTGGCACTGGAGACCATTCCTCTGGCTACCAGCCTGTCCCCCTGCCTTTCGCTTGACTGAATGCCTCGGCTGGCGCCGCCTCTGGATCTTCCAGACTCGGAAATCGTTAGCGATGGCGGGAAGCGTTTGAGTCGTCGCCACAAAATCTCAAAAGTCGATCTCGGACACACGCCGATGTGGACAGATCCCCCGCTAACCGCCTCCAGACTCTGCTCACACAGTCACTTCGACCTCGCATTCCCATCTCTCAAAGACACACTCCACCGCACACTGAGACTCGACACTGCCCACCGTCTTAACGATGGCGGCCCCGACAGCCGAAGTCAACCGCACTCCTGTGAGCAGCTTCCGCCGAACTGCAGCTGATAAGCTAGCTTCCCCACCCTAAGGGCGTTGTGTACATTGACTCGGACATCGCCTCGCCCACTGGAAATGGTGGTGGCGACGCACCTCAGGTCCGGGCGGTCAACGCCGAAGCCGCCGAGTACTATGGTGGACAGCCTGTGCACAGCCGTGCCCGCACGCTCAGCACAGTGGGTACTCCCGGGTCGGCGCAACAATTGTTGACTAGCAGGCCGGGCTCAGAGCTTCGAAGCCTCTGACTATGGACGGCGAGGTCATTCCCCGCAGCCGCCGTCTCTCGCACGGTGGGTGCGACAGGCTCAGACGATCCGCTGATTGTGACAGATGAGGTCGGCTCCACTCCCCGCAGGTTCCTTGTCGATGTGGAGGAAACGATGCGCATCGTACTTGCGCAGGAAGACACGGACAACAAGTGAGCTGCCAAGACTATGTTCTCAGAAGCTGACAGACAGCTGTCAGATCTCCATCTTCGACTCGGGTCCCAAGGTTATCTCTCTCGGAACTGCGAGCTCCAATGCCTACCGGAAGTGGGATGTTCGCGTACGTGGTCTTGCGGTGTGCGTGGGCTGTCGGCTGATGTCCAGGGAAACTACATGCTCTCCAACCTCCTGCAGGAGCTGGCGCTCGCGCGCGACTACGGTCGCCGCTTCATTGTCCTCGACGAGGCGCGCCTCGCGGAGAACCCGCTCGACCGTCTGTTGCGCATGATCAAGCACTCGTACTGGAACACTCTCACTCGTCGCATGGATGCCCAGGGTATTGAGATTGCCTGCAACGACCCCAAGAACCGCTCTCGCCATAACACGGCTCGTCTCTACGTCCCGCACGGTGAGACTGAGATGCTCGAGTACTATGAGCAGATTGCCAAGGAGCGACCCCACCTCAAGTTGAAGGTCATTCAGTTGCCTAAGGAGTGCGATGACCCCGAGTACGTCAAGTCGCTCAACGAGAAGCCAGGAATTCTGGCCCTCGCGATGAAGAAGGGGACAGACGGAAAGCTGGAGGCTTTGCCGTTCGCCGTGCCGGGAGCTCGTTTCAACGAGATGTACAACTGGGACAGTGTAAGTTGCATCCAGGTCCTCCAAGCTGACGCCCAGTACTTCATGGCACTCGCTCTCCTCGTTGACGGACGGTTGGACCTCGCCAAGTCCATCGTTGACCACTATGCCTTCCAGATCAAGCACTACAACAAGGTTCTGAATGGCAATCGCACCTACTACCTCTGCCGATCACAGCCCTGCTTTGTGACCGACCTGGCGCTGCAGGTGTTCAACCAGCTGGACCGCACCAAGCCTGAGGAGAACAAGGAGTGGCTCCGTGGAGCCATCAGCGCAGCAATCAAGGAGTATCACCGCTACTGGATGCAGGAACCGTCGCTCGACGTTGAGACAGGACTGTCTCGCTACCGCCCCAAGGGATCTGGTATTCCCCCAGAGACCGAGGCCACGCACTTCACGCACATCCTTGAGCCGTACGCGGCTAAGCACCGAATGTCGATCAACGACTTCATCGAGCACTACAACGACGGCACGCTGAAGGAGCCGGAGCTCGACGACTACTTCCAGCACGACCGCGGAGTGCGTGAGTCGGGCCACGACACCTCGTACCGCCTGGAGAAGAAGTGTGCGGACCTTGCGACCGTCGACCTCAACTCGCTGCTGTACAAGTACGAGATCGACATCGCGTCTGCGATCGAGTGTGTGTTCGGCGACGAGTTCGTGCTCGAGGAGGAGTTCGAGCTCTCGCCGTGGCCCATCACTCACGAGAACTTCGAGGCAGGCGCACCCCGCGTCAAGTCGACCGACAAGCCGATGAAGAGCGCCGAGTGGTTCGAGCGCGCCCGTGCCCGCAAGGAGCGCATGGACGAGTACCTCTGGAACGAGGGACGCGGCATGTACTTCGATTATAACACGAAGAAGGAGCGCCAGACCAACTACGAGTGTGCCACGACGCTGTGGCCGCTGTGGGCGGGCTGCGCTAGCGAGGACCAGGCGCTTAAGCTTGTGTAAGTGCTGCGAAATGCCTCACGATTTAGCTGACGTCAGTCACCAAGGTCTCCCGAAGATCGAGGTTGCGGGTGGTGTCGTCGGCGGAACGGAGGAGTCGCGTGGTCCCATCTCGCTCGACAGGCCTAATCGGTGAGCCGCTGATTCATGACGGCGACACTAACCTGCAGTCAATGGGACTTCCCGTACCTCTGGGCTCCGCACCAGATCATGGCCTGGGTTGGTCTCGAACGCTACGGCTTCATGACGGAGGCGTCGCGCCTGGCGTACAGGTGGCTGTACATGGTCGTCCTGACGTACTGCGAGAAGGGTGGAGTCGTGGTGGAGAAGTACGATGGTGTCGGCCTCTCGCACCTTGTCGACGCGGAGTAGTAAGTTTTCTACCAGCTGTTGTTCCAATCCAGTAGCTGACCATCAGCGGCAACCAGGGCGTCGGATTCAAGTATCTCTCCCGCGAGGGCTTCGGATGGACGAACTCGAGTGTCTCGATCGGCGTCCAGTTCCTGACGACGGGCATGCGCCGCGCCGTGTCCAACCTGACCTCGCCGTGGGAGTACTTCGACCTGCCTGTGCCCGACGAGCCGGCGATCCGCTCCCGCGAAGATAGGGCCAAGTACGAGGCCGACGCCGAGCGCAACAAGGAGCGTCCCCGCCGCTCCTCGGGCGTCTTCACCAAGACGTTCGAGCAGGCCGTCCAGGACCTGAAGAGCATGAAGATGTAAGCACCGCGAGCGAGGGAGCGCGCGCTATACCCGTTAGGAGCCAGCCCCAACTATCGGTGCGCACTGCCAAGGACAGGCACCGGAGAACCGAAACGCAGTGAATGCGCGTCGAGCTAAGGCGGTAGAAGCAAATCGTGTAGTCATTGTAACTCGCAAACAATAACAACAACAACAGCAACAACTAGAAATGTGAGAGCATTGGAATAGACCGTGAGCATGGAGCGTCCATGGATCTTATGGATGGCACTAACCACTGACTGATGTGGAGGTGCCGGACGACGTACTAGCATGTCGCTACTAATAGATGAAACGCCGTCACAGTTCGCGTCGGAGCCGAGTTGTCGTCGAGCGGCACATGGTGCGGCACGGAAAGATCCTGCTTGTCGTCGAGCGGCACTGATGTCGGACTGGGGGGGTTCTGTCTGCCGATGAGTGGAACACGATCGGTCACGGTATGCTTTGCGACACCCGGCCGATGTGCCGTAAGTCGAGTGTCATCGTCAGTGCTCGCCAAGTCATCCTTCAGTTCTCTGTCGGCCGTCCGGCAGTCATCAGTCCCCAACGTTAGGCCAGTGTGGTGTTCGGAGAATTCGTGAAGGTCGATCGACCGTCAACCTACGACTCCCTCGGAGGTGAGAGGGGCCATCGGCATGCTTCCGCTATCCAACGAGCGGCCGCGAGTCGGACAACGTCGACCAATGTGGTGTTCAAGAGGGACCTTGTGGTGCTCAAACGACCGTGTGGTTATCATTCGCCGCGGCCGGCCCCCCGCAGCATGCACTGCCATTGCATTCAAATCATCAATCGCGAGATCAAGTATTCTATAGTCCACATGGGTTCCAGATGACCAGGTGGGCAAACCGGCCAGTCATCAACAAGCCACCAGCCACTCTATTACCATCGCTGCCATCACATTCAGATCTCCTCGTTAGCGTCGATAACGAGTGCGAAGGACGCGCCTCCTAATCACCCTCGTTATTACATTCAAAGTCTGCATGTTGACAAGCCTGGAAGTCAGTAACCACCCCAGGGTGGTAGAGTCCAGTGTCCTGTACGTATCCTGCACGCTATCCTGCAGGTTTCGAAGCAAGCGCCAACCGATCCGAAACCGTCACGCACCCGGCTTACGACGATCGCTCCTGGGCAGTCCTGGAGGTCAGGCAGGGAGATCTAAGGTGTCTCACACATCCGCGAAGCGCAACCCTGCAGTGTTGCAGGATCTGGAAGAGAACGAAGGACTGAAACAAGACGAGGCTGAGGAAGAGTACGACGACGACACCGAAAAGAGCTCGGTCGGGTTCGAACTGTCACTCCTTCCATTCCGGCGACGCCGAGGTGACTAGCAGCAGCAAGGAGTCTCGGGAGGCCTCGCCGCACTGCGGGCAGCGGATCACACTGCGGTTGTCACCAGACCATGGTGACTGATCGCCGAGTAAGCTTCCGAAGACTTGCGGCGGAGTTGGCAGGAGTCGTAGACTACAGTGGCACCGAAGTCGTCACCGAGCCAGGTGACCACGACCAGGCGTCGTACTTCCAGACGTAAGCCAGTCGTACTGCTAAACGTACGCCCGTCGTGGTCGCGTCGCACTCACTGTCGTACACCTACAAGTCAACCGCGCTACGTCCACTACATCCATGCAGCCGCTGTCGTAGGCGAAGCGGAATATGTGGCAAAGCTGCGTTCTAGCCTCCTCTGCAAATCGCTCTCCACTGAATCGCCCATAGTACAACCTCTATGACCACCACCGACAAGTCTGGGCACACGGGCCATAGAATATGCATGTCGCCGCAATGGGCAGTGACTAGACCACATGGGGTGACCCAGTTTTCTCCACCCCACTCTGTGGTTCCTAAACGGCGATCACAGCAGCCCACGGACGCAACTCTAGGAAGGACAGAAAGGACGTAAAGGACTTTGGAAGCAAAGGAAGCTTTCCTCGACGTCCCTGCTGGGGTCCTGCTGGGGTCCTGCTCCTGCTAATGTTAGCCTCGGCGCCCAGACAGCGATCGGGGAACGCAACGTCGGAGAACGAGGTCGTCGGAAATCGAGGCTCGAAGGTGCGCTATCGGGTTGGAACGACCGCATGACCACGAGTTCGAGCGGGCACGGTGTCAATGAGCATGTCCGCAAGCTCTGGGCTGCCACTGTAGTTGCTGTCGGAGAGTTACAGCACGTCGGTTCGGGCTTCGCGAAACTCCAGCCGAAGCCTGTTGTAAATCCGACATTCTCTCAGGCTACATGCAAAGAGTATTACGCGATGTTCACGCTAGTGCTTCACCAGGTGCGCTGACATGGTGTCAGGTTCAGTCGTCGCGTCGCGAGAGAGCGATGCTCTAGCGACCTCGTAAGTTGGCCAGCAGGGCTTGCAGGACGATTTATGCGTAATCGTCCCTCACCGATGTCCCGGGAGATTCTTGGAGACATGACAACCCGTCGCTCTCGTGTGCGCGTGCGGTGCGTGTGCAGTGTATCCTGACCGCTGCCCGTCGCCGTAAGTTGTACGTTGACGAGAACCCAAAGAAAGTTGTGCAAGGATGCAGAACGGTGCAAAGGGAGGACAGAGGCAAGGGTCCGTCGCGATAGGGACAAGGCGACCCTGGGTCGACAACTCGGCGTCCTGCAAGGTACAAGGCATGGACACGAGGGATCGCGAGGGACATTTGATCAGACGGGTACTCACCTCTTTTCGTTCGAAAACTTCCTTGACACTCCCTCAAGGACTCGAACAGCCGCGGCAGCGGCTCGATCAGTGTCAGTGCGAGCGCCGCGGCGCGGCAGATAAGCACATGTGGTACAATGCGCCGCCGGTCCCGTCCTTCGCTCGGCGAATCGAAGACGAGCCCGATCAAGGCTTCCAAGCCGTATCAACAATTCATTAGGGCCCGACAGGGCCGACAAGCTTACGAATGTCTAAATATATACAACTCATCGCGGGGAGGTACGTTAAAAGCAATGTGTAGAAGACAGATTGGGGTGTAGCGAGACAAGCAGATGGAAACGACGTCATTGTTGAGTTCGGCGTGCAGGAGAGATGTGAGCCGCGAGGCACGCGGCGCAAGAGGGTGTGGCGTGATGAGTCCCGGGCGCGGGAACGGCGCCGGGCAGTCACCCTCCCGCGGCTTACATGGCCACAGCGATGAGGGCGGCGACGGCGACACCAGCGACAGCGACAGAGGCAGTCAGCGCCGATGCGGTGCTGTTGGCGGCCGCAGGCGAGGTCTGAGGCTGGTTCTGGGCGGGGGACTGGGTCGCGTTGCCTTCGGGGGTGGGGCTTGCATGAGTCTGGTTCTGGCCAGGCTGGGCGTTCTGAGGCTGCTGCTGGGATCCATTCAGGTTACCCCCGTTCGAGCTCGGGGGCGCGTTGGTCTGGTTCTGTCCGTTCTGCCCGCCTGTCTGCCCGCTTCCAGAGCCGGACCTGTCGTCAGCCCTGTCTTCGTCATTAAGCGGGCTCCGGGTTGCCCTCCCTAGTTGGCGGAACTCAGGCGGCACCTCGCGTTACTTACGTCACGTTGACTGCCTCGGAGAGACACTTGTCGTCGAACCCGTCCTGGACCATGACAGGGGACGAGTAGGCGGTCGTGCCGGTTGCATCGGTGATGCGGATCGTAACGTCGGTCCCCGAGCGCAGGTTCACGACCCACGTGAATGCAGTTCCCTGCTGCGGGGGAAACTTGGCCAGCGGCGCAGCACTCGCCTGCCCCGCAGGAATGGCAGAGGGGTAATACGGCGCCTTACCGTTCGCCCACGAAAGCTGCACCGGCTGGCACTGCACGAGGGACGCCTAATGTTAGCTTCGATTTCTTGTGGATGGTAGCAGGTGAGAAAGAGGCGAGGACTTACGGGAGTGTTGATAGTGAGCGCCTGGCCGCTCGCGACGGCGGCCAGGGTAGTGACGACAGAGAAGACGAGCGAGAACATCATAGGAATGGATCTGAGCAAGACAAGTGAGCAAGGGCGTGTGGAATATGGAGGAAGAGGTGCCGGACGTCATGAGAGGTCTGATGAACAATGCCTTTTATGCTGTCACCGCCGTCATACACAGCGGTGGCGATGAGAGGGGCACTCTCCGATGAACAACGGCAGCTCCATTGGCTAACGACGTTTCCTGCTGTTGCACACTTCCAGGAGGGCGTCGTTCACCGCGTGCTGCGCATCCGGAAGGGGCAGGAAGAATGAGCAAGTGACCTGTCTGGCTCATCGCCTCGCACGGGGAGACCGTAAAGACAGATAGTCAGTCTGGCCATCGAGTCATGGTGAGAACGGCATCAGCCTCATCTTCACCGGTACGTCAGCCTGTTCGTCAGTCAAATCCACACAACTAGACACACACAACTAGAGGATCTGCCACACAGCGTGTCGCGGATGTCCCCTGGAATGGCTGCTCTTATCTTCATGACATCACCCTGCATACGCGAGCAAGCTCGAGTCAGCTGCCGCAGGGCGAGGCCAGCTGTAACCGTGCGCTCCGCGAAGGTCTAGGGGGAGTATGCCGTGCCTCTCGTGGCAATGGACACCGCATGGAAGCGATCGGGTCGGCTTCATCCTGCATCCCCATCAGTAGGTCGTCAGATGGCCCCAGACAATTGAGCGATGTCGAAGCACGAAACGATCGCGCCGCATAGCTGGTCGATCACGAGCGGCTGCTTGTCCCATGGCACCACCCTCAAAGTGAGGACCGACGTAGTCGACGCACGGGGCGCTTGGGCGCGTGGGTGTCTCGATCTCGTCAGCGAAGTTGTCAGCGCAGCACCCCATCGGACGGCAGAAGATGCTCTGATCGCCCGATCATCCGACACAGCGCCCTGGACCCAGTAGTGCTGCGCTATCTCAGTCGTAATGTGGTGGAACTGCTCGAAGCCTCCTGCCGAAGCACAGAAACCAGTGCGTAGCGCCCTTTGCGTCCTTCTGACGGGCCTATTTCCACGCTTGAGCTGCTGAGACGATTCAGAAGAGGGCGACGCGCTGTGTGGATGAGATGCATCGAATCTGATCTAGTGAGTTCCGAGCACTGAAGCAATACAACGCAAGTCCTTCCGAGAGACCTAGCGGCCGCCAAGCAGTTCTACACTCTTCTAAGCCCGCTGGCGGCCGCGTCCGAAACGCCGTCTGAGCTCGAGCACGAGCACACACCATCTGCTGCCAAGACAGCGAAGGCCCGCCTTCTGCGGCGTTCTCGACGTCTGCTGTCTTCTTCTCGTCCTCGTGCTTCGCAGATCTCACAGCCACTGAACGTGTTCGGTTGCTTCAACCAACAGAAGCATGTGTGCGGCGCCGACCGCCAGCCATGGCCCTTGCGCACGGTCCGCTTGGTCAGGTCTGTGGCACGGGTGGCGCCGGAGGCCGAGCGCCCAGCGCCGCCGGCGATAGGCTGAGCCGGCGGCGTGCCCTGCTCAGCGGACCGGCGCGTAGAAGACGGCATGAGACGGTGCGACGGCGGTGAGTACCCGACCGTTTCTCTACATTGTCATGGGGAAGAGCGATGCAAGATTCGGCCCGTTAGAAACTGGGCCAGCAGTGCCGCCGGAGAGTGACACACCCCAGATCTCACCGTGCGCCTTCTGAGGGGCGCGTGAGGGTGTGGATCTGGCAGAACACTGATGGTGGCGCTCTGCAGGGCACCGAGAAGACGCCTTCACCGTTTCACAATTTCACGTTCTGTGTCGCGAACTGGCGCTCCTACAGGCCAGCCTCGGTGGGGGATCGTGGGGAACTGATACCCCACCCACGCCGTACGAATGCCCGGACAGCGAGCGAGCAGGCGGACAGAAGGGTGTGCTCGAGCGCCTCAGCTGATTCTGTGGGGGCGTGGGGATGAGATAGTCCGCAACCCTCTCAAGGGATGAGGCGTGGACGCGTCGAACCTACCACTAGCAACATTGCTTGCATGGGCATTAGGCCGCCTTGGCATACTGATCCGTACATGTTGCGCCGTTAGACACTGTCGGAGTGTCGGCACCGTTGCCGCCGCCGAGGGCGAGCGCTACACCAGTGCTGCACGAGGTCGACAGGTTAGTGCCCGATCTCGATTGAGGCTGGCTCTTATCATGTGTGCATGAATCGGCACGAAAGGGGTCGCCAGGTTCCCGGCTGAATAGAGAGCTCACTAATGCAGCTAGACGCTCCAGCCTCGTAGCCTCGTGGTCGTACCCGCAGCAAATCGGCCATGCCATATCGCCATAATCACAGGGTCCCTGGGCCATGCGAGGGTGTGATTAGTCGATTAGGCTTGATCACGGCGCGTGAATACAGCACTACGCGCACTAGCGTGCGCTAGATCGCGCTAGAAAGCGAACCCAAAGTTGACAGAAGAACCGATATCCCCAAAAGTACTGATTCGCATTTGCGCTAAGTCTGGCTAGCTCCCGGCTGGCTTGATTGAGATGCCGAGAAACAACTCATCAACTAGTGCTGCAATGTACGCTTGCCGCTGCCAAGTTCGGTTCGCTGCGTGCCTCTTGGCTCTTCATACGTGATGGCGCTGCGCCAGCGTGCACCAGGCCGGACAAGCCGGGGGGCGAGACCGCGTAGGCGTAGACAGGTCCAGGCTTCTCCGCGGCCATCATTTTGAGTGATGGACCAGGATGCTCAGCAAGCCCAGTACGCCCAGCCGGCCCAGTCGCACCCGAGGCACCCATCGGCGTTCAAAATCACCAAAAACTCTGCAAGCAGCCTGGGCAGGGACCAAACGCAGCAATTAGAGGAGCAAGCCAGGACCGAGACCAGTGTCTTACCTGTCTGCATTCAACAAGGCGTGCCTGCAGCTAGCCCGGGTTGCCGGGAAGGATCGAAGGATGGAAGAGAAGAAAATCAATTCAGTGTGGCGTCGTCCTTTCGATCCTGCAATCCTGCAATTCCTGGCAGCGTCCTGGAGAGCACCGTGCACCGCAGGACGGGGAGGTCTGTCCCTGCGGCTTCAGAATGCAAGAATGCACAAAGCAGGCGAGCAAACACCACTCACGCTGCGGCATTCACTGCACGCGCTCACTGCATTCCGCTGCATCACGACTCAGGCACCGCTGAACTGTAGGTCCGCAATCCGCACCGCTGTACACATCAGCAGAATGCAGACACCGGACGCCGCCCGCCGGCACACTCTGAGTACACAGAGGGCAGAGTGTCGGATATCGCCATACCGCACCGCCGCCGGGTGCTCGCCGGGAGCTCCGGGCCGTGCCGAGCGACGGGGTGCGAGAGGTGACTGCGAAGTGATGCCATTCAATATTTTTCGAAGACCTTGACTCTTGCCGTGCCGCGGACATTCGGCACGCACGGCTGGGCACTAACAATCACTTTAATATAATGTGGCGCTTCCCTCCATTAACCCCATCAAACGCTGTGATCCTGTCAAGGACATTTGCGAGATGATATATGCACATGTTGCACGTCCGTCGGCCAATCCATTCCTTCCTCTTGGTCGGAGCAAAGGGCCAGCGTTGCGCAGCGCGGGTCCTCAAGGGGAAAGACGAACCCAGAGCCTGAAGGGTGCTTAGAATAGCAGCGCGGCAGTATCTGCACTCGTACTCAGTCGCAACAGACAGACTCAGACAAGAATCCGATTGCGTATCGACGTTCGGCCGCGCCGAAAGCGACGCACGTCCCTCCTCATCAGACCTCTCCGTCAACCGAAATACTGGGTGCAGCGGCATGCCGCTGCGCTAATCGCAAACTAACCTCCGGCATCCTTCAGGTGTTCGGGACGATTGCCTCAAGATTGTCGAGGAATCGAGGATCCGAGCGGCGCTTTCCCCAAAAACACTCGCGCGTAGCTCAGCATAGCGCGCAGCTCGCCTTTACAATCTCTCCTAATCATACCCTGGAGGGAAAGGTTATGCACACTTTTCTGAGGATCTGAACGTCTATCTAGACCGCCAGGGCCGTAGCCAAGGGAGAGTTACAACCCCCGTGAGGGAGTGAGGCGCGATGATGGTGGTTACGTTACCAACGGCGATTAGGTTTGAATTGCGATCGCTTTGCCCCTCATTCGCTGCGATCGATGTACGTACAGTGCTCTACGGGAATCAGCTCGCAGTAAATCCACGCCCTGCACCGGATCAGGTCTGGAACAGGTAGGAGCAGTTAGGTACTGGTAGCAGTTGCAGCGTAACATGGTACAGGTCAATTGATGAAATGGATGGGTGAGACATCGAGCTCGGACGACCGGGGTTCTGGGACGGGTCTGGGACGGGCCTGTGACGGGCCGGCGGGTCTGACTGGTCTGACTGGTCTGGAAGTACATCGGTGTCCGTCTACTCCGTGCGCTCCTTGCGAGCTCGTCAGATGTGCCGTGCTGGACCGCGTCACTCAATTGACACGAAAGCTGACACAAGGAGCATGACCACATGCGTCCAACTGATAGTGTCGGCTTGTACATTCCAGTGGTGCGGCGTCGCATCACGACATGACAAATGTAGAACACGGGAGCGACTCGGCATGTCGGCTCGAGGTGAATAATGATGGAGAAATCAAGGAGAAATCGGAGAATGTAAGATTGTAACACCACGAGTCCTGGTCCCACCAGTCCCTCGTGTCTGTCCCACTATGGCCACTAAGCCGCGCGACGACGGGATCATCATCAGGATTGTCAGGACGGCGACTAGGTCCGTCGTGCGAGAGTGATCTTCAAAGAATGCTGGGCGGCAGGAACAGGACTGGGGAGCAGGATAGGTTTGTAACGATCGCGGATGCACGATCCGCACACCTCGCGAGAGGCGGATGCCTAGAAGACGCTCAGCTGTTGGTCACCGGACACCATCGTTCGCATTCGCCCTGTCGGCGCGTCTATTACTGCATCCCAGGCTATAACGTTACGAGATACCGAAGCTGATCACGCATTGCGCGATTTCGAAACTGTCCAACCCAAAGTCGGTCAAAAACGAGCGGCCACTATCCCGATGCAGAGCCTGCAAGCCGAGACGCATCGGGCCAAGAGACGAAAAGGACGCAAACATCTAGGTAAAGGAGCAAGGTTTGGGCGGATATGCCGGCATGCGTGCAGCTGCAGACTGGAACGGGGACATGAATCGCTGGCGGCTCCTCCCCGTACGCCTCTAATGTGCGCAGGCGGCGGCGGAAGTGTGGGTCAGAGGCTGCAGAGTGACAAGCGGCTGACGTCGGTGGGTGCGGATTATCAGGCAGCGAAACGCAGACCGCAGACGAGCAAATCAGGCGGCCTACTATGCTTACTTGCCGACGGCTACCCATACCGGTCATATGGATCGGAATGATCAAGGACCCGGATGCAGGATGCACGATTGATTGCATTGTGCGCACGCCCTCCCGCCTGGCGTGCCCGGCCCGCCCCTGGTAGTGGGCGGTTCGATTCTGCATTGCGTCTTGTGCGGCTACCTCTTGTTGACTGTCGATGTCACCGGCCCCAAGCTCCGGCCCTATCGTTGACAGCACAGTGCTTCCTCTGCTCTTCCTTGGGTGAGGATGACCCTGTGCGCGCGATGCAGTAACGGGCTGGGCGGCTCTGCGCGAAGAACATAAGCGCGAACAAGGCACTGCCTGCGACCCCAATATTACAAGACAAAGGTCCCAGGTCCTGAGCGCGTCCTGACGCTCCTGGCCGTGTAGGGTTACCCCAGCTTTCCCAGCCCATTCGGGACCTCGACCAGAGCGCAGCACATCGCATGGCAGCAGTCATGGTGACCAGGGCCAGGGCCGGGCATCTTGACAGCGCGAGTCAGCTCTGACCAGAGACCCGACGAACCAAGCCACGGCCATGAACCCTTAACTCCTCTGCTGACCCTTGGCATCCCTTGCTCCTGACTCCTGGCTCCTTCCTAGCTCCGTCCTGACTCCTGGCAGAATGATACCCGAGCCTTTTGAGCCTTTCCAGCCTAGTCAGCCCGCACGCTGCATGTGCTGCGCCTGCACTGCCGGCGCTACGCTACCGCGCTACCGGCCATAGCCATGTTGCCTCCTTAGCTCCTAGATAGCTCAGATGCCGCAAAGACAACCCAGGACACAGGACCAGGCCGGCGTCATCGAGACCTGAGGGTAGAACCTAGAGCACCTGCAGCCCGTGGCCTCTCCGACCCGGGTGGTCGTCGAGCGTTTGCTCGCGCGCGCGACACCTCTGCCTCTGCCGTGAAAAGCAGAGAAGGATATAGTCCAGAGTGGGTGTCGCATCGCAGTGCACAGGCCATCGACTCTTCTTTTCATCTCTTCGATCCTCCATCTCATCTCCAGTCTCTCCCTCATGCTTCACCCCTTTCCATGACAGACAGGTACGCAGCCGGTCGATAGCTCCAAGCCGCCAGAACCCATCATCGCCTTGGCCTCCGCTCACCAACTCTCCAGTCGTCGTCATCATAAGCCCGCCGCCTACTCGACTTCTGTCACTCGACGCTACAATCATTAAACTCGGGACCGACCCTCTAGAAGCCAGGTCGCCCTCTATCGACTTTCACATTGAGCGCTTTCCAATATAGACTCACCACACTCCCTTCTCGCCTTGCAAGTCACCCCTACCCCTCGAACTCATCTCTCACCTACTCAATATCCTGTTTCGATCTCCTCAACGTGACAGCGTCGTCTACCCACCTCCCCTGAGTATAGGCCTGAGTAGTCAACCTTGTTGGCCGTAGGTCCTTAATACTCTCCGCCTGTCGCCGCCCGCCCGTCACCGACCACCAACACAGATTATCGATCGAGCTCCGACGTCTCCCCTCAGCGAGTCTCGGCCTCGAACCCCTTACCCTCTCGGAGACAGCACATGCAGTTCACACTTGCCCCTTCCAAAATGGCGCCAATCAACGCAAAGGTCAACTCGACCAACTCGCACAACATGCACCAAACCTTCAAGTTCAACTCGATCCCCAAGGCGGTCAAGACCAACGTCACGAAGAAGGGCAGTATAAATACGACAGTGGTCATGGGCCCGGACGGAATGCCGCACCACCGATCAGTCGTCTCTGTCTCCTCTACCACGCCGCGGTCACCGCCGATTACCGCCTCTCCGACCACTGCCAGCTTTGAGAAAGTCCTTGCCGAGTCCCGAGAAGAGAGGATGCGAAGAGTCTCCGGCAGCACGAGCAGTGACGACCGGGGCTCTCGGAAGTCGTTCCGTCTCGACACCAAGGCCGCCCGCCGACAGACGATCCGCGACTTCACCTCCAGTATGCGACGAAAGGCTTCAGAAGCTGTGTCCGTCTCTGTCTCGCAGAGGAGCGACAGTATGAGCCTCGCGAGTGCTTCTGGACCAATGTGCACATCCCCCATCGAAGCGTCCGACTTCGGAGAATGGGTCTACCCGACGTCCCCCTCATTAGCCAAGACAGCCGGAACCTGGGGCCCGGGATCGTCGTCGCCCGTTTCGCCCACAAGCCCTGCGCTGAAGCGGGCTCCGCCAGTGTCTGTCGCTTCCCCGACGTCTCCCTTCCACAATCTGCGGGGGAGCACGGGCACTCTGGATGACATTGCCCCTTTCGCAGCGCCTTCTGGACCGCCACCGGCTCCTTCTGACCTTCCGCAACCGAAGAGTCCTAGGAGCCCCGTACTTGGAATCAGCCGCGTAGTCTCTGGCAGCAGCGCTAGCTCGACCCCGAGCGGGGCCAGCATGCCTCAAACCCCAACAGTTCCGGGATGGCACGACCTTGCTCGCCCGACTGGCGCTGTGGGAGCGAAGCGCGTCTTCTTTGATGACAATGGAGAGGTGCGCTCGGTGTACAAGGTCGGATGGGAGAGCCCTGTGCTCGACCTGGAAGCGCGACTGCACGAGACCATGTACGACATTGCCGGCGGACGCCACACTTTCATCGACCTCGACGAGAACAGCGACGCCCCCGCCACTGTGCTTGATGTGAGTATCTGTCTGTGCGGCAATGGTGCCCCATGCGCGTCCCACACCCGCCCACATGAACATTCCTGCGCCATGTCGCGCACGAGCACCACCCTTGGAATGTCCTCGGCTAACATGCCCAGCTTGGAACCGGCAGCGGTCTCTGGCCCATCTCGCAAGCGCTTGCATGGCCAAAGGCCCAGTTCGTCGCCGCCGACCTCGTTCCGTGCCACATCGACCTGCAGACGCTCGCCGCCGCGACGGCATGCATTGACGACGGCACATGGGAGAGTGTGGCCGACCGGATTGATTTCCAGCAATACAATTTGTGAGTGGCGCAACGCGCTCATTACTCCCCGGCTGGCTCCCCGACGGCTAGCTTGAAGCTGTTGTTCGGCATGCCACGCTAAAACGTGCCGTCTTCGGCGCCTTGCGGCAAGCCTAAGCCCCATAGGCACAGTAGCGCAATTCATTCATTGCTAGCCAACATGCTGACGTACTCCAGCCTGAATGGCCTCCCCTACGACACTGGCTCCTTTGACATGGTCCACCTGCGATTCGTTGGCCTCGGTGTCCCCGAGCATCAGTGGACGGCGCTCCTGGACGAGGCTGTCCGCGTGCTTCGCCCGGGTGGTGTCCTCGAGGTCGTCGAGATGTCAGCTGAGCCACCGACTAGCACGCCGGGCGCCGTCAAGGCCGCGTGGTCTTCGATGCTCCAGTCCGACTACATTCATTCCAACCCCGTCTCTGTGCTCCAGAGCTATCTCCCCTCGACCCCGCACCTCGTCAAGTCGACCCGACCTGTTCTCAATGTCTCGTGGGACATGGAGTCGCCCAGCAACGCGCCTGGAGCGCTTGCCGATGCTTCCATGACGTGGATTCGGTCTGCGCTCGCGTACCGTGACGCCCGGCTAGGCATGGACGAGACTGGAGCTCGCGCCATCAAGGCCTTCGCCAAGGCTGCGCCTGGCAAGTGGATCAGTGTCCGGCCGCACGGCGAGCAGCCAGAGGAGGACGAGGAGCGGAGCCCGCGGACACCCGTCAACCTCGCCGCTTGGGTCGTCGTCAAGGAGAGCCGGACGATCGCCAAGGAGAAGCCGTTGATCACCTCACCACCGGCCACGGCTGCCATCTAAAAGCCTAAACCAGCACCATCAGCACCCGCCAGCACTGCCTTCATCTTTTTACCACCATCATTTCGAAATCCTCAGCGCGACACGGAGCAGTAGCGGAGGTGCCAGTGCAAGAGCGGAGAGAGTGTAGAGCGCGTGCGCAAAATTAGAAATCCCAGCTATCCATACCAGTCTTCTTGGCCGCCAGTTATCTCTCCCTCACCCAACTTTCTTTTCCAAACTCCCACATTCTTGTCATTGTGTTGTCTCATAGTTCAAATTCATTGTAGTGTATTGTATCAGCATAGACTTCGTCAACTATGTCATCTAATCAAATCTGAAAGATGGGTGGGTCGGGCCCACTCGTTGCCCGTCCCTTGTCGCATTGTGAGAACAGGCGACGTAATGGGCGGAAATAGTGGGAGGCCGTTGGTCGCGCTGAAACGAACATTGCGAGGCGTGTCAGGCATCAGACAGGCGCCAGGCAGGCGTCGCAGACATGGAGCAAGCTCATTACGTCTATTAGTGGGCGGTCATTACCCCCGCCCTCCTCGACATGAGCGGCCCCTGGCGCTCTGGCATGCTGGCACACGCGTAGCTCTGGCGTACCTGTACCTATTCTGTGCCTAGTGTGAATCTGAGCATCAAGCTCAGCAGAATGGACGCCGTCCCGGTATTAAACTCAACGGAGGCGTGCCTTGGTCCGAGCTTGTTGCGCCTCGGCGAGCGCAGCGAGCCCATCGAGCGCCGAGCCAGGTGCATGGCGAGTAGAGAGCCCAACGAAGTTAGTGTCCGTCACCGAGAGCCAAGCGTGCTGGAGCGGGCACACCGAGAGATGGGCTCTGCACCGCTTTCGATCTCCATATCTAGACGCACGAAGCGTGCGACGTGACGTTTCGAGGCGGTATGCTTGCGCGCATGGAGCTTAACATCAATTCACAGTTTCGAAACCACAAGCTCGTGGGCGGTGCTTTGGAACTCTGAAAGACTGGGAGAGCCACACGTCCAAGCGGGCATGTGGCTCAAAGCCCCTCACTCGCCGTTATGCACAGAGCGAGCGCCGAAGCACGGTGGGCGGGGGTGAGGCAGTCCCCGCGTTCGTCGCGCGCCGTAACGAAGACCGGAGCGACGTTGATTTCCACGGCCCGTTCGGATCTTTCGGTGATCTCAACTCTCTCCCATTCGGCGAGGGCACGATGAGAGAACGGCGAAGCGGCCCATTTCGACCGCCATGTCATGTCCATGCGCGGCGTCGGGCCGTTTCGAACATCTCCACCCCCCACGCCATTGAATTCAGAGATGGGAGAGATCTTCTGCGCCACTCGGCCCATGTTCTGATCGCACGACCGGTCTCGCATTCACACGACCGCGCCACGCAGTGCTTAGCGCGACGGCCACGGCGCACCACCGATGTGCACCGAGCACCCCCGAGGAGGATCGAGACGCTGGGGCAGACTAGTCGAGATTCTGCGAAACAGGTCTACTCATGGGTTGAGAACGAGATGGGGACTGGAGGGGACCGGGTATCGACCTCGACTGGACCGGTCGCGGGTCGAGTGCTCGCTGAAGAGAATCAGCGTCGGTTGGCGTCGCCGGCGCCACCGCCACGCCGCAGGCCGGGCTCCGGTCTGACCGGAGCGTCCGCGACAGGTGACAGGACGGTGAATTCAGAACTGAGGGTAGCGACATGGGCGGCTGCCTGACACACCATTCCTCGCTTCTGCTGGAGCTCCCCCGAGACTTCCTCCCCCACGCGCCCCACGCGTGCTTGAATAGGCCGACTTCGAAGTTTTGGGTCTGGAGACGCACACGACGGAGGCACGTAGGAGTATGGCTTGCTCTTCGACGCCATCGTCGGTGTTGGGTCCCATTCTAGGGCCGTGGATACCAGAGAGAGGAACGTGAGGAACGAGGCACGGCGCAAGGACGTTGTCATTTTCGAGGTTTCGAGGGTTTGACTTGTGAGGGATTTTCTGCGCAGGCACGCACCCAGGGCTGTCGGCGATGTACGCACTTCGTCCTGCACATCGCACACGCGGCTTGGGCTTGTGTTCGGTTGCTAGGTGGGTCAGTTCGTCGGCGTTGGCTGTCAGTTGGTTGTGAGTTCGGCTGGACCATCATTCACTCTCTCCCAGACTAGTAAAAGAGGGGATGGTGTTGAAAGAAGGGGTCTGTTGCGAGTGAAGAGCTGGTGGATGAAAGAGTCACGCGACGTCGCACGAGATCAAGTGGGTTCTGACAGAAGGGGTGTCTCGCTTGCTTAGCCCTTTGGGATCGGCGTTTCATGTTGCGAGCCAAGAGGGTTCGATGTGGGCGTCGACATCAACGAAGTCCGGCCCCAACCAACATTTGTCCAGTTGACGTTTGCGGTTTCAGCTCAAGAAGGAGGTGCAGTTGTAGCCGCCTAGTGTCGGTCCACACTCTATACGCGTTACCATCGGCGTCGCCATCCCGGGGCTGGATGAGCACCGTCAAGCGAACTGTTGAGACATGATACGTCCAAAGGACCCCCCAGTCGAACACATGAGCACCGAGCGGACACTAACTGGACCGAACACCGCTGTACGTTATGCATGTCATAGAAGTGGGTTGTGGGGCGGTCCAGAGTTGCTGCGGCCGCATTCCAGGGTGATCCTTTGCCCTGGCAGGCAGAGCATGTCACCAAGTCACCGAATCTCCAAGTACGGCAGAAAGAGACAGGTACGAAGCAGCCTCGATGGACGGTGCGGTTAGGGAAGTGATAAGCGGAGCGGCTACGAGAGCGGCAGCGTTTCTTCACCGCCGCAGCGTCACTTCATCGTCACTCGGCGTCGCACGTCGACCCGCACGATGAGTGCTGGCTCTTCGGTTCGCTGTGTTGTGCCCCTTGTGATTTCGTAAACCCGCACCGCCAGTCAAACAGTCGTCGGAGCTGCCAGTGCGCCGAGATGAGGTCCCAGGCTCAACGGAATCCTTCTCTGGTTCCGAGATCTCCCACGGAAGCGCGGAGCGAGGTGTCCAGCGTAGCTTGCCATATCTATGCGCAGACCCCATAATCCATGGCCGTGATGATGACTGCAACACCGCAGTCGATTAACCTGTACAGTGATATTCCATCACAATCACTCGCTGGCAGAACGCGTCGTCCATAACGGCTGGGTGACGGGGTGATCGGCAGTGACGGGTGGTCACGAGAATGCGAGTGATCCTCGACAAAGGAGTAGAAAGTTGCACAGGCGGTCGTCATTGCTCCGCGACCTCTGTGCGGGCAGAGGCTGGGCACAGTCTTCCCTGTAAGCTGGGTGCTCAAGATTCGTGTTCGATACGTGACCTGCACGTTGTTGACATACATTAGATCAAGTTTACCATGAGCTGAGTCAGGTCGACGGGAGGGACCAGTGAACAATGCTAGCAGCGCGCTAAGGTGTGCAGCCTAGGTTATCAGGATGGCAGGTTTGTTTATCAGTAGATGAGATTTGCGCAAGAACGCCCTCATCATTTCTCTCATCACTCTTCTCCAAGATCTCGTTCGCTATCCTTGCCTTCAGCATCACCCTCCCTATTATGTCCCAGGACGTATCCCAACCCTCAACGCGACCGCCGCTCACCTATTCCGAGTGCATCTACGCCTTCCCCACCTGCCAATGGGACGGATTCAAATTCCCCTACCCACCCGTGCCGAACCGTGACATCACACGCAAAGCCCTGTGGGCAATGCGCGCCGCCAGCGAACGCTGGACAGTAGCGATCAGCCGGCGGAGTACGGTCGGCCTTGACAAGGTTGACTTCGGTGTCGCTGTTTTCGCAAAAGCGTTGGAAGTGTGAGTATTGCCCGCGCTCCATAGGGCGCTCCCTTGCATAGCGCTATTGATCGCTCCTCCGCTAACTCGCAGAGAACGATGTGCTCGTCTCCACTGGCGGGCCAAGGGGAAGGTGATCAGAGACACCGCAGCATGGCTCGAACTCACAGACGGGATCATCGACTGGTCTTTGGATCAGGTAGGCGGCGTCGATCCAGTTCATTGACTGACGATGACTGACGAGCAGGCTGTACGGAAAATGAAACCCCGCTTCCCTACCCAAGAGTTTGCACGGTTCGAGACAGAAGAAGTGCGCAGGGTAGCTCGCCAGTTCGTTCGAAACTCACTCAACTGGCAATGGAGTCGTGGCACGCACAGTATGGACCAAAGTCCTCCTTTGTTGCACATCGAGGAAGGCGTTTGGTTCGATCGATACATGCCCGATCTCAAAGACATTCCACCGCGCGCTTTCACCCGCATTGGGACGGACTCAGTGGAGAGTGACCGGGATGAGCCTCCACAGACGCTGTGGATCGACTACACTGGGAGGGAAGTCGCGCCTCCCAAGGTGCGGCGGGAGTTGCCTCACGACAGACCTTGGGGTCCTGGTTTTGAACTTGAAGCGGAGAGCCCGTCATGCCGTAGGGGGTCGTCTCGAAACGGTTGAGGGCTCTGCAGTGGGCAACTTCTTTCCAGCGGTTCGGGTGCAGGGAGCGACTTGCTCGCTTGGAATCAGTCCTAGTAAGGGTATCGTCGTAATCTCAGTTAGTCTTTGTAAGCTGGAAATGACATGAGTGTGTTCGCCTGTGAGAGGTCGAGACAGCCATCCCCACCTTAACGAACGCCCTATACCCGGCCCAGGCCCGTTTGCGAAGGCTCAGCCCCTCTCAAACCGACCATAGCATTCTAGAGGAGGGAGCCATGGCGCAGGACACAGAAATGAAGTAGCTTAACGGGCGAGATCGTCGACGGTGCGTTTGTAGAATGGTGGGCTGAGGAGTGTCAGATCCCGGACAATTGAGCGGGACCAAACAAGCGTGTTTGCCTTGTTTACACTTTCAGGTCGCTCAGGCGCAAAACTCAAAAAAGCAGTCGCGGAATTCCCCGCCCTGGCGCCGCTTGGCTTGCGTGCAGAGGTGCACCGGGATGCAACGTGAACAAAGTTTGCTGGACGAGATCATGAGATCAGGAATGGGATGAGACTGCGTACATTGCTCGTGAGACAGGCGATCATCCGGGCTGCCATGAGGCGTATTCCGCGTACATCACATGCCGGGATGACGAGATAGATAAGATCAAGCCGGGCCTTGACCGGCGCTCTCACGCTCCCATGTCCCACTGCTTGCAAAGGTCGCTGGAAAGTGAAGAGAAGCATACATGGGTACGCGGCCATCTGGATGCTGCCCAGCGAGTCAGAGAACGAGCCCAGCTACATTATAACCCAAAGCAGGCAGTTTATCAGCCAAGCAGCAACCAGCCATCCTGAGCTGATGGCTCCAAAGCCCCAAATGGTCAAGACCCCGCACCGACCGGTAAATGGAAAAGGTAAACAAACGCCACGGCGAAAACGACTGGTCTCTGGCGATTTTCCTCTGCATGCTCGCACAAAGTTATGGTTATGTTATGCCTGTCACTCTTGCTTGTGCCTCTGTCACTCCTAGTGCACGAACCGACAAATCGACATTCCCGCTCACCGACCCACCATCACGCTTCTTCCCTGCAGTGCCTGCGTCAACATCCTGGTGTGATTCCGCGCACCGTCCTCAACGCACGCCCGGGCGCCCAACCGTAGCCGTGCAGCCTTCAGCCGTGCGCGAGCCGTAGAGGTGCTTCGGGCCGAGAACCGTGAGCCCTGCGAACGACAGCCCACAGCAGCCCACCCCGGCACGGCAGATCATCCGGAGTGCGACTCTTGTGACGCTTCGATCAACGGAAGCTGTAGCAACAAGCTCGACGTACGATTCCCAGACTGAACCCGGACCCGAAGCTGCAGGAAGCTAGACGTCACCCGAACCCGAACGAAGCTGAAAGGACATACAAGATGAGGGGGCCAGGTCTTGACACGATCCACTCTGCCCTCCGCTTGACGGCGTTCGACCTCCCTGTTGACGATAGTGATCTCGCACGAGCTTGTCTCCTCGGCGCTGAAGTGCTTGGAATACAGGACCCTATAGGTGCGTTGGACAGCGTTGGCTGCTCGTCCTTTATCCCCTCGATCTGCACCCCCGGTGCCCCTTCCCTCAATCTTTCGCTCCTCGTTCCTTCATCTCGCTCGGGCTTTCGATGATGGGGGCTCGGACTCTGCACTGACGGAATGGAGAATGAGGGTGCTCATGTCAGATCGAGGGTGACGACAGATCGAGGTCTGGGCAACAAATGAGCTAATGCACAGACGAAATGCAGCTCGGACACTTGCGAGCCCCCGACCAACCCTCAGCAGCGAGGAGGCGGCTCGCGTCTCGCCCCTCCTCTGGTTTGTGGACGGATCCGCCCCCGCCGTCTGGAGCCAAATCGGCTCCAGTGACGCCTAGAAAGTCGCCTCTGAGGAGCGTTCCGAGCCCTCCACGGCGGGAGGCGTCGACGGCTGAGAAGGAGAAGGCTGAGGAGATAGCGAGGGTCGTGACCCCGCCTCCGCAAGCACAGACAACGCCTCGTCGGTCCTCTGGCCCACGCAAAGCGCGGCCCTCGTACCCGCCCCAGTCACCTTCTCAGCGCGCGCGGTCTACGTCCGTCTCCATCTCCCCTCCGCGGACTCTGTCGCCCGCCCAGTCTCTACCTCCTCCCCGGGCACCTTCACCACGGCCAAAATCAACGTCGCCCACACCTTCACCAGCATTCACATCGATTCTTGACCGCCCCCACCCCCGATCCCAGCAACGCCCAAGGAGCGTGTCTCCTCCCAGCAGCATCCTCGTTACACCGACCGAAACCACGTTCATTCTCCCCACACAGGTCGCGCCCATCCCGTTCCCTGTACCAAAGCCCACACCCCCAACATCTCCCACAAGTGTCTCCTTTGCGGACCAGCAAAGCCAGCCCCGGACACCTACCAAGCCTCCCTCGAAGACAGACGAGAGCCAACGAACCCCGACACAGAAGAGTGTGACGCAACTGAAGCAGAAGCAGCAAAAGCAGCGCCCAGTCACTCTCCACTCGATCCAGTACCACGACCTAGCGGACCTTGCCCGTCTATCTCTCGACGAGCCCACAGAACCCTCAGAGATGAAGCCTCCACCCCTCCTCAAACTCGCGACACAGGGCAAGCGCCCAGTGTACGGCAGCGCGAACGCGCAGTTCAGTGCCCTCGTGCTCGTCAAGTCGAACACGCCGAGCATCTACGGCTGTGCGGCGGGGAGCGCGAGCTGCTCCTCCCTCGTCTCGCATAGCGCCTCGATTCACCACGCCTCCATCTCCTCAAGGGGACATGGACATATGCGGACACAGTCCCACGGCGCGCCGCGCACCCCCACCTCTCCGCGAACACCACGCACACCGCATACACCGGGACACGCGCCGGCGAACGCTCCAGGGACAGCGTTCCCGGGCGAAGTATGCGAAGTACCCAGCATCAGCGTGACGGCGCCGACGCCGAGTTCTCCCCGGTTCTCGTTCAGCTCGCTCTTCCCGCCCAAGGCGCCCAAGAGCCCGCTGTCTCCCCAGAAACGGCCACAGAGGCAGCGCAGAGTCAGCGCCGAGGCGAGTCAGTGGGCGTGGGGGGCCAAGCGGGGTTCGAGGCAGAGTTCGGCGCAGGGCGGACCGGAGAGTGGCTGAGTGGCTGAGCAGCTGAGCGCAGCGAAGCAAAAACCAAGCGCCTCTCTTCACTCTCGTCCTGGCCCCTACACACCAAACCACATCCTGTCAAAACCGGCCCTCGTGTCAAAACCGGCCCTCGGTTGGCCTTCTTCTCTCTCCTACTCTCTCCAGGTCCTCTTTAGCTTGTTCTGGTATCTCAGTCGTTCCATCTGTCGCATCGGTATCCCACCATCGTCCCTCATTACTCTCGATAGATTTACATTAGCATCGGCGCAACGTCCGCGCCTGTTATATCAATAGATGTAAGCAATCGTATACTCCCGTCGCACATCCTCGCATGCGCCGGACCTTGGTGTTGCTTCCCGCTGTGGGTGGCCCAGTTCACTGGTCCTTCATGTCCGCCGTGGTGCCACCCTTGCATTCGAGAGTGGGACACCGGGGCAGCCCCGCGCTGCCCTGCAGCATTGCAGCATTGAACGGGACAGCGCGGTGGTGAGGATAATGCGTACATACAGTGTGAAAGTCTACTTGACATTCTCTACTTCTCCCTTCCTCTCTCTCTTAAAATTCACTGGCGAGGCCCCACAGCCCTACTTCCTACGCAGGCTGCGGATCGGCCTCTCCCCCGTACTACCGGGCGCGGGGGCGCCAAAGCTGAACCCGCCGCTCGCGTCGCTCGACGGCGCGGCGCCGAAACTGAACCCTCCAGCAGCCGCACCACCCGTGCCGGTCGCACCGCTCGAGGGCGCGCCGAATGAGAACCCACCAGACGCCGGCTGGTTTCCACCAGCAGCAGGAGTACTAGAGCCAAAAGTGAACGTCGACGCGGACTTAGCTGCCCCGGTTCCAGCTCCTCCAGAGGGGGCGCCAAAGCTGAAGCCTCCCGGTGCAGCAGCGGGCGTACTCGAGCCCGAGCCCGGGTTCGAGCCAAAGCTGAAGCTACCCCCGGCTGCTCCGTTGGCAGTACCGAAGCCGGAACCGAAGGCGGGCGTATCCTTCTTCTCACCTCCGGTCGAAACGCCTGAGCCGAAAGAGAACGTGGGAGCAGACTTCGGAGCATCCGCCTTCACAGCCGAGGCGAAGGAGGGCTTGTCGCTGCCGAAGGCCGGCTTGTCCGTAGTGGAGCCGAAGGAGAAGAACGAAGAGGAGGCGGCGGCGGGCTTGTCCGCGGGGCCCGAACCAAAGGAGAAACTCGAGGCAGGCTTGTCGGCTGACTTCTCGGCAGCCGGGGCTGAGCCGAACCCGCCGAATCCGGAGGGCTTGGCCGCAGAAGACGAGCCGAACGAGAACGAAGACGCGGAAGAGGCAGGCTTGGGCGCCTCGTCCTTCTTCTCGGCAGCCGGAGTGGAGCCGAACCCGCCAAAGCCTGCGGTGGCCGGCTCGTCGTCGGCGGGAGCGGTGGATCCGAACGAGAAGCTCGACGTTGGCTTGGGCGCCTCGTCGGCCTTGGGAGCCGAGGAGCCGAACGAGAACGAGCTTGAAGAGGCAGGCTTGGCGGGTTCGTCCTTCTTCTCGGCGGCACCGAAGCCGCCAAAGCTCGATGTGGCTGGCTTGTCCGTGACGGGAGCGGGGGAGCCGAAGGAGAACGAGGCCGGCTTGTCGGCAGCCTTGGCTGCGCCGAAGGAGAAGCTGGATGCGGGCTTGGGCGCCTCGTCCTTCTTCTCGTCAGTCTTGGCGGGGGCGCCGAACGAGAACCCTCCCGTGGCGGGCTTAGACGCTTCGTCCTTCTTCGCGGCGGCAGGGGCACCGAAGGAGAAGGAAGACACAGGCTTGTCGGCGGGCTTGTCGGTGGCAGAGGCGGTCGAACCGAAGGAGAACGAGGCAGCGGGCTTGGGCGCCTCGTCCTTCTTCTCTTCCGCCTTGGCCGTAGCACCGAATGAGAAGCCATCAGAGACAGGCTTGGGAGCCTCATCCTTCTTCGCCGGAACGCCGAACGAAAATCCACCAGCACCAGCGGCAGGCTTGGGGGTCTCCTCCTTCTTCTCTTCCGGCTTGGCGGGGGCAACGGGGGCGCCAAAGGAGACTGCCGGCTTGTCGGCGGGCTTGTCGGCAGGCTTGTCGTCCTTCTTGGCCGGCGCGCCAAATGAGAATCCACCAGCTGCAGGCTTGGGTGCCTCGTCCTTCTTCTCCTCCGTCTTCGCCGGGGCCGCCGGAGCTCCGAAGCTAAACCCGCCCGCGGCAGGCTGGGCGTCATCCCTCTTCACCTCCGCCTTGGCCGCAGCGGCCGGAGCGCCGAAGCTGAACCCACCCGCGGCCTTGGGCTCCTCCTTCTTCTCGCCCGCGGCGGAAGCAGTCGACGCCGACCCAAACGAGAACGCGGGCTTCTCGCCCGCACCGGCTGCAGAAATAGAGCTCTTCGCGAGCGGACTCGATGCCTCGACCTTTGCGCTCTGGCTCAGTGCCCCTCCAGTAGGCGAGAGGGGTGTCTTGGGCACAGCAGCCGAGACGCTTCGGTTCAGCTTGGCGATGAGCTCGTCGTGGCGTTTCGTCCGGCCAGCCTCTGAGAGTTGACGGGGCTGGAAGCGGATCGCCGATGAGGTGGAGCGGTTCTTGCGAGCCGGACTGCCCAGGTTCGCACCGGCGTACAGGCCCTTGCCCTTGTCGAGCTGGGGCGGGACGGAGACCTTGCGACTCATGCCGATACGCCCGTAGTGCCTCACTTTCGGCAGCTCCTTGACTGCCGGCGAGGTGTTGGCCGTCCGAGGCGCAGAGGGCGAGTCGGGCTGCCAGCCCAGCCGTCCTGCCGCCTTGAGCTCGTCGTACTCGCCCTCCTGAACCCAGGCGCGCACGAGCTCGCCGGCCTCCTCTAGCGTGTCCGGGTGCGCGGAGTCGAGGGGCATGTTGTACTTCCGTGCCGAGATGCGAAGATCCTCGGCGCGGTAGACCTCGCCGCTGTTGGCCTCGAACCACTTGACGCCAGAGGCGTCCGTGAACACCTTGCCGCGCAGTGTGCCCGGCACGTCGCCATAGATGGGCAGTCCCTCGGGTCCATCGACGCGGTGCAGCTTCGGGTCGATGAGGGGGAGTTGCTGCACGGGTGTCCCGGTCTGGCTCTTCTCCTCTGGCGAGACTTCGGGGGTGACGCGCTCCTCCTTGACGGATACATCGTCGTCCTCGTCCATCTTCTCCCCACCCTCTTCCTCGTCGGTGTGGAAGTCGGAATCGGACAGATCGAAAATCTTGCGTCGCCGCTTGCGGGGTTCAGCACTGTCGGCTGCTGAACGCTTGGCCGCTGCGCGCTTCTCGGAGAGCCCATGCTTGATCACGTCGACGTCCATATCCTCCAGTTCGTGGATGTAGTTCATTTCCTCGTCCTCCTCCTCGTCTTCTTCTTCCAGCATGGCCTCCTTGCCCTTCCGGCGGCGCTGGGAGGGCGCCTCCTCTTCACTGTCCGATGAATCTCCGCGTCCGCGCTTCTTCTGCGCCAGCTTGGCGCTGGAAACGTTCCGTGACACGGCACGCGACGCCTGTCGCGACCCCTTGCGAGAGTTGGGACCCGCAGGGCGTGACGGTGCCCGGAACGAGAGCGGATACTTCTGCATCGCCCTGAGAGTTAGCATCACTCATCTGGAAAACTCACGGTTCCTCATCCACCTCAGGCGGATCGAAGGGTTTCCGTCTGCGGGGCGACTGATACTGTCCTGCGAGCTGGTCGAGGTCGCTCCTGCTCATGCGCCTGAGCTCGTGAACGGCTCGCGATCCCCACTCGTGGATCTCGCGCTCGCGGTCGGCCTGTTCCTTCCGCTCCTTCTCCTCGCGCTCCTTCTGTTGCTTCGCGAGGATCTCCTCACGCCGCCGAAGCTCCGCCGCGGGGCGCGCGATGATCCACGGCCGCTTGTCGCTGTCGGGGATGCCGGCGCGGCGGCGCTGTTCCCTGTTGGTCAGCTTTGGTGTGGTCCTGGCAGCTTGCTTGCGCGAATCGACGACAAAGGGTGACAGAAAGTGGACAACTGTTGCGCGGGTGGAGATCACTCACAGCCTGTACTTCTGGATCGCGCAGCGCTGGTTGTACCGCCTCAGCGCATACTTGTACCCGACCCATAATCCGCTCAGGATGCCGAGGAAAATAACAGGGTGAGCCCAGGCAAACTTAATGACAGCGGCAAGCGCCGAGAAGGCGAGACCGATGAGGCCGAGCATCTTTGGTCCTATTGTGCGATGATCGTCGCAGAGCTCGCTCTAGGTGCGTCGTCCCCACTAGGGAAAGGAGTGTCAAGTCGTGTCGAGAGCTGGAGTAGAAGGCAGGTGACAACTCTCACGACGAACGACACACGACAAAGAATGGATGAAGGGGTATCGAAGCTAAGAGGTCAGTTGGCTGGAGAAGGTCGCTCGGTTCTGAAATTCATGAACGGGGTGCTTGGTGCGGGATAGCGCATCAGCGGTGGCAAAATCAGCGCGCGTCATTCGCCACGTGGCACTTCTTCTCGATGTGGAGGTCGTCTGTGCGACGATCGTAGCGGTGGGTGAGTCAGTCTGTGTCTGTGCACACAGCAACAGTCTCAAGGGGATGCAAATCTGGGCAGGACGTGTGCAGCAGCAACTGTGTGAAACTTCTTATCTATGCATTGCTTTGGTTTTCTAATGTACATAATAGTGCAGATGTTTCTGCGAGAGGAGAACGTCTATAGTGGGGTATCGAGTCGTGAAAGTTGGCTTTTAGTCGCCGCGGAGAGGAGCGCCGAGCTTGGACTTCCAGCGGGGGGCGTTCTCGAATCCGTTGCGGCCGGTCTGGTAGTCGACCATGGCCTGGAGCACCTCGCGCTGGGAGGTGACGACGAAGGGGCCGTGCTGGACGCAGGGTTGGTCGAGGGGCTCGCCGGCGATGACGAGGAGGCGGGTCTCCTCAGTCGTACCCTCGGGGCGGGTGATCTGGACACCGTTCTGTCCCGGCTCGGCCGAGAAGACGACCGTGTTGAACTTGTTCGTGGGCGTGGCCTCCTCGCCGAACTGAGCAGAGCCCGAAATGATGTACGCGAATCCGGTCCAGCCCTCGGGGATCTCCTGGAAGACAGTGGCGCCGGGCTTCTCGAGGCGGACGTCAAGGAACCAGCATCCGCCAACGGGGCGGACGAAGCCCTCCACGCCGTGCGACTTGCCCGAGATGACCTTGATCGTGACGCCGTCGGCGGGCTTGGCCGTGTCAATGTCGGCAGCCTTCTTCTCCTGGTACGACGGCTCGATCATCTTCTTGTCGGCGGGCAGGTCGACCCAGAGCTGCATGCCCTCGACCTCATCGTAGTCTCCGTCGAAGACGGGCATCTCAGAGTGAACAATGCCGCGGCCGGCAGTCATCCACTGCACGTCTCCCGGCTCAAGAGTGCCGGCGGCGCCGGTGAAGTCCTCGTGGCCCATTTTGCCCTTCAGGCAGTAGGTGACGGTGGACTGGCCACGGTGCGGGTGGTCCGGGAATCCGGAGCCCTTCTGGATCTTGGCGTGGTCGAGCATGAGGAAGGGAGAGAGGTTGCGCAGGGCATAAGTGCCGATCGAGCGGCGGACGGTGGCGCCGACACCCTCAGGAGTCTCCTGAGCGTAGACGGTCTTGGTGGGGGTACGAGTGACCTGGGCAGACATGGTGGACTTGTTACGAGTCGCTGTGGTGGTGAGGTTGCGAGCGATGTTGTTAATGCGGTTGATAGCGGTAGAGCGAGACAGCATAGGCTGATTCGTTGTGTTGTGGATGAGTTGGTTGTTTTTTTGTGGAGAAAACCAAGTTCGACAACAACTCGTCTCCTTTTATACCTTTGTGGGAACCTGGAACTTTGCGATGTCTCTCGTAGCAAACCAGCGCCGTGCAGTGGTTGTCCCCTCTGCTCTGTGCATTCCACGGCGTCGCTGTTATCTAAGGTCTGGGTCGCATTAGTCACCGCGCAGTGAGACCTGACACATGCCTGGGAACCTCTTTCCCAATCCGGTAATTTTCAGCATCATCTCCGGCCAATCCCCGCATTCCCCCTTACAGCGCCGCCGATCATCCCCCGCGACGCACCCCGTGCCTGAGACTCGCACCTCGGCTTCGGCCTTGCTCAGCATTCTCAGTGCTGAGTTCTCTCTCACCACTGCCTTGTTGCTCCGCTGCCGCCGCCTTGAACGCTTGCCAGATCTCTCCACAAGCCACGAGTGATCGACGATCTTGGGACGGCGACTGGGCGCTGATGCCAGGACTGACGGGTTGACGCTCAGGGAACGACAGCTTATGCGAGCCATGGGAGCTGTGACGTACGGACCTGGGAGCTCGCATCAGATTCGACCCTCGTTGACAAGGTCCCGACTCGCGGCCAACTGTGGAGGATCGTAACAGGCGAAGGACACAGATCAAGTTAGTGATTCCAGCGTCAGTCATGTGACAACGACAGTTATCTGCTCAGCTCCAGCTCGCCTCCGCCTCGGATCTGGAGCAAAGAGCAGACATGGCGACTGTCCAGATCTCCATTCCCAGCTACGACGCACAGAGAGGATACTCGAAGCCTGTGGAGCTCCACACTCCTTTCTCCTTCTCCCTCTACCCCCTAGTCGTCTCTCCTTCCCTGTTGATCTCCTGCTGTCCTTCCTTCCACTTCGAATTCACGAGGGTCACGAGCCTACGAGACTCGCGAAGACTCACGAGGCTCGCACGTGCTTCTCGCTCCTCACATGCTCACCGCCTCACTGGAGATTGAACTAATCCTCAGCCAGCGCCATGATCATCTCCATGATCTTGGGCTGGAGCCTGGCCCACTGACATCAGCTTGCGACATCACTATAGCTCACCTTGTTGTTACACGACTTTGCGTCGCGGCCGGGGATGGCGCGCGCGACCTCGTCCCACTTGACGCCGGTCTGTGGTCAGCTACATCGAAGTCACTCAGCTGGAGTGCGTGTGGTGTCATCGAGCCTTGCAGTCACTGATCCCTTCTGTTACTCTGACACTTATCTCACGGGACCTCTCGCACGTAGTTCTCGCTCTCAGAGCCGGCGCTGAAGGGCATGCTGTACATCCAAGGCAACGGTGAAGGGCACCGCCATCCCCTCAACTGCCGCACGGAGGACGGACAATACAAGAGGCTGGTGGATGGACGTCTGTGTCCAGACAGGATGAGGAAACACACTCACGCGCTTAGGACACATAACATCGTACAGCGCCTTGAGCTCGTCAGAGCTCCAGGCCCCTTGCTTCTTGTTGGTGGGGTTCTTCGACTTCTTCTTGGCACCGGCAGCGGGCGCGGGGGACTTGCCCTTGCTGCTACTGCTGGGCTTGGAGTAGGGCTTGCCCTTGGACTCGGGGGCGGCAGAGGTGGATTTGGCGCGGGGCATTGTGCTCGTTGGCTGGGGGTGGGGTATGGATTTGGGTGTGAGTGTGATTGTGGCTGTGCGTGGTTGGGTGAGTGGGTGAGATTTGGTTGTGGCTGTGGGTAAGAGGCAGAGGACGAAGGGGTAAGAGTGGATGGGAAGAAGGAGTGGATGCAGTGGGGACGAGAAGAATGAGTAAAGGAGAAGAGACGATGAGATGAGAAGGAGGTGAGGACGAGAAGAGGACGGGCCCCCCTTTACGCAGCCAGACTTGCGCCCCTCCTCCTTGTTCGCCTCCTCGCGCTCATCACTCATCCTCCTCGTCCCGTCGGATGACTGGACTCGACTCATTTTGCACATCCGCAACGGCGACAGCCCATGCAACCTCGCCTTGGAGGATCTGAGAGAAGGGGCTTGGCGCTGCTTAACGGTGAGCACCGCCGGCAGGCTGACGTGTATCCCGAGCAAGCTGCCAGGAAGCGCGGACCCAAGAGGTTGTGTTAGCAGAGCGGGGGGGGTCTAGCTGCTCCGAAGCTTACACTTCCTCCACCAAATGTTCAGTGGAGCTCAGTCGACAACGAGTGGAGACCAAGCTGCCTCTGGTGGAGTGTGGAGACCAAGCTGCCTCTGGCGAGTCGAGCTCCACCAGAGGCAGCTTGGTCTCCACTCGTTGTGCACTTGTCGGGGTATCGATCGGCCACCGTCAGCGCATTGTCGCCTGCACACGCCATTGTCTCGACCCAATCCATCACTTCATATACCTATGCAAATCTTCTGATACTCTACAACCTCTGATCCTTCGGCATGCTCCTCATGAGCTGCTTCACGCCCAAGTTGGCCATGATCTCCTCACTTCCCCCTCCGACAGCCTCAAACTTCCTCGACCGATGGTACTGCTCGATGTACCTCCCCACGCCCGTCGTCGTGAGTCCTCGGCCACCAAAGATCTGGACCGCGTCGTCGGTAATCTCGCTCGTCCACCTCGTGCTCATGACCTTGAGGAACGCAAGGGGACCCGCCAGATGTGTCGCCTGGGTACGATAGTCCATCGTCGTCATCTGGTGCGTGACGTGCTCGAGCCAGGCCTGGATCGCCTCCACTTTCCCAATCATGCCCGCGAGCTTGTACCGGATCACGGGCTGGGTGATGAGGGGTTTGCCGAATGTACTCCTCTGCGCGGCCCAGAGGAGACACTCCTCGACGATCGTGCGTGCCGTGCGCGCGGTGCCGGCGACGAGGGACCAGCGCTCATGGTTAAAGTTGGAGAAGACGATGAAGAGGCCCTTGCCCTCCTCCCCGATCAGATTCTCGGGCGGCACGTTCACATTGTCAAAGGTGACGTACGCCGTGCCCGCGGCGGGGGAGTACATGGTCGGAATGCGCGTGGTCTCCAGCCCAGGCTGCCGCTCGACGAGGAAACACGAGATGGACCCGTCGGGGGCGCTCCCGCCATACGTCCGCGCAGCAACCATGAAGTAGTCGGCGTACATGCCGGCCGTGATCCACTTCTTGGTCCCGTCGAGCCGCCAGCTGCCGTCGGGTTGTTTCGTGGCCCTAGACCTAATCGCAGACACATCGGAGCCAGCAAAAGCCTCCGTGATCGCGAGACAGGCTACCTTTTCGCCGCGCAGAATCTCCCCAAGCACGCGCGAGCGCAGAGGCTCCTTGGCAAAGTTCTTGACGGGCGGCGTGCCGATGGCCAAGCTCGCGCCCATGCCTGACCCGTATCCCTTTGCCATCTGCCGGCTCAGCTCTTGGATCACGATGAGTTCGTGGAAGTAGTCGAACTCCTCGCCCTTGACGCCCATCAGCGTCTTGCCGTGCAGGTGCGGCCCGGGGCCGAGACGCATATAATTCAGACCAACATCGGCGCAAGCCTTGGTGACTCTGTCGCTGGCCTTTTCGCCGCTGATCTCGTTCGCCCGCGCCTCGGGCGTGATCACCTCGTCGACGAATTTGCGCAGATTCTTCCGCAACAGACGGTGCGAGTCTTTGTAGTACGGCGAGCTGAATTGGGGCACGAGCCACGCCGGCTCCGCGTACGGCACCCGCGAGAGGTCGCCGGGCTGCAGTGGCTTGATCGTCGGCGTTTCGCCGCGGATACGCCCGATGATGAGCTTGGGATACTTCTGCAGCACGTCCATGCGGTGCAAGCTGAAGAAGACCGTCGTCGCGTCCTTGCCCGCTACGTCGGGGTCGGTGAGGACCGAGAGGCCGCCGGGGTGCAGCTTGGCAAACTTGGAGAGGTCGTACACGTTCGAGTCGATTATGACCCAGAGGTCACCCTGCTTGTTGTGCTGGAGTCAGCTATTGAGCGCCTCCTAGCTTGTGGGAAGGACCGCCCAGCCAGATCTTCGGCGGCCAAGGCTGGGTGTGGAGGTTCGGACCCACCTTTGCGACCTCATCGCGCGTGAACTCTTTCGTCGTAGCCATAGTGTCGACCAGTCAGTGCAGGAACAAGTATCGTAGAGCGGAAGCGGCCCGCACCGTCCACCCCTGCGTTTATATTGTTTTGTGGTGGGAGTGACGCGTTAGAGCTGGGAGGTTGTGAGCGAAGCACAAGCGCAAGCACATGCCGACACACCGAAATGCGGGGTAATGTGGGTGGGTGTGTCAAGTAACCGGTCTCACGGCCATATGCGACGCTGCGTATTGGCCAAGACCCGGGCGCCGCAGAGTTCACCGAGTGGGGTCGCACTGAACACCGAGAAACGATGCTCCGTCGGAAACGAAGCACCATGTGCATGCGCTGGTGGGCATTCGGCCAGCGATCACGAACGTCGCTTTACGTGTGCACCACCCAAAGCATAGAGATGACTTCTGATTCATACTTGAATTATGGTTTTGCTGCTACGAGACACCGGAAATGGAGCACCGGAAAGGGAAGAAACTACGAACTCGAGGAGATACCGAGAGACATAGGCCTCGGCAGCGGCACTCCTACGGAGCTACTGCGCAGGCAACCTACTGCAGACCGTCGTACAGCGCCCGCTCGAGCTGGTTGTACACCTTCTCCTGGGGGTCGGTCGGGTCGCCAAAGTTGAAGCACTGCGTCGAGAACGTGCCCGCGATGCCCGTCTTGGGGTCCATCCAGTAGAACGTCTTGTAGATGCCTGTGTGTCAGCGTGTACCAAGTTGTAGATGCCATCGCAACAACCGACGCAACGGCGGCAGACTCACCCTCCCAGAAATCAGAACCCGCCTTGCGGCCCCACTTGCTGTCCTGTGTCGTGAGGTATCCGCCGAGCGAGTGGCTCAGGCCGCCATTGGCAACGAGCGCGGGGTCAATGTGCGGGATGAGAGCGGCAAACTCGTACTGTCCCTTGAACGTTCCCTCGGGCGCCTTGGGGAGCTGGTTGCTGAAGATGAGCTCGGTGTACTCCGGGGGCAGGATGCCTCCGGGCTGAGCGGAACGGAGGATGCCCTGGAGGAAGCGGAGGTAGTCGCGCGCGGTGCCGTAGAGGCCCGCACCGCCCGACGCCTGGCCCTTGACTTTTTCGGGCGCGGTCTCGCGGATGCCGGGGAATACGGTGAGCTTCTTCTCCGCGTCGCGCGTCACGACCTGCTGCAGGCGCTCGTAGTGCTTCTCGGTCGGCACGAAGGTGAGGCTGTCCGCGCCGAGGGGCTTGAAGATGTTCTCTTTGAAGTAGCTGTCGAGCGACTGGCCCGTCACACGCTCGATGAGGATACCACCCCAGTCGAGACCGAGGGAGTAGTTCCACGCCGTGCCCGGCTCGAAGATGAGGGGCAGCTCAAAGGTCTGCACGGTCGCGTTGGAGGCGAAGACACCTGGGTGACTGTGCTTCTTCGCCCACTCGCCGAGTAGGGGCACCATGACGTCGTAGCCCGTTCCGTTCGTGTGCGTCAGGAGGTGACGGAGGGTGATGGGCTTGGTGCGGTCGGTGCCTGCGTCGTCGGCCGACTTGATGATCTTGAGCGACGTGAGCTCGGGGAGGTGCTTGTTGATGATCTCGGGGTCGTCGAGGGTGAGCTTGCCCGCCGCAACGAGCTGGAGGGCCGCAACAGTCACGACCAGCTTGGTCATGGACATGAGCTGGAGGACGGTATCCTCGTTGATCTGGCCCTTGTCCGGGGAGCCAAACACGCGCTCGCCACTCGCCTTGAAGTAGACCGGCTCGGCGTTGAGGTCGGCCGTCGCGACCGCAAAGGTCGAGGCGGGGATCTCCTTCGAGTCCACGGCGGACTGGAGGATCTGGTCGATCTTGGTTTTCGCGTCGGCGGAGAGGGTGGGCGTCGTGACGGTCATGGTGGTCGTGGTGGTGTGTGAAGCAGGGAGGGATGACCAAGGTCAACTTATGAGCGACGAGGGGACAAGCCTCGTCGCCCGTTGCGCCATGTCTCCGGCTGGGGACGTGATTGCTATTGCCATAGTGCGGATCGGATGCTCCGGTGGACGCCGAGTGCGGGGTAAAGGGTGAGTCATGTGATCTGGGGCTACGCAGGCGGACTGCCCTCCGCCCACCAGCGTATCGGCTATTGCAGGCAGCAGCTAGCCGTCGGGTGCCGAGATATCACACACCATGAATGCCGGAGCGACCTCGGGACTCTCAGCCATTCATTCCACCCTCCCCACTCCTTCGAGTGCACCAGGACACCATGCCTCCCACGCCTTGGAGGGGTTGTTACCATGCAGAAACATTACTATACGGCCACTGTCGTTGTCGCGGCCACGTCTGAGCCTAGTTAGAGACCCCGCAGCCAAGACTTGATGGTCTAGCTGACACTCCAAGTCGCCGACGGGACCTCCGTCGACGGCGGCGGGGTCGTACTCCGCCGCCAGCTAGACTGCCATATGAGTGACTGTCAACAACCAACTCGGCCAGCCGATGGGCGGGGATGCACCCCGCCCTTCCCCGCCTTCCATGCTGCACATCACCTGACCATCCATTCTGTCGGGCCCGAAGAGCACATAAAACCGCTGTCCGAAGTCCCGATTCGGCTTTGTCATATTCGCAGGTATAATGCGAGAGGGCAGCGATAGAGGACAGATCGCAATGCGCGATCGACGGATCTGACGGCACGTCACTCCATTGAGTTGGATTGGGAACTGAGTCTTATTCCCAGCCTGTCCGGACAGGGGACGGGAGACGAGTCACAAGGGTACGCGGGCACTATAGAACACCAGCAAAGGGGAAGGGGCGGGGCCTCGCAGCATTAATGGTTTCTTGTGGGGAAGCTTGAACTGAGCATGTGCTGTCGACAACTGTGGGCCGCGCGGCACCACATAGTTGTGCCTTCCACAGCCGCTGGCATCCGCGTGAAGCTCTCGCTAGGCTCTTGGAACATGGGACCTGGCCACTTGTGATAGTGGGGGAACCTCATCTCGGTCCGCCTGGCATTGTCTTGGGTCTGCAGATAGTCCGCCTGACACTGTTGTGCCCCTCCTCCCTCAAGTCCAGAACCACAGGCCAAGAGCACGGGTGACTCGCCGCTCGAACTGCGGGAGTGTTGTGATGATGCAGTGGCTTCAGACTGCGGCTTTGAGGAGGCCCAGATACCGACGGGCTAGGGCCTTGGGCCCCAGCTTTGCAGAATAACAGACGATGTCATGGGACCACCGAACCCAAAGCTGGACAAGCTACTAGCTCTTGTCTGTCAGGTGACGCTCACTTCGGTAGAGATAGGCACACCACCTGCCAATGCAGACCGCGGGAGACGTGCACGTTCTCACGAGGCACAGCTACGTGCCGCCGTGAACGGCAGGAGACAAGGACGGGTGGGCGCGCGGTCTGGAGCTCTCTATCTTGGTGGGGGGCGGTCAGAAGCGACCTCAGGCGATGCAGGACGCAGCTATAAAGCCCTTCACCGAGGAGAAGCGGACAGCTCTTCCCCACGAGTACACACCACTATGACTATCGACACGACTCCCCAGGTGCTCGACGCGGTCGTGCTCGGCGCAGGCGTCTCAGGCCTGTACCAGCTGTACCAACTGCGCGAGGCTGGACTCAAGGTGCGCGCCTTCGAGGCTGGCGGCGACGTCGGCGGCACATGGTACTGGAACCGCTATCCCGGCGCGCGGTTCGACAGCGAGGCGTCCATCTACCAGCTCTTCTTCTCCGAGGACCTCTACAAGGGATGGAGCTGGAGCGAGCGCTTCCCGGGCCAGCCCGAGGTCGAGCGCTGGCTGCAGTACGTCACCGACAAGCTCGATCTTCGCAAGGATATCAGCTTTAACAGTCGCATAGAGAGCGCTGTCTGGGACGACGACCGCCAGCGGTGGACGATCAAGACGAGCGACGGCCAGGTCCTCGACGCCCAGTACTTTATCAGCTGTGGCGGCATGCTGAGCGCCCCGCTCACCAACGTATTCGAGGGCATGGACGACTTCAAGGGCCAGATCGAGTACACCTCGCTGTATCCCGCCGAGGGCGTCGATGTCAAGGGCAAGCGGGTCGGTGTCATCGGCGTCGGCGCGACGGGCATCCAGGTGATCCAAACAATAGCGCCAGACTGCAAGGAGCTCAAGGTCTTCGCCCGCACGCCGCAGTACACCCTCCCGATGAAGAACCCCAAGTGGGGCCAGGCCGACGTGGACGCGTACCACTCGCGCTTTGACGAATACAAGTCACGCCTGCCACACACATTCTCCGGCTTCGAGTACGACTGGGACCCCGAAAAGAACTGGGACAGCATGTCCAAGGAAGAGCGCGACAAACACCTGCAGGAAGTGTACGACCACGGCTCGCTCAAGATGTGGCTCGCGTCCACCCCCGACATCTTCTTCAAGGAGGACGTGTCGGCGTACGTCTCCAACTTTGTCGCAGACAAGATGAAGGCGAGGCTCCAGAACGACCCGCACCTGCTCGACGTGCTCGTGCCCTCCCCCGACCTATACGGCTTCGGCACACACCGCGTCCCCCTCGAGCGTGGATACCTGGAGACGTTCCTGCGACCCAATGTCGAGGCCATCAGCGTCCGCAAGGACCGGAACCCGATCAAGCGCTTCGTCGAGAACGGCATTGAGCTTCAGGACGGCCGGGTGGTGGAGCTCGACACGGTCATCCTCGCCATTGGCTTTGACGCGGGCAGTGGATGTCTCTCCCGCGTCGACGTGCGCGGCAAGGGCGGCCGCTCCCTCTCCGAGGAGTGGGGGCGGGACATCCGCACCACAATCGGCCTGGGCAAGCACGGCTTCCCGAACCTGCTCATGACGGCTGTGCCGCTCGCCCCCTCCGCGGCGCTGTGTAACATGACGACGTGCCTCGCCCAGCAGACCGAGTGGATTACGCGCCTCGTGAAGCAGATGAAGGAGAAGGGCGAGACGGTCGTCGAGCCCAGCGAAGAGGCGGAGAACAAGTGGGTCGAACACCACGACTCACTCGTCAACGCTACGCTCTTCCCCAAGTCCGACTCGTGGTACATGGGCTCAAACGTTGAGGGGAAGCAGAGGCGCATGCTCTCTTACGTCGGTGGGGTGGGTACGTACAGGGCCAAGTGCGAGGAGGAGGCGAATGCCAACTACCCCTCGTTCGTGCGTGCGTAGTTTGGGATCTGTTTCAGAAGTCAGAAGTCCATATAAGATTGTAGTTTCCGTTTGGTTATGTCAAGGATACGCCCTATCGCCCGCTTGCCTTGGGGAAGCACTGACCTAGAGGGCTCAGTGGGGCGCAGAGATGACCGGCCACGTAACTGGTTCGCATTCGGTCGCAGCCCTTGAGCCAAGTCTCTCAAGCTGCGCGTGTGACATGACGTGAGACTGATTGATCGGTGGAAGACGCTGCTGCCTGTGGTCTGTGAACCGCTGTATAACATGGCTTCCGACTACTTCTGCTGACTACTTATAAGAACTTAGGTTTTAGACTATTCTGCAACATCCCCACCTAGGCAGCAAGCTCGAGGGCGAACGCGATAGCGAGCTTGGAGAAGTTGAGGAGGTGCTTGAAGCTGAACCCGGGCTGGTCGATAGTGTCAGCCGAGGTGTGAATGGCGGGCGAGTGCTTGCCAAACTCGGTCTCGAACGAGAAGGCGGCGGGGTATCCCGAGGTGTTCCAGGACGCGTGGTCAGAGCACGCGTATCCGCAGTTGGTGTCGCGCGCCGGAATGCCAAGGTACGTCGTGACGGAGGCGGCGACAAAGTCGGCGAGGTTCTTGTTGACGTTGTCGCGGACGATGCCAACGTGCTCGTCCCCGGGCGGGAAGTAACCAGTCATGTCGCAGTTGAGGTAGGCCTTGACGTCGACGCCCTGGCGCTTGTACTCCTCCGCGACGACCTGGGAGCCGAGCAGACCCGCCTCCTCGCCCGCGTACCAGTGGAACTCGACCTGGTTCTTGAACTTGATGCCGTTCTCAACAAGGACGCGGAACGCCTCCAGCAGCGTCGTGGTGCCCGAGCCGTCGTCGTCAGCGCCAGGGGAGCGGCTGTACGGGTCGCGTCCGGCAACAGAGTCGAGGTGCGCACCGAGGATCACACGCGGCTTGTTCTTGTTTCCGGGGAGGGTGGCGATGATGCTGTCCTGGCCCCAGGGGTGCGAGACGGAACGAACCGACACCTCCTTGCGGTTGTGCGGGACGCCCTCGGAGATCTTGTTGACCTGGTCGAGGAGCCACTTCTGCGACTCGCTGCCGGTCTGCGACTTGTAGTAGCGGGTCTCGTAGGCCGAGAACTGCGTCAGGAAGTCGCGGGCGCGGCCCTCGTCCAGCTTGGCGGCGAGCTGGTCAACCTGGCCCTTGTACTTGCCGGGCGAGGGGTACTCTGGTGGGTCAGCGAGTGCTGGGGATGAAGAAAGGGGAACTCACGCTGCTCATGGGCCTTCTTGCCGCCAGCAGCCTTCCAGCCGCGCCAAGCCTTGCGGTCCTCCTTGTTGTTCGTCACGTCAAAGTAGTTGCGGCCCTTGCCCTTCTCGGCGTAGAGCTCAGCCTCGGTGAGCAGGACGGGCTCCTCGTTCTCGCCGAAGACGGCGAGGCGCTTGCCGTCGTCGCGGGCGACGGGCGAGGCAGCAACGAGGAGGGGCAGGAGAGTGAGGAGGGTGAGCTTCATGTGGGCTGGAGGCTGTTTGTCCGGATTTCTGTGGGCTTCATGTCTCAACAGCCCACCTTATATAGGTTATCGAGGGTGCGGTGTTTCCGGACATGACTGCGATGAGCGTGGGTGACGCTAACCTGACGAACTCTCACGTCGCACGCTATGGCCGTGCGCTGCTCCTACCCTCAATCGCCCATGTGCTCGCAGTCTTCTCCGGGCTTCCGTTGCCCGCGCGGCGTTCGCGGGGCCTGACGTCGTGCTCGGCTCGTGCTTGGAGTGGTCTGCCCCACCTGCAACATCGCCATGTCCCTGCCGGGCAGACAAGCTTCCATTGAGCGATCCTGTAGGATCCTGGGGATCTCTCACGGCGCCAAGCAAGCGCCGCTAGCGAGGGTAGAGAGAGCGAGGGTCCCATCGCACGGAGTGTTACTCCGTCCATGGATTCCCCAGGACGTGTGCGAGAACACGGGGGATGCGGGCCAGAGCTACCCAATTCAATTAGTCTGATAAGATTATCCACTAAGGCGATTTGGCCGAGCATCGGCAGGTCAAGCTCTCGTGCTGCCCACCCGCAAAAGCGCGCACCCTCGGCTTCTTCCCGAGCAGTGTAAGGGTCCGAGTGCGCCCTGGTCTTGGTACTGCACATGCTCTCGTCTGGACCTTCTGAAGGAGATGAGCGGATGTGAGTGTGCAGGGCTCGTTCGACTGGAACGCGCGGTTGGGTTGACGTTAGGGCCCCATTCTCGCTGGCCGGCGAGCGCGGCGTCGCGCGGCTTCTGTCGTCATTATTTCGCGCATTACGCTCACCCCCCGAGCGATCGAAACAGAACCGTCTACGGCCTTGGCAGGGTCACGCCTGCAAAGGCCGCGAAACCGTCAGGGCACCCTGCCCAGCGCCGGCCATTTCTCAGTGGTCCAGAGGACAGGAGTCGCGTATACCCCGAGCGGATGCAGGTCGAGAATGAACATGAGATGAAATGTGGGGCTCAACCTCCACGCCTGGCCATGCGCCATTAACGTACCTCTCACACCGACAACACGTTGGCTTTAGGCTTGGCGTTCCTGGGCCCCCATTCGGTGGGTCGGTGGGCCGCATTCATGAATTCCATGCATTCGCGCGTGACCTCTTCCACAGAATTGTTTGCAATCAGAAGCCAGACCCACGCACACCTCAGCTTACGTTCCAGACGTATCTCCGACCTCCGGAACGCCCGGAACTTGAAGGTTGGCGTCGGATCATCGCCTGGTTCGGCCAAGAACATCAATGAGGTTTTCGGGGGCACACAAACGAGCTTCTGAGCGAAATGAAGTCGGGGTGTAGAGTAGCTCAGGATCACGGGGGGTAAGACCCCCGAATCACACCATCTCCTCCAGTCCACACGCAAACCTTGCTCTACTAGTCTCATTCCTGGCGGTCGGGGCTCGCTCCCGGTGAGAGGGGACTACGGCACGGCCCGCTCAACACAGCCTGCCCGGCTGTAATCAACTACTTATAGCGCCGAGCTAAGGCACGACCTTGCAGAGGCACCGAGGAACAACGATAGTGCGATAGCGATACGATTCCGAGCTTCAGAGCCCAATCCGAATGACTGGAGGCGCACGTTGTTCCGCTCCACTGGACTGGACTGGGTGCGGGGGCCTCGCCTCGGCGGGCTCGGCGCCTGCCTTACGCTTGGCCAGTCTAGGTTCGGGCGGCGGCATGGGCGGCGCATGCAGTGCAGACCACGGAGCTAGCGAAGCTTCTGATTCTTATCGGGCAAGGGCAAGGCACGGGGCACGAGTCCAACAGACCTAATCTCGCAAGTCCGAGGCGAAAGGAACGCTCACGATGCGGTGGGACGAAACCACTCGGCGTGAGCGGACTATGACGATGCACCGTTGACCTTCGTACGTCTACGCCGTGTGCTTTGAGGCCCTGGGTTCAGTGTTTACGCTGCAAGCGAGCTGGATGGGGTTATGCGGGACCGGAATGAGCAAGGGATTACGGGCATAGGCGATGCGGCGGGTAATGTGATGTGAAGGGCGGAGGGGAAGGCCAATCGGAGCTTGATCAAGATGGAAGGTGACGGGGCTCGGTCCGTTACGACATCGGTCTAATATAGGGAGTGTGAGCCCCCACTACAACTGTCTAGCACTGTTGCGTAGCCTGCATTGCCGGGAGTTGCAAGTAGCAGCCGTTGGGTCAATGGGCACCACGCTGTAGCTAACTGTGGGCATCCTGGATACACTCCGATAGTTGGATACCCCTACCACTGGCTGGAGAGCCTTTGGAACAGCCTGAGTCTGTCGTTGGGTTGACGACTTTTGCATACGAGTGTCGCATTGAGGAGAGGAGACTGCGGAAGCGTGGTGGAGGGGCAGCGCTTGAACAATGTCTCTGTCGGCTAAAGGTCCGGGAGGAAAAGCAACTATCTGCATCAACGACAGCTGCATTCAGTTGATGCAAAGGAATGGCACAACTCACCATCAGCACTCCCTCATCAAAGAAGCAGCTGAAAGCTGCTCGTACCCCTTGGTTGGCAGACCGCCTTACGACTTCCACTCCACTGTAAAGTCACTGGCTGCGGGCGTATCAGCTAGGGCTCCGGCAACGAAAGCTTACAATCGTCCACCGTATCCATGTCCCCGAGCGCGGATCCAGCAAGTCATTACTCCGCTGGTCAAGTGGGAGCCTACGGTGGTTCGAAACTAACCGACCAGCTGTGAGAAAGGAAGGCGGAACCAGAGAGACAATTGGAACTGTCGACTGCAGGAGCATCGAGGTGAGAGTGGTTTTGGGGAGAGGTATTCAGCTAAAGCTCCCGAGATATGAAAGCTCCAACTATTCTACGTGGAGTCGTCTTCCTGCCTGCAGGTCAGTTCGGAAGAGCGGCTGAGAACTTACCCCTCTCCTTCTCAGTCGAATTTTATCACCCCTCCGCTGCAATGGTTTTCAGGTACGATCACAAGCCAGCGGAAGCTTGCACTTCCAGTCTGTAGGAAACAGAGTTGCTCTGTAAAGGCGCCAATATCGTTTACCGGTCGTAATGAGTGAGTAAGACTTAGTATTCTGCAAGTCAGCTCTCAACACGCCAGCGTAGCTCACCTCCTTCTTGTCAATCTCCCCTTTGTCTGTCGTTAGCACAGATAGTCAACGACCACAGTCTGAATTGCAACTCTAAAGGTAGCCGTGACTTGAGGAGGTGGAGAGCGTATTGCACACGAGCAAGTGGAGAAGGAAGGAAGACGAGCTGTCGACTGAGCGACGAGGGAAGTGAACGTGCAGTCGTGGTGGAGGTCGCTACTTACGTCAGCTTCCAGGCACCGATAACGAGCGATAACCACGCTATTTGAACCTGACACGTTGCCCAGTCCCTCACTGCTTGGTCGTGTGATCGTGTTACACTAGCTTGACGGGCCACGACATCAGCTCTCGGCCACTACCGACTTCAGAGTCGCGAGACTATCAAGCAGGCAGCCGGTCAATGCAGAGACTGTGGTGACAGGATGCTGTCTCCTCGCCCGAGGGCATAGCTACCGAGGGGTTCAGATGCTCCCGCTGCGCCCTGAGCCTTGCCGCTGCACTGACCTCCTCTGACGTTGGTGGGGGGGGTTGCAGATCGTGTCCGAGCTCGACGCTTCCACGTCAAAGCGTTCGCACGGCTTCAGTAGCACCAATGGCTGACGCAAAACAAACAAGGGAGGCATCGTGAATGACGTTAGGTACATCGAGAACTGCTACTACTACTATCACTCATAAAGGTTTCTACAACACGGCAAGCGGTGCGGGTTTTGGGTCGGAATAGAGCTTAACCCCAGCGGCGGTCCTGCTCCTTCTGGGCCTCATCCTGGCGGCGCTGCTCCTCGTCCATCTGGCGCTGCTTCTCCTCGAGACCCTCACCGCCGCGCTCCCACTCCTTGTCGAGCTCAGCCTGGCGGCGGTCGAGATCGGCCTGCTTGCTATCCAGGTCGTTCTGGCGGTCCTCATTCGAGCGGTTGTCGTTGTCGTTGTTGTTGTTGTTCTGGTTCTGGTTGTTGTTGTTGTTGTCGTTGTTCCAGTTGTTGTGCTGGTTGTTGTTGTTGTCGTTGTACTCCTTCTTCTCTGCGGAGAGTTAGTACCGGCAGGCTTTAGCTCAACTCACCCTCCTGCTGCTGGTTGCGGTTGCGCTCCTCCTCCTCACGCTTCTTGCGCTCCTCCTCCCCGCGCTTGTTCTTCTCCTCCTCGTCGCGCTGGCGGTTCTCGTTCTCCTCCTCCTGGCGCTTCTCCTCCTTGTGCTCCTTGTACTGGAGGGTCAGCTGGGCAGCCAAGACACTAGCAGCGGAGGACTCACCTCGTGGACACCGTAAGCGGTGGCACCGGCGGCCGCACCGGCGGCCAAGAGACCACCGACACCAGCGGCGATCTGAAGTCAGCTATAGGCGCAAACAACGTTGAAGCTGAGCAGAACTCACCTTCTGCTTGGTGGACCAGCCCTCCTTCTCCTCCTGCTGAGCCTGCTGCTGGCTCTGCTGGCCGTACTGCTGCTGCTGGCCGTACGAGGTGTTGGAGTTCTGCTGCTGGAAGGGCTGCTGCTGCTGGCCGTAGCCGTCGGTCTTGCCGTACTGCTGCTGCTGCTGCTGCTGGGCAACGTTCTCCTTGTCGCCGCCGGTGAACTTGTCGAGGAGACCCATGATGAAGAGTGTTAGAGTGTGTGTGTGAAAGAGGGAAGAGGGAGAAAAGAGAGCGAGGTGATGAGAAGAGAACGGAAGGAGGAGTGAGCGAAGACGAGGTCGCTTTATGTACACGACGAAAGGAGGTGCAGGTCTAACTTGCTGTTGCCTTCCCCCGGCTTCCGATCCCGAAGTGACCGCAGGGACGCAGGAGCATGGGAGCACTGTCGTGCTGGAATGCAGTGTGCATTATGCGTGCCAGCGAGTCAGACAGGCGCAATCGCGGCCAACGGTAGCGAGCTAGAGGGGCTGGAGAGGGAGGCTAAGCCAGGGGCGAGGCTGCGATTGCCGCAGGTCGGTAAGGGGGAGGGTCGTGCGGATCGCCAGCCAGTGCGGTTACCGTGGAGAACGGGTGAGGTGGAGGCGGGCCTGCGGGCGCGCTGGCGTAGGGCGTGTAGGGGTTAATTGGGACAGCGAGGCAAAACGAGGCTCGTCGGTTGTGATGATCTACGCGAGCTGTGCGAGAGCGAGCAGAGTGCGCTTGGGCCGGTTCATGGCGTCGTTGGCCTGCAATCTGGCGCAGACTGGCGTACCGCCCAGCGTGACGCTTTGTCGCCTCGCCCTCCCCTGCACTTGTGCACTCGCGGCCCCTCCCGGTTGCGCTCGTGCATCCGCTGCTGCATGCTGCTGCGTCGATCTCTGCGACAGTGCGACGGGCTACAGTGGGTCGAGCGTTAGATTAGCGGGGCCACTGACTTCAGCGGCAGCGTTTAGAGCGTGCCTCTAGGGGCTAACGTTGTCAGGAGTCGCAGTTTAGAAGCCGTGTAGCGTCCTATTCTACCGTACCCCTAAGCACTGCGGCGTCTATCGCGAGCTAGACTTTGCGGACAACGTGCAGACGAGGCATGTCGACGAGGCATGCGCACTGATCAGTGTACCACCACTACTGCAAAGAGCGATGTCGTTTCCTGCGAGCGAGCTGCTAGCTGTAAACATGGCCCAGCAAGGCCACTGTCATGACAGCGAAGTAACAGCGCCCGGCGCCTGTGCAACGATCGTCGACCCACTCCAGTCTCTCACCCGCCGTCACTCACAAGCGATAAGGGGACGAGGAGATCTCCTGCACCCTTGTACCCGTCCCGTGAGCTATGTCCCTCAGCCCTCAGGTGATCGCACACAATTCGTCAACCCAGTGCGCGAAATACGATCAATGGCGCCAAGAGGTGCAAGAGTGCAAAGGGGAGGTAGGGACGAGGGATCGAGGGGAGGCGTCACGGACGTCGTACGGTTCTTTCACATCAAATGCGACGACAGCCGGTCCAACCAAACGTTGCGGTGCAAGAAGTCTGGAACGCACACCAGGCGTACACCGGGCGGGCCGGGTTCCTCGGCTCAGATCCCAAAGACAGGCGCGTCCCTCGCTCCCGCAGCCAATCGGCAGTAAGGGCTTCGGGACGATCGGGCGTCGAGTGTTCGAGCCCCGGGCAGCTCTCGCATCTCGCGCAGCATTCCTCGTTACACGAGGCTCGGTATCTGATCCACGTGTTGCAAGTGTGCCTGCAGATCACTGATCATCACTCGAGTCTTCGTACGTGCTGCGATCGCTGCAACGCACGGTATGCACGGCATGCCCCCGGCCAGGACACATGTTATTCTCTGCATGGACTTCTATACATCTTCTGTCACCTGTCACCCTGCGCTCAAATGTCCCTCTCGAGGTAGCTCTGGATGAAGCCAGGGAGCGTCGCCTCGTACTCCTTGATGCCGACCTTGTCCCCGTCCTTCGTCATGTTGGCTTGGAGGAGGAGCTTGCGCGGCTGCTTCTTGTCCAGCACAATGTTACGGTGCTTGCTGATCCACGCGTCCGGCACGGCCGTCATACGGTTGTACATCTCGTGACCGGCCTTGGCGTCGGCCGTCGACTTGTAAACTTGCTGCTGGAGGAGGAACTGGCCGACGGCAGGCTTGCCGACGGACAGAATCTTGCTGCGGTCCAGCGTGACGCGCAGGTCGTTGTCGCCGACCTCGTCGATCTTGACAAAGTCCTCCCCGGCGTCGAGGAAACACTTCAGGATCGCGTACCGCGCCTGCATGTGCGCCTGGCCCCACTTCTTCGCCGCCGGGTCGTAGTGCTCCAGCGCCAGAAGACCGGCACGGGCCATCATCAGGTACGAGACGTAGAGGACGTCGTCGGCCTTCTCCTCCGAGTCGTCCGTGTGGCCGAAGATTGCGAGCATGTCCTTGTCGCACGCGAGGTACATCGCAACACACTCGGCACGGCATTCCTCGTACGAGCTCGAGATCGTCTTGAAGACCGAACCCCACGTCTCGCCGGCCTTGTACCAGGACTCGATCGGCTTCTTCGTCAGAGGGTTGATGGGAGGGTTCTCCTTGTCAAAGTTCGCCTTGCCATCCGCGTCGACGATGAAGAGCTTGCCCGTTCCGTGGCCGAGAAGCTCGTGGATGCCGACCTGCACCTCGAATGCAGGGCCGCGCAGCTTGTCGTACAGCGCCGCGTCCTCGTCAGAAAGGAAGGTAATCTTCTCGTTGGGCGCCTTGGCGTTGAGCACGTTGCCGAGCGAAACCTGGAGTTAGTATCGGAACTGACGCTAAGCCGGTGGTGATTTGGAAGGGGCTCGTCGGTGGCACGTTCCCGTTACCTCCAACTACTCCCACCCCTCCCTCGCTCTCTACGCCTCCTACTCACGTTCTTGAAGCCGTCCTCCTGTCTGATGACATCCAGATTAGGAATGTTGATTCCTTTCCACGTGAGCAGACGAAAACAGTATTGAACTCACCTGCAGGGACACCACCAGTCGCGAAGGAGATGATCTCGAGCTGGAGGTCAGTGGAACCCTCAGAGTGTCAAGTGCCAAACTCATTACTCACCGAGGTGAAGTCCGGCTTCATGAACTTGTCCTTCTCGAAGTCCTTACCCCAGGGAAGCTTGGGAATGAACTCGGGGGAGCGAGAGACCATCTTCTCGAACTGTGAGGGGTGTCAGCAGACGATCTCGTGAGGAGACACAGAAAGGGTGACGGTGTAGGCTCACCTTGCGGGTCTGCTCCTGGTTGACGGCGGCAACGAAGCCCTCCCACTCGGCGCGGACTCCTGCAGGGTCACGGTAGGTCTCGACAAAACCGATGTTGGACTCGACGGTCGGGCCAACATCGCGAACCCACTCGCGCTGAGACGCCTCGTACTCGGGAATCGAACCGGTCTTGAAGTGCTTGACGTAGTGCTCGAGCATCTTCTTCTGGGTGTCGTTGGCAGCGTAGGGGATCGCGGCGGCGAGCTCATCAGCGACAGCCTTCATCTCATCCGCGTAGTCGCCGTGCACGATGTGCATCTTGCGTCCGCCATCGAGCTCGACCGTCTCCTCCGGCTTGGTCTCGGCGCTAGCAACGCGGAGCTCGAGGCTGCCGTCGTCGCGCTTCCAGAGACGGGTGTTCAGCTGGTCGACACCCTTCGCATCCGCCCAGCTCTGAACGGCCTTGATGTCGTCCTGCGTAACGTTTGACGAGTAGTAGTGCGTGACGTGGCCCTGGTCGGGGAAGCCGAGGAGGGTGCTAGCGGCAGGGGTGGTCGAGAAGATGTCCTCCTTGACCTTGTCGAAGAGCGGGGCGGCCTTGTCCTTGTTGGCGGAAGCATCGACGAGCTTCTTCAGGTCCGCCTCGGACACACGAGGAATGATCTTGATGTCACCAAAGCTCTTGAAGTTGGCCAGGTTGCCGAACACCTGGGCAGTGTACTCCTGGGCGTGAGTCCAAGCCTGCTCATCAAGCCCAGACGCCTTGCGAAGTGCGTCGAGATCGGCGAGCTTGCCGTCCTTGTCAGACCAGACGTAACGGAGCAGGTCATACAGGTCAGACGCATACGGCGTCGTCTGCTTGAGGATGACGCGAGCGCCGATCCAGCTGGCACGGCCGATGTGGTAGGCGTAGCGTTTCTCGTTGTCGGAGAGGGCGTCGAAGAACTCCTTGACGACGAGGGGGCAGATGGGGGCGTTCTCGTCCGCGTAGAAGCGGGCGTTGGCATTGGCGTCGACACTCATGGTTGCTTGTTGAGTGAGGGATAGGACGAGAAGGACAAAAGACGATGCGAGGAGGTGGCCACTGATATGACGCAGAGCTGCACGCGCTGCACTGGACGGTCCGGGGCAAGCGGCGACTGGCTGGAACTGGCCCCGCGTGGCGGATATCGGATCTAGCCGACGGTGACCTATTTCTGGGTTGCTTTCATCGTCCTACCCTACTTTCTGCGTACTCTCCACGCTGTTCATCCCACTCCATCGCATACGGAGTCACGCTGGTCACTGCTACCTGCAGGGCGTCATTCCGAACGCACCGGATCAAGCGATATCGCCGGCGACCACTGAAGATCCGCAGTTATCCCGGTCATCTCAACTTCCGATGTTCATCTATGCGCACACGACCAGAACTCGCGGATTGTCAAGAGAAACGGACCAGCAACTCACGACTGCATAACAGGTCATTGGCTCATCATTTGTCTACTGAATAAAACTCGTCCTCCCCAGGTGCTAGTGGATCACCTGCTGATATCCGGGTCCATTACTCATTACAGTCACGCACGCTGCACGGTCCCGTTCCTTCCCATCCCACACAAGCTCGAGATCATCATCACACTGCACAAGCTCAGCAATCCTCCTCCAGTCCTTGATGAGGATCTGAAAACGTTCTCGCAACTCCTCCCCGAACTCTTCCGAGTATTCCTCCCAGTCCTCCTCGTTGCTCTCGTACAGTCGGTCCGGAATGCAGTACCTCACTTCCCCCCAGTACAGCAGCTCAGGGACACCGCCGATGTCGAGCCCCCCTTCCCTCGCACTACCGCACAGGTCGAGTCCGCGCAATCTCTCCGCAGCAGTCTCCAGATCTGTTGGCTGGTCAGACCGGCTGTCCCTGCGCAGGGCGTCGAGCACCTCATCCGGACGGGTCTCGTAAACGGTACAGCTGTCCCAAGCTTTGGGTAGCGTAGACACGAAGGGAACACCGGAGTGTAAGGTGATGTCTTTGAAGCCGGCCGATGGCAGGTGCAGGAGGGCAGGATCAGAAGAGAGACCTCCGCTGCAGCAGCCCGGTGAGTTGAAGAGGAGCACCCCGTGACGCGGATCAATGTCGCATTGCTCATAGTCATCCAAGCGTCTTCCGATTGCGCGCCCCTGCGCGCTGTCGCAGATGCGCCGCTCTGTAACGTTGGGGAAGAGGGCTGTGTTTGGTCGGCACACAGACCACAGCAAGAGTAACGTCTTGGCGAGCAAGGGGCCTTGAATTGTCAACCTGCTCACCAGACCTAGCGACTCGCGCCATCGTTCGCTCGGGGCGGGGAGGTGGCCCCAGTCATCAGCTGCGCGGGCTTCCTTCGTAGAGCCTGGGTCTTCGGCGGCCATGAAGGCGGGATATTGAGAGTCATAGCAGGAGACGAGGCGGCCGCACGCGAGAAGGTCGAGGAGGCCTCGTTGTCGAGAATCAGCGCTTTGTACCTTTGTACAAGGTGGGCATGGCTAGGTCGTAGAGTGTGCGAGAGGAGCGGGCTACCAGCGCCAGCGTCCGGCGGTCGCTGGTATTGGCGGGATCTAGCTCTTTGCAGATCCATAGCAGGATTTCTGACGGTAGTGTCGGTGTCATGCCCCGGGGTACTGGGTGGTGATAGCGGCGGGTGGATGAAGAGAATGGACAAGAGCGAGAATGATTGATGTGTATAACCATGACACGACTGACACAACATCGTCACATGTGCTGCGCGCCCTCTCGTCGCCTCAACCACCCCATCCGTATCATGTCCACCTCACTTCGAGAGCATCTTCTGCAGCAGAACAACCCTCTCTGTCCCCCCTCTTTCGGTAGTACCTCTATTCAGCTGGGGCCCATTGTCCCACGTGCTGCTGTACAAGAGCGGCCCGCCGGGATTCACGTGCAGCCTGTAGGATAACCGATCCAACGCCCCTGCCCATGATCGTCCACGAGCGGCATCGATGCGATGCTCTAAACCGCTCAACACTCTCCGAACCAGACTTCTGAAGACTCTTGAGACTACCTTGCATCCTGGAGACACCGATAGTCTGTCAACCGACACTTCCGTGACTCTCTTTCGACAGGAGCAATCATAAGCCAGCCGGTGCGATCGCAAACATCAAGGCGAGATGGCCGAGCGGTCTAAGGCGCTGTGTTAAGGTTCTCCGTCTCTCGACCCCGAGAGCGGTTATCCTCCGCAGTCTTCGGACGTGGGTTCGAATCCCACTCTCGTCAAGCGAGTAGTAACATACTCCCTTACGCCTATCTTTTTCGAGTTCGTTTCGAGTTCGAGCTCTGGCCGGGCGGAGGAGGGTCGAAAAGTGTCCGGGGTGCGAGGAGAGAGATGGTCTCGTGATACTGCGGGGCTCCGGCCTCCACTTTGTCTGCTAACAGTAAAGGCAAGCCTTTGCCGCTGTTGGCGGCTCTCGTTTAGTACATTCAGCGCTGTCCCGAGGATTGTGCTCAGAGTCCGTATGCATGCAGCCTTTCAGCCGAGTAGTTTGCAGCCTGGACCTGATTCGGAGGTCTGGTAGACTACGTGGTGTGGCTGGGCTGGCTGCAGCGGAAGCAAAATGTCTGAAGCAGTAGATAAGACAGTTGATCACCGATCTCATGCTGTTATTGTTGCACACTTCACGACAGCACCATGAGCGCTCCTGAGACTGTCCCCGCTGCCGAACCCGTCGTCGTGACCTCTGAGGTCAAGGAGGAGCTGCCTTGCGATATCGCGACGCTCAAGACGTTCGAGTTCGACCGTATCCTTTCCGAGGGTGAGTCGCTTCAGTGTCCATCTCTTGTTCACTGGGGTTCTCTCAATGCCGAGGCATCTAGCGACGACAGAGCTTTCCAATCAAGTTCACAGCAGGCTAACTCCAGGCCCTACTTCGGTGTACCTGTACGGCACCTTGCACGGCGAGCCTGCCATCATCCACGTCGCGCGCACCTCGCTCGACACGAAACGCGCACCTCAGCTCGTGAAGGAGGGGCTCGAGAACCTCGACGTGTTCCTCGACAACCGTCCCGTGAGTGGTTTCAGGTGGATCTACGCCTTGCATTGGATCTGGATTTAGCAGTGCAATCGCTGCGCCCTTTGTGCGCCCCGCGGACAGCTCATTCTCCCCTGTGCTGGTCGCAGGGAGGTCCAGCTTTTCTCATCCTCTCGGTTCAAGCTGACAGCAGTACTTCTCCGCGCATGCCCTTCTGCAGCGCACGCCCGACTCACTCCCCGATCTGGCGCTGAAGCTCATCTGGCCCGCGACCTCCGTCCACGTGAAAAAGTACACGGCCCAGCCGCGCAAGATCCTGCACGAGACCCCTGAGACGTACAAGGCCGTCGTGGAGCCTTACATCGAGTCCTTCCCTCCCGAGCGTCTCGAGTGGGTCCGCGCCATCCTCCAGGGGCGCAAGGAGGCCGAGCGTGTCGTGTATCGCTCGCCCGAGCTGCCTCTCGTCGGCGCTGATGGTGCCAACGCCGCCGTCGAAGGCGACAAGAACGGCAACGAGGACGTCGACAACACCTTCGTTCTCGTCCCGGACCTCAAGTGGGACGGCACGACTGTGCGCCAGCTGTACCTCACTGCCATTACTGGTGACGGGCGTATCCGCTCCCTCCGTGATCTGCGTGCTGAACATCTGCCCCTGCTCAAGGCTATTCGCAAGCAGGCGTATATCAGCGCGAAGGAGAAGTACGGCGTTGAGAAGGGCGACCTTAGGATGTTCATCCATTACCAACCCAGCTACTGTGAGTGTGGTGATGCTGCAGTGCCGTGGCGCCAGGCCTGTCTGGAAGTTTCGCTGCCAGCTAGGAAATCCCCCATGAGCTAACCCCAGACCACTTCCATGTGCACATCGTGCACGTCGCTCACGACATGTTGGCTGGCATGGCAGTGGGACAGGCGCACCTCCTCGACGACGTGATCAACTGGGTAAGTCCACTATCTCATCCCATCACTTCGGTCGCATCAGTTTCACCGCATCTGCCAGTCCCGCCTCATCACTGCCACTTTGGCCGCATCAGTTGTACCAGTACCTCATACTGGGCCCATCAGTTCTGCCATCGGATCCGTTCTGGCAGCACTCCAAGCATCGAGCTCGGGCCGTCTCGGCTTGCGACAGTCTCAGCCCACGCCATCGGCACTGCCCGAGACAGCGCTTGTCACCCCGGACTGTCCAGTTACAGACTTCGTGCCCCGTGCCGGATCGCGACGGCGTGCCTGTGGCGCTGTGCACATTGGGGGTTGTCACCATGGCTCGCTGGTATCGAACGACGATGAGGGGGGCAGGGATAAGCTCCGGGGTAGCTCTGATCGGCATTGTCCTGATGGGGCCCTGTTTGTGATGTGTTCGAAGACGGCCGGTGTGACCGTGACGGGCGGTGACGGGCGGCTGAGACTGAGTCGGGCCCTCAATGCCGGTGTTGCAACGAGGTGGTATGATGGACAATGGACCGATGGCCCACCTCTTACTCGATGCTTCGCATGCGATGACATTAAGCTAATCCTCAGCTCGAGATCGCCCCCGACCTCCCCCAAAAGCTGACGCTGACCTACGCCCTCGGCGTCGAGCACGGGCTGTACGCCGCGCTCGCGCAGGCGCCCGAGAACCAGGCGGACCCCACTGCCTCGGGCGTCAATGCTGCCTCCGCTGGACCCGATGCCGATACCGATGTCGACGCCGACGGCGCCGAGACCGACGCTGCGGATGAAGATGGGGAGAGGGACGCGAAGCGCCGACGCGTCTAATCTGGCCCGCGGGTGACATCCTCCTTCCCTTTCATTCCCTTACGCTTGGCGGGTTCGTCTGGCTTTCTGGGCCCCCGTGTGGTTCTGGAGTTCTCAGAAAGCCATGAACCCAGGCTCAATGGTTCCTTGCGCACCTTGCGCACGAGGACAAAGTGCACAAGCCGCAACCTCGTGATGCCTTTCTCGCTTCCTTCCTCAACTCAAACTATAAGAGGAAAGGAACAAGCAAAGGCAGTCACCAGACCGCAAACAGCAGACGCGAGACGCGATGATGACGCAGGAGGAACAGGAGGGGACGTACGTCGAGCGGTCCGTGCGCAAGGGCCAGAGTGAACAAAGTTCACTCGGGCCAATCGAAGGAAGGGAAGGAAGGGAAGCTGGGAAGAGACACGCGCACCCTGTACATTGGGACCTTAGGAGTTTCCTCGGGTGAAACTATGGGTGATCGTAGGAACTGTACTGCAGGGATGATTGTCATATGCATACGCTGGCTTCTCTCGTGATCTCGCTAGTTCGCGCTCTGGTGAATGGAAGGGATTAGTCGATTAGGGGCGTGTTTCTCGTCATGGCGCTTGTAGCATGAAATGTTTCCAGCCACTCGGGTCGCCTTTGCTGCGTCACATTGGCCCTGTGATCAAGGATTTCGCATCGCGGTGATCTACGAGTATCATATAATGGGCCGAAACACGAGCCAAAGGCAGTCACGTCGTGCACGTTGTGGCTTATCTCGTTGGGATGGGGCTGTCACGCACCTCTTATCGTGGGGACGGCTAGACTCCCCATATTCTCGCTGATCGTACCATGTACATGTAGGTCAAGCTGCCCTCGACACAGAACCAGAGCACAGTGCAAGCGCGTCTGCCTAGTGAGAAAGCAAAGACGCGTCCTAAATTGCATGAGAGAGAGAGGTATGAAGACTACGTACGAACCCATGCCGGCATCGTGACTTGCGTTATGCGGTCGTACTCTCCCTCTCACTTCTCCAACTGCCTCCGAGCCGACGCATGAGGTGATGCCCGCAGGGAGCAGGGTAGGGGGCAAGTCTCCACACGTTCGCGAGCACAGATGGGCTTAAGCTTGCTCTGGGTTTGCATAGGGCTTGCGTAGGGCTTGCGAAGATGGGAGTGGGTGGGATCTGTGGGAATGCAGAAGTGGCACAGTCATGATCTCGCGGGAGGGGAGGACAGATGACAATCGCTTTGGCGTTGGAGCGTTCGCAGGCACTCGGAGCACTTGTCTCCTGCAGGACAGCGGAGCCGAGAGCATGTTTTGTGGAGTAATGTGTCAGGACAAAGTGATGGGATGACAGGACGTGCACGCGATTGTCACCTACACGCTCCAGCTCCCTTCCAGGACACAGGACACATCAGAAGAACTTTCTGCGCAGGAGCATACATCCCAAGTCACAGTAATGCCGGAGTCGCAGTCTGGCTCGATACGTGCTTCTTTAGACAAACTTGATTCGAGCCACGGACCCAGCGAGCCCCGGGGGATCCGAGAACTCTACACTTGCGAACGCCGAACTCTGAACTCTACTCTGACTCCACTCTGATCTTGATTCTGTGGCCTGTCTCGATCAGCCGTTGGGTTGCACAAGTGGGCTGAGTCACTGCACATGACACGAGGACATGAATCTTGCAGAGCGGCTCCATGATACCCTTGGGTGTCTAGGCCTCCTACTAAACAGACCTCACTAACACGGGTCCAGCACGGCCAGCACAGCCAGCACGCTGGGCAAGCACGTGCCCAAGTTTCGCAGCGCACGACCGGCACCGCACTGTCCGCACTGTCCACACAATGAACGGACGCGAGGCATCACCCGATGTCGCCGCGGCAAAGGGCACCTCAGCGCATGGACATTGGGGCAAGATTGGGTCTGTGTCCGAGACATTCGTCAACGTTCGCACTCCTGTGTTGTTGCAGCAGGCCCGAGGGTACGTCTGTACGTCTGCACATTTGCGTTGATCTCGGACATTAATGTCGACAAACAGCATAGAGGGCGTGACGGACGTCACGCTGCCCCATGTCCACATTCTGCCCTTATCGTGATCACATCGCAGGTATTGAGGAACAGCTGGACGGGACCTTGCCGCCGCGGCAGACGTCTGTGACGTTGAGGACTCGCCGAACCACCGACTAACGAACACTACGATACGCGGCATCCCGTTCCCCCGCGAGCTGGACTCGCCATCAACATCATCTGCCGCGTTCATGGGCGCCCCCGACTATAGCGCGTTCGCGTCGTCGTCGTCGTCGTCCCGCGACTTCCGCCGCCATCGCCGCTCGTTCCGTTGCGTCTGCGGCCGACGCGCCGACTCGGACTCTGGCATGTACTGCTCCCCGGACTGTGCTCGCCAGGATGCCTTCTCGTCATTAACGCATACGCGCAACAACTCGACGACGCATCCCGACCACTCGTTTGAGATGGACGACTATGACACGACTGGATCCCGCCATCGACGAGCGGTCCGCGCGGACCCGTACCGCACCGACCTCACGCGCGAGGAGCGGCGGCGAAAGCAGCGAGCCGACGGCAACGACAGCATCTCGCCAATGTCTGCGCGCAACCTCATGCTGTCCCCAAGCGTACCCGAGCTCGTCTCGTCGCATTCTCGCAACACGTCAACCGCGTCATCCGTCTTTTCGCTGTCTTCCATGTCGAGCTCGATGAGCCTGAGCCGCAATCCGTCGACTTCGTCGCGTAATGTCGCCCTGAACAGCGTCATTCTCGAGGATGCACGCGAGAACCTGTCGACCGACCGATCGACCCTCAAGGCGTCAAGACGGACGCACTCGATCGACAATGACGCCCCGCCATCCAAGCGGCTAGCGGTCAACGACATGCTCGATGAGATCATCAGCATGGAGAATGAGTTTGGCGACGATATGGAGAACGTGGGGGATGACGCGATGGTTGACGCTCCGTCTGTCGAGAACTACGACGTAAGCGTGGAGCTTCCACGCGCCAGAAACACCCCTCTACGTCAGCCTCGCGTCAACCTTTACGCTTTCCTTGAGCAAAGTCAGCCATGCATGTCTGCGATTAGTGACGACCTGCAGGGCGGCTGTCAGTAGGGCCATCAGCAGGGATGCACGGGGGTGATGAGCAAGGGGAAGAAAGGAGGGGGAAGGGAGAGTTTCCCCGAGTGCCCCGAACGACCCTTCTGCCGTCGACGCGTCCGTTTCACTTTGACCTTTGGGCCAATAATGACGCAAAAGGTCAGGCGCGTGGAGTGGTCCGCTTGTCGTGTGCCGATGTTGACTGTCTTTCGAGATGGCGCATTGGACGCGATGTGCTTGGAGCTTGGAGGGGGGTCTAAGTAACTCCGACTGCTCGTGGGCTCCATACGCGCTGCCAGCTGGAGTCGTATACACCACTCAAGCACAAAGTGCAGCGGGACGAATAGAGATTGCATTTGCGGAATTTGCGGCGGTGGGTTTGAATGAGTCCAGTCTGAAGCCAAGTCTGACCAAGGTGTGGGAGAGATACTCCGCGCAGAGCATGCAGAGCAAAAGGGGAGGGGAGGCGGTGCGCAGGAATCAGCGCGGGAATCGAGGTGTGTGAGTGGGCGGGTGGATGAATTACTGACTACATACGCTTGTTCTGTGATCTTTTGATGTAATGATAGACGAACAGGCAGGTGTCAGCCAACGCAAGCCAGTCATGTATTGCGCGCATCAGCCAGTCAATGTACATGGCAGACGCAGTGTTGATTTTCAGGGGGACAATTGGCCATTCCTTCTGCTCTGATGCCCCGGTGCCCACGCGCAGTCAGCCAGTTTGAAGCCAGTCTGAAGCCAGCTGGATCGACTCAAATTCAAACGCCCATTACGCCCCGAACGCCCCGAGTCTAAGCCTGTCCTAGTCAGCTTTAGCGGATTACAGACACAACACGCGGGATCAAAAATTTGAGGGACAGACTCGTCAGGGACACAACGTCAGCCTCGAGGGAGACTTGCTCGACAGGCATCAGGCCCCAGCCTAGGATGGACCTGGGACCTGGACAGGGTCTTGGCTGCTGGACCCTATGCAGGGCTGGGGAAGGGAGGGACGCGTCTTGAGCCATCAGACGCCCCCTTGGACGCCCCTTGGCTGCAGAGCCCACAGGACACAAGAAACCAAACAAGGCAGGTCCATGACTGTTCCTCGGGTCTGATGCCTTCGTTGAGGGGCTCAGACGACGCGTCGGTTTTGTTTTGACAGTCTGCCGCGCTGCCGCTCTCCAAGAGGGGCCGAGGCAGGATTCCCAAGGACTCAACCCACCCAGGAGAGGGGGCCAGAGGCAGACGACATACATGGCCACTCCACTCATCTCGTCCCTCCCCCCCTCTCCTCATCTCCTCGTCCTTCCTCCTGCATCCTTTTCAGATCTCCTCATCCTCCTCTTCACCACCTTACCAACCACCCCATCCACTCCTCTCTCCTCACCATCCATCCACCTCTTGCGACTACCCACCACCGCCGCATCCGAACCGACTCGCGCGCCACCACCCCCGCGACACCCCCGAGCTAGCACTAAACGCGCTACAGGTCACCCTCTGTTTCACGTTCCTCGAACACGCGCCTGCTCTCTTTTCGCAATCTTGTCACCTTAACTCCCCTCCCCATTTCGTCACTTGTCATATACACCTACTCTTCTTCTTGTGTGCAGACACACCCGCGATCCCCCTTCTAATCCCCCTCTCGGCCCCTCGCACCCGCATCGACGCGCACACAACCGCCCCCTTGCTGCGATCAGACAACGGTCTCAAAGCGAGGTTCCCTTGTCACCGACGACGATCCCATAACGCGACGCACCCAGCGCATCGCATCCCCCTCATCTCTTCTCGTCACACCCTACCTCGCATCGCTCATGTGCGCGTAGACCCGGTCTACTTCTTCTCTCTTCTCGTGTCTTGTTTCTCGCGGTCCTTCTCTCCGGCTAGAAGTCAACGAGCGCCAGACCTCCTGGCTTAGCTCCCTGTCTCATAATACCGTGACGGCCTCCACCCCCAACGCCAACCCATAGCCGTACCCCATCCGCAAACACGCCACTGCCGGCAACACGTGTATAACCCGAGTAACCCCTCTCGTCGCACCCCCATCACTTGCCTTCCATCATGTCTTTCCTCCCCTCGACGACTTCGGTTCGCAACCTCAACCTTGCCGCCGCGGCAGACGTCTGTGACGTTGAGGACTCGCCGAACCACCGACTAACGAACACTACGATACGCGGCATCCCGTTCCCCCGCGAGCTGGACTCGCCATCAACATCATCTGCCGCGTTCATGGGCGCCCCCGACTATAGCGCGTTCGCGTCGTCGTCGTCGTCGTCCCGCGACTTCCGCCGCCATCGCCGCTCGTTCCGTTGCGTCTGCGGCCGACGCGCCGACTCGGACTCTGGCATGTACTGCTCCCCGGACTGTGCTCGCCAGGATGCCTTCTCGTCATTAACGCATACGCGCAACAACTCGACGACGCATCCCGACCACTCGTTTGAGATGGACGACTATGACACGACTGGATCCCGCCATCGACGAGCGGTCCGCGCGGACCCGTACCGCACCGACCTCACGCGCGAGGAGCGGCGGCGAAAGCAGCGAGCCGACGGCAACGACAGCATCTCGCCAATGTCTGCGCGCAACCTCATGCTGTCCCCAAGCGTACCCGAGCTCGTCTCGTCGCATTCTCGCAACACGTCAACCGCGTCATCCGTCTTTTCGCTGTCTTCCATGTCGAGCTCGATGAGCCTGAGCCGCAATCCGTCGACTTCGTCGCGTAATGTCGCCCTGAACAGCGTCATTCTCGAGGATGCACGCGAGAACCTGTCGACCGACCGATCGACCCTCAAGGCGTCAAGACGGACGCACTCGATCGACAATGACGCCCCGCCATCCAAGCGGCTAGCGGTCAACGACATGCTCGATGAGATCATCAGCATGGAGAATGAGTTTGGCGACGATATGGACACGGCCGACATCCACGCGGACTTTGAGATGCCCTCTACCCCCGAGCACGTCGCGTTCAACCCCGTCATCCGCCCGCCCCGTACACCCTCGCCCCCGCCAGTTGCGGTCGCGAGGTCACCGCCAGGAGCGCCGGCAGCGCCGGATCGACGACGGGGCTCGCTCGTCCGTTCGCGTCCCATGTCCAACCTCGCTGCTCACGCGTCGTCGTTGTCCGAGTCCCACACCGCCCTCTACCTCGCGACTGCGTCGCCGGCCGCGTCTCCGCCGCCATCGTTATCCAAGAAGGATCTGCGCCGATCTGCCTCGCCCAAGCTGCACATCCGGCGTAGCATCAGCTTCACCCCGCAGGCTGCTGGCCCGGCCCTCGCTGCCCCGCCGCGCAGTCGCTACAACGACTCTCCCGGATTGACTCCGGTGCGCCGCACCAAGACGGACGCTCTCCGCGCCACGATTGACGCGTGGCGCTTCCCCACGTCGTCGTCCTCTCCAGCTGTGCTCGAGATTGAGGGGACGACGCCGACGGCCGCGAGTCGCCTCGCCGCCGAGCCTCAGACGCCGATCCACTTCCGCCCGTCGCTGCTCTGGCCGCAGTCCCACCAGGTGCCCGAGGAGACCGAAGAGGAGGCTACTTCTGTTTCGCCCAGCTCGCCCAGCTTTGGCATGAATCTGCCGCGGCACCAGCGCTCGGCGTCGAACAGGAGCATGTCGCCTCCGCGGTCTTCGATGCGCCTCGGTGCGCTCCTCGGTCTCAGCGGCAGCGCATCCGACATGGACACGGACGAGCCCGACGACGCGAGCACGATCCGCGGCCGCCCCCTCCGCCTCCAGGCCCCCGCTGCCCCATGGTGAACCCCCGCAGCGCCGGCCGCAAAGCATTCCATCCATCCATCTGAACATTGACCTCATATCGCAATCTTGTACCAACTACGTTCATGCCTTCTGTTGTGAACCATACACCAATACGCATACTGTAATCATCATGCATACATTGTACTACCAGCGAGCGCGCGAGCGCAGTGAGCATGTGGGGGTCGAGTGAGAGTGGTGCTTCTGGTGAGCGGGCGCCACGAACGTCATGATGTGAGGCTGCGCGCTTAGTGTCCGTGGGTATGTGGGAACAGGCAGTCACCAACCAACGAGCCAGAGTTCTGGACGCGATGGATGGAAGCATGGGCGCTGATGTTCGTGGGAGTCGGGAAACAGAACAGAGGGAAGACAGAGAGGGAAGACAGAGGGAACAGAGGGAACAGAGGGAATCTGGAAGGGAATCTCGGTCAGAAGGGTTCACGAGAGCTGGACGAGGTACCGTAGGAACCGGGGTGAAGACTGGACAGGTACGGGAGGTCCGAGAGGTACGGGAGGTACGCGGTTCCAGCGGGTTGCCCTTGTGCTTGTGCTTGTGCCTGTGCTCGTGGTGCTGAGTCTGGGTCACTATACGACGGGTGTGTGCGGTCAGAGCTCGATGCGACCGAGACGGCCGAGACAAGTCTGGGCTAATTGGCAGAACTGTGGAGAGGACTGCATTTGAGCGTGTGTATGGTATGGTACGGTAACTTGGATGGTAAGGTCTGAGCCTCCCGTCCTCCGGACGCCTTCCGTGCTCATTCTCGGTAGATCTAGCTCCACAATTAGTGTAGTTCGCGGAGTGGCAATCACACAAGCTCCACACAAGCTCCGGGCCTGAGGCTAGAGGCTGAAGTAATAGTCGTGTATCCAAGGTTGCTTCGTTGCTTCGTTGCTTCGTTGCTTCGTTGCTTCGTTGCTTCGGTCAGATCGGTCAGATCGGTCGGTCCCAGCAGCTCCAGAGGATTAGGAGTGACCGGATCAATCTCGATCCACCCTCACGAGATGAATGAACATCCAGCCATCTCGTCCAGTACCCACACAGAGTCGTTCGATCCAGGCACTGCTTGCACAACCGGGTCATGGTCTAAGGCTCGGACGTGAGACTCTGAGTACTGGAGTGAAGAGAGGAGGGCAGGTGACTGACTGACTGACTCGCTGCGCGCTGCGAGTAAACGGGGATAGAGATGGGAGATGAGATGGGCCGAGTCCCGGAGATCTACATAGCAGCGCAGATGACGCTGAGTACCCTGCGGGTGACTCGTATGACCAGGACCCGGGATCTGGACGCGTCTGCTGTGTCCTGTGTCCTGTGTCCTCTGCTCTCCGCCTCAAATGGCAGACGCGAGGCAGTTCAGTGTTCAGTTACCAGGGAGCGCGCCGCGACATTGTGGAGTCGCGCTCGACGCTACGCAATCTGCAAAGCATGCAAAGCGCACCGAGCTCACCGAGCGAGATAGTCACCATGCCCCATTCCCCATTCCCCAGCCCGGGACAAGGCTCCGCGCAGTCGTTCGGAGCATTAAAGACAGCGAGAGAGAAATAGTACGTTATCCAGGACCCGGGTAGGACCTGAGGTCTCGGAGCGATGATTGATAATGGGACTATCTTGCCGGCAGAGAGTATTCACTCTGTGCTGCGCGCTGCGCGGGACAATCTCCTCCCTAGGTTCTAGCCTCCCTCTGTCCATAGCCTCAAGTCCGGTGGTCCGCATGGTTCGGGCCACAGACCAGGAGACCAGGAGGCCAGGACAGCGGCGTCCACTTTCACTTTCTCCTTCGCCGACGCTTCGCCAACGGCCAACGGCCAGTGTATACGAGGAACGCCCGAACGCCCGAACGCCCGAACAGCCGAACGGCTGGATGGGAGACTTACAGACTCGTTACGATACAGAACACCGTCCATCGCGACGCCTCTCTCGTTAGCGCTAACGGTCAGTCATGACCGTGCTTGCACGTCTGTGCATCTGATCACCTGTCATGTCCAGAGTGCCCGTCATGATCCGCTGCGCTCCGGGGCACAGGGGAATACATTAGCAGATGGGAGATCAAACAAGTGGGCTTTAGACTGGGAACGACCGCAACCTCGCAGCCTCGCAGCCAGCCGCAATCTGCGCGCAGCCCGGGGCGGGCCTTCAGACTAGACACTGGGGCCACTGGGGCTCAGCGGGGCAAGAAAGTCTAACTAGTCTAAGCTGCTCTCTCTCCCCTAAGATCGGTCGGAGTAAGTTCTAACCCTTGAGTGGTGGTGGCTCGAGACGAGCCCATCTTCCTAGACGTTGACGAGATCCGCGAAATGAAAGATGGCAGCTGACGCCGGCACAACTGTGGAGCCCTCAATTCATTCATCGAGGTGGGCAGCCCTCTTCAGCGCGGCAGACAGAGAGTGTACGGCAGGTACCGGCAGGTCGCGGAGGCGCCGAGACGCGGGTGGAGTAGATGAACTCCCCGATCGTGTGCCTCAGCGCTCTCGACGCGTGCTTGCCTGGTTGTAGCAAGGCTTTCCGGTGTTCTCGAGAAACTCTCGTCCGACTTAGTGAATCCTCAAACCTCAAATGCAGTGCGAATTGGAGCATCGCCCAAATCGCCCAATTTGGGAGACATGTTGGTTTGAGGCTGATTGAATCACCGTCCATCTCAATGAGTGCTCAATGACTAAATGTGGTCGTGCAGATGATTGAATGACCTGAATGTGGTGGGCAAACCCCAATACCGCCTCCAACTCGTCAAAGTTATGGCGCAGTAGTCGATCTCGCGAGACTCTCAGTCTCGGTGCTCGGAGGTGGGATCTCCTACCCCCGCGCTGCTATGTAAGCTCGATGGTGGTGGCAGGACAGTTAGATCGGTTCGGCGCCGGAGTACGCCGGAGTACGCCAGAGTACGCCAGAGTACGCCGGAGTACGCCGGAGTACGTTTTCTCCGCTTCCTGCGAGCTGCGCTGGACTGCGCCGGTTTGGTCTCGTGAACACCGAGTGTGGTCTCGTGAGCACCCCTCCAGCCTTCCAGCCTCCACTCCCAGCTCTCAGATCTGGACGCAGGTCAGTCTCATGCGAATGACATTCACAACCCGTTCGGACTTCTCTTTCGGACTCCATGCCCACCTGCATGGTCCAGTGCCGTGCCCGGCGTGTGTCGCTGGGACCTAGCTGGACCCAGCTGGACCTAGCGGCGGACCTGGCAATTGACATCTCGCATTCTGCAGAGCTTGTAGAGCTTCATGTGTGCTTCTGGGAACGACCGAAAGCGAGAGAAAAAAGCCATTCGCCAAACTTGTCCTATTCACCCGCACACCTCTCTGCCTCAGCTGATCCAATTCAACCACGTCTATTCTGCGAACCCAGATCTTGGACCGAAGCCCGCTCGTTCCACTTCACACTTCCCACTCACGTCCAGGCCCCGGTTCCGAGCGCCAAAGAGTTGCGATTCCGGCTCCATTCCAGTACTCTGACCCACTTCTGCAGGGCGAGGGCTCAATACCCGCTCCCACTCCCACTCCAGTCAATTCAGAGCAGACTCTGGCCAAGCCCCGGACTCACACTCGCACTGACACCGATGAATAGTCACACGGACACGCTGACCCGCATGTAAGGAAAGCACGCGCGTTCACCCTCTTACCCACGCTCACTCACACTCACTCGCTCTGCTCGTTTGCTGGTTCGCGCGGGGCGTGGGAATCGTTGCCAAGTGAGTACATGCATGCTTGCTGGTGGGACGCACGACGCGTCCCCCGTTCCGTAATGTATGACGTTGACGCGTGTCGCGCCTGCCCTTTTTCGTGTCGCTCATTAAGCTCGGTCGTTACGTCACTGTCTCAGACCCGATGTGGGAATCTCCTCGCAGTCGTCCAGCGGTGGGTGCCGCCCCATGACTCATGACTCATGCCTCGGCGTCGTCCATAGCAACGTCCGGGTCCGATTCCGGTTCTGGCGGTGCACGCAGCAGAGCCTCCGCCGTCAGCACGTCGCGGCCCCGCACGAGAATGTTGGCCGTGTTCGTCGTGCTCGAGTACAGCATTCGCACCCCGTTCGAGTGCAGCAGGTCCGAAAACTTGGTCACGAGACCGGATTTGTCTGCAAGTTAGCTGATCGCAAGCATATTCCAGCTCGTGATTTCACCTCTATACTCACCCAGATGATACGTGCTACTATCCAGCGACCGGAGATCTAACTGCAGGCAGCGCATCGTGCGGCTCGACTCGACCGGGTCGTTCTTGAAGTCGGGCGTCGGCATGCCGCTGTCGTCGGGCTCGTCCCAGTCCTGCGCCTGCTGAATGCGCTCGAGCGCCGGGCCCAACTTGCCAATCTCGCTCTCGACAGCCTCCAAGCCCATTGAGCTCCTGCCCCAGGTCCAATTGCGAAGCGATGCGCCAGCGCCCTCGCTGCAGCGCCGCATCATAGGCGGCGGGCGGCGCACACCGTCACTCTGCGTACGGCTGTGCCCTGAGGAGGAGCGTGACATGCCCGTCATTGCAAAGTTGGGCCGCAGCGGGGAAGACACGGCTGAGCGCACTGGTGTGATCACGTATGACTTGTTCGTCGGAGTCGAGCTCTGGCTCCATTGCAGCGGAATCGTCCCCGGAAGGCTGACTCGCCGGCTCTCTTGCGACATTGATGACGAAGAGCTCTCCGAGTCACTGTCGTCGAGCTCACCGGCAGCGCTCAGCAGCTCCTCCTCTTGGTCAAACAGCGACTTGAGCACGCGGATCTCGGTCGAGATGGAGATGCCGTCCTCTGTCCGCGTATAGCTGATGAATGGGCGGGTGCCGTGACCTGCCGACCGCGATCGGGATCGCCCAGAGGAGCTCGAGCTCGACCGCAAGGCCTCCTTCACTCTGGTCGGCCACACAAGAAACTTGCGCAGACGCTCGCACGACCGCTCCTCGACGTCTAGCGGTAGGCCTATGCACGCAAGAGGGGACGAGAGCACGGTGATCTCGGCAATGGGCGATTCCGGAGGTGACGGGGGCGAGTGGCTACTTCGGCGCGCGTGCGGAATAGGTGCGACAGCATCGACGTGCCCTGTGAGGAGTCAGCCACTAGCTCTGCACAGTGACAAAGCACACCCTACTTTGGGGTCTTCGTCACGACCAATTGATCCGTGTGTGCCTTGCGCGGCGACGTCGCCGGGACCACAGGACCAGGGTTACTCACATCCACGACCTCGGAAGATCTCTGCGGCACGCTCGAAGTCTTCTGCCTTCACCAGGAGGAAATCCGTGAAGTAGCTCGACTGGTAGAGGATCGAGACGTTGCCTTCGGCGAGAGCGGCGGACACGTGCCGGAGATGCGGGCTGTCTGATGGTCAGCTTTCTTTCTGTCATGGATATTTCACTCTGTGCTGCGCGCTGCGCGGGACAATCTCCTCCCTAGGTTCTAGCCTCCCTCTGTCCATAGCCTCAAGTCCGGTGGTCCGCATGGTTCGGGCCACAGACCAGGAGACCAGGAGGCCAGGACAGCGGCGTCCACTTTCACTTTCTCCTTCGCCGACGCTTCGCCAACGGCCAACGGCCAGTGTATACGAGGAACGCCCGAACGCCCGAACGCCCGAACAGCCGAACGGCTGGATGGGAGACTTACAGACTCGTTACGATACAGAACACCGTCCATCGCGACGCCTCTCTCGTTAGCGCTAACGGTCAGTCATGACCGTGCTTGCACGTCTGTGCATCTGATCACCTGTCATGTCCAGAGTGCCCGTAACTCAGGGTGGCTTATTCCCAAACTCCAGAGTCCATTCCAACGCCACGGCACAACAACAACGTAGACTCACCATAGTTGGCCTCAGCTTCCTCGCAGTCTCCGGACGAGATCTCGAATACACCCCACGGCCCGTCAATCTGGACATGCTCGTCAGGCGTCCATTCCGAGTTGATCAGCGACGTCGAGGCGAACAGGGCGATCTGCGATTAGCTCGAGGAATGCGACAGTGAGAGCAAAGATAAGGAACAAAGCGATAGGGGCTATGCGTCCCGATACCCCGATGGCGAATGTCACGGCGGCGTGGACACACAATGAGCACCGACAAGAGCGCATGAGACATGTCTGAGCCGCCGCGGCGCTGGCGGCGCTGGCTGGAGCTAAAAAGATCCAATCTGCGTATTTCCGAGTCGCGGTAACGGCGTGTGCTCCGTGCTCTATGGCGTGCTGCTGCCGGCACACGCGGCACACTCCACGTCGTCGGGCACGCTGCCCACGCCTGCCTGCCCATGCGCGATCATGGACGCCAGTCACAGAAGGAACGCCAGTGAGGAGATCACACGCCGCCGACCACGCTTCCCCCGATCCGATCTCCCCCGCTTCTGGACGGGTTCGGTTGACTCACTTCAATGCGGTTCGCGGTGAGGTTGAAGAACTCGCACTCCCTCGCGCGCTCTAGCGTCCAGTACAGCTCGTTCGTGTAGTTTTGCGCAAGGTGGACGGGTATATGAACGATGGACACTGAGGTTTCGAGGGGGCTGGGTGTCAGCTAACAGCGGAGATCAGTGAGCGGGAGCAGTGACAGCCAGCCGCGAGTGCAGCATGCAGCATGCAGTATGCAGCGCCGGGGCAGCGGTAGCTTCACGCCGTAACGGCATGGAGCAACTACGTACACCACACGGAGTGTGCGTGTGGGTGTCTTCCTCGCAGACGATGCGGTGGGAGACTCACTCGATAGTGATACTGGACATCGCCCAGCGCGCGGGGGAAGCGAGGAAGAGGGAGCGGCCGAAAGATAGCGGACGGCGGGAAGTCGGAAATGCTACACGGTTTAGCGATGCAGTGACAGAAAAACGAATGCGAAAAAGAAAGTAAATAGAGAAGAGAGGAGTGCAGGAGTGCGATGCATTGGTCGTCGTGCATCGTCGTGTGGAATTGAGTCACGCTGGTGTGCTTGGCCCATGTCGCCCGGCTGGTCTGGCTGGTCTGTGCGGTGTGCGATCGCGCGGCCTGCCGTCTGCCAGTGTCTCCCGGCGGAGCTCACTAGTGCGCTCACCCGCTTCGACGCCACCGCCGCGCTACATGCGCTACTGCAATCGAGGCACGCTCGGTGCTCCGCAGTCTGTCTCAAGTAGTCCTTACTGACAAGCTGACAAGCTGACTACCAATGCAGTGGGCCGTTCGTTCCGAGGCGAATGCACGAATGTTTGTGTACCGGTGGCCTTGCGCCGAGACGCCGCCGAGCTCTCGGCACCAGACGCAGGGGCCCATTGGCCATCTGGCCGGGATATGACGAAATCCATCCCCTCTCGTGTCGGGTCCGGTGGCCGTCGCCGCGCGTCGTTCTGGCCTCACTGCAATGCTGCTGCGGGTCGACCGACCGACGCATGCCCGATTGCACTGCACTGCACTCGCGCACTGCGCATGTTGTGAGGTACAATGCTGAAGCAAGCAAGCGGGAGGGAGGAAGGGACCAGAGCCGGCGGCCCGAAAACGCCGAGATTCGCGTAGGGCTAGGAACCAAACAACCCCTCGCCACCGCTACCCCGGTGCCGTTGCGACGGAACCAATTCACCTCCACCCCGCGCTCACTGTCTGTGCTGCGAGACTCGGACTCGTAAACAAAACCAAACCAACTGGACGTCGCCTATCTCGACATCCTAGAACTCGACAGCAACCCATGGCGACAAGACAATCCCTCTTCCCTGCCCCGCGGCAGTCGCTCCATCCGAGCGCCCATGCTCGGCAGAGCTACGCCCCCAACGCCCTCCGACAGAGTCTGCAAGTGCCTTCGTCCGACTTTCTCTCCTCGCTCGAGGACTGCGTCGCGAGCACCGAGGCGTGTGTCGCGAGGTTGGACGCAACGAACAAGGCCTTCGAACCGGGCATAAAGGATCTGCCAAGGATCAAGCGGATCTTTGACCACAATGTGGTGAGTACTGGGAGTTGGATGGAAGTGGGGTGACAGTGGTGGTTGGTTAATGGAATGAGTATGCTGACAGAATAGTGGTTCCTAGTCCTCCCCGAACCCACCGTCACAAAGCGGCGACACGAGTACGCCTCCTCGCTCCGTCCCCAGATCGACTCGCTCGTCGAGCGCGCCGAAACGCTCGTCTCCTCCGAATCCTCCCAACTCTTGCATGCGCGCGCAAGGCTGCAACAACTCGAGTCCGCCCTCCGCCCAGCCCTCCCCGCCGCACCGCGATATGCCAACACCTTTTTGAGTAGCGAGGAGGAAAAGGTTGGGTGCAAACTTGAGAACAACCTCGAGGGGAGGAAGGACCTGACGATGGCGCAGAGACGCAAGATTGGCATGTTGAGGAATAAACGGGAGAGGCTTGAGAGGGAACGCGCAAAATTGCTTGCTGCCCGCGCGTAGGGGCGTAGGGGATTGCGTAGGAGAGGGAGTATCGATGAGTAGAGACAAGCTGGAGCTCTGTTGTACGATAACTTAGTGTACACAAGGAATTACATCGAGAAGTTACATAGTCTACCCATTCACCTGCTGACATAACTGACCAAGACTCTCACGCACCCCTTTCCTCTGTCATGCCATTGCTACAGCCCCACACGCCTGCGCTTCTACTGACCGCCCCCAAGGGGACTGGGCTGTCCCCATCCCGCCAGGTTCCTGCTCCCATCGACGAGACTCGCGCTCCTGCTCCGAATCCGGTCGGCGAGGGATCCGCTTCTGCTCCTGTTCCCTCCCCCGCTGGGCGCCGAGCTACCCGGCGACGGCAACAGCCCCAGTCCATTCGCAATGGCGAGCTGGACACGGCACTGGTCGCAGAACCGCGCGCCGCCCAGCGTGTCGACGGCCACGGCGTGCGTGGAGCAGAAGGCGCCGCCGCACCCGCTACAGATCCTCCGGGGCTCGAGCAGGCCGAAGGACCGCGTGCAGTCTGGCGACATACACGAGGAAATGGCGTCCGAGACGGGCCGAACGGGCCCCTCCGGCAGCGTCCACTGGTATAGACCGTACTTCTTCCGCAGGGGAGCAGAGGAGGGGGCGCTGCTCTCGGTTGAGGATGGCTCGAAGGCAGCGTACAGCACCTCGCCGACGAAGCGGACTGCCGTCACGGGTCCTTCCTCGGTGGAGAGCACGCCCTTCTTGACCAGCTTCCAGGGCTCGGTCGGCTCGCCCTCGGCGCCAGATGCCGCACTGTTCCCGGGCACGACCTGATACAGGCCGATACCGTTATCGATGCCAACGGCGAAGAAGTCGCCGAGTGTCAGGAACTCGCGAGGAAGGAACGAGATGCCGCCCGTGAACATTGACCCGGACTCGAGCGTCGTGCTGGCGATGGCGTGTCCGTTCAGGCTGTACACGTACAGGCTCGTCTGCGACGCCAGCGCGACATGCCCGTTCGACTCGTTGATACCGACCAGCTGTACGGAGGTAGTGCTGGGCGTCTGCAAAGTGCGCGTGTAGCGTAGCTGCGACGTGTCCCAGACCATCGCGTTGCCGTCGGGCGTGCCAGTCACAAGAATGTTCCACGCAGTGCTGACTGCCATGCAGGTGACAGGCTGGTCGTGGCCGCGCAGAGTCGCCTCGCGAGAGAGCTGGACGTCGCCACGCCGAGAACCGGAGCCCTTAACGATGAGACGCCACGCCGTAATGACGCCGAGAGGCGAGACGGTGATCAGCAGCGTCGGCGATGCGAACGCCGCATGCTGCACGGGCACGCCCTCGACGATGAACACGAGCTGACGTTAGTTTCTCTCCACACGGAGACAACTCACCTTCTGGCCCGTCTCCTGGCAGTACACGCGCACCGAGTCGTCCGCAAAGCCAAATTGCACCGACAGGTTCGTGTGCTCTGGCACAATAAGCCTATGCTTCTGCTGCACGCTCGGCTTGTCGTTGCCCCTGGGGTCAATGTGGTCGATGCGGTTCTTGCTCTCGACGACGGGCAGAGCGCTGCGGAACAGGAGCTGCCAGTGTTCGGCGACACCATACTTGGTTCCGACGGGGTAGACGGTCCGCACCTGGCGTGTACGCGCCAACGACGCGCTGGGGATGCGGCGTCTTGAAAATCTGGCGCGGCGTCTGGCCAAAGTTGTGGATGATCGCGGTTGACGCCGCCTTCTCGCTCTCGTCCGTCATGGCGTCCAGGTCGACGGCGCCGCGGTACGACAGCGGGTGGAAGCAGTTGAACGCTGACGGGTCGCGCTGCTTGTATCCGAATGTGAGGTCGATCCATGCCGGCAGGTGCCGTGACACATAGTCAGACTCGAGCGCCTCGCGATTCCAGTGGACGAAGAGCATGGGATCCTCCATCGCCCACGGCGGGAGCTGAACGTCGTCCACGTCCTCACCCGACACCTGCTTCTTGCCGAGATCGAGACGGTTGACGTTCTTCAGGAACGAGGGACTGTAGAAGAACTCGGGGATGAGTTCGCGCACATCGCCGCGATTCTCGCGCGAGGCGCTGTCCCAGGCTCGTGGGATGGACGAGAAGAGTCGGTCTGCCAGGTCAAAGTTGCCGCCCTGCAGAGCTAAGAAGATCTCGGTGAAGGGTGACATGCGGATCATGTAGCCGCACACAATCATTGAGGATGAGTAGTGCGTGCCGTAGTGGAATGGCGGCTCACCAACGCCCTCCGTCGCCTGGTACCTCTCGACAGCGGCCTCGCGCCGCGCCTCGGACAGCGCGCCCATGGGCAGCGAGAGATCGCGGAACGTGGCCGGATTCGTGAGGTCGAGCACCTTGCTCTCATAGTCGGCAAGAACCCACGGGAATACGGGGTACTGCGTGACGTCGTTTGGTGTGCGGTTTGCGTGCTGATTCAGCATCTGGAGGTATGCAAAGTTGGAGATCTCGCGATTCTGCCACCGTCTCGTGAACACCTCGAGATGCTGCGTGTCCATCGCCTTGGCGACGTTGGCAACCGTGTCGAGGAGCAGCGAGCCGAGCACAGACTTGGCGAAACCCTCGCGGCTGTCAATCTTGGCGTTCAAGCGCGACGTGACCGTCGAGCGCTGCTTCTTGTCCTTGAACACGACGAGGAAGTTTTGCTTGTCTTGGAAGTACAGCTCGAGCGCGACGTCGCGGAACAAGAAAGCGCGCTTGTTGATCTCGACGACCTCGGCGTACGGCCACCGGTGCGAGCGCTGGTCGTTCGGGTCAAAGTCGGCCAGCGTGCCGGACGGAATCGTCAGGACGTCACGGGGGGCTTGGTCGGCCTCGACAACCTGGCCGTCGGCGGTCTGCACAAGGCCGTCGATGAGGTACAGGTTGCGCCGTCCGAGGATGAGCAGGCCAGGGAGGGCGTCCACGCCGACGATGCGCACAATGTTGTGCGCCGACTCAATGACGTCGCCAGCCTGGAGAGACCGCGCGATCAAGCGCATCTTGTCGTCACCCTCATCTTCGTCGTGGCCGTCTTCCTCGTCATCGCTATCCAGTCTGTCCTTGTGGATTGAGGAGCCAAACGCCTGCCTCGTCGGCGTGCCAGCATTGCTGCCAGATCCGGTTTCTGCTGTCAGCTGCAACACAGGTGACGTGAAGCTCACCTTCCTCGATTGGCGCCTCTCCCTGAACGAGCGCGAACGGATCGTCCCATGGCGCATCGTTGATCCTGGAGATAGCCGACGACAGCTCGTCGGGCTCGGGGATCGCATCACGGACCTTGCCCCGACGCTTGTGGTCGACGCGGTGCGTGTTCTGAATCCTCTCCAGGCGCCCGCGCATACGTAATGGGCCCTCGCTGCCGTCGAGGCGCCACTTGACGGGCCCTTGCTCGTCCGCCCAGATCCCGTTCTCGGTGCGGAGGCTCGCAACATAGCGCGGCCACTCGACCTGGGCGACGCGGTGCCAGTGCTCCTTCCTGTCTAGTGTCATGGCCGAGTGACGCTGCATGTCGGTCGCGAGGATAATCTGGCGCCAGGCGGCGTTTTTGTCCTTTTCCTCCTCGAGAAGCGATTCGCCCGTGAGGACGCGCTTCAGGACTGGCTTCTCGCGGCGCGAGCTTGTACGGCGCGGGGAGCCTATACGCTGCAGCAGAGAGGAGGAACGAGACAGCGGCGAAGACGTGGCCGAGGCGCTCGGGCTGGTCGGGCTCCTGATGCTACCAACGGACGCCGACATATCCCCGTTAGAAGCAGCCTTCAGTTGCTCGACGCATAATTGCATCTGGTTGATGGCAGTCGAGGGCGCCTTTGATAGCTTGATGAGCGCCTCCAGGAAGCCCGTGATTGCCCGGCGCTGGCGCTCGACGCCGCTGCCTTCGGCGCTCGCCGAGACAGTGGCAAAGTCGACAATGCTGGGGAGCAGGCTGTCTAAGCGCTTCGAGTTCAGCGCCTTCCGGAACCCGGCCGAGCTGCGGTACGTCACTGTCATCTTGGTGACGAGGTTCTCGAGGCGACCGTCGCACTCGTCTCCGCGCTCCGGCTCGTCGCCTTCAGCAGTCAAAGCCAACGAGCTGACCGAGGCTGCGATGCCAGCGACAGAGTCCTGAGGCTGTTGTAACAGCAAATCCAGCGCGGCCATGATAATGGCCATGACACCGGGGCACGCCAACGAGTCCTCGGGGCCAAGCATCTTGAACACCTGCTTCTGCACGGCGTCGTCCCAAAGCGGGGCAAGGGCGCGAGCGAGCGTGATGAATCCGCCCTCCTGCTCAAACTTGTGCTGGAACGACGAGTCCAGGCGCGGTGTAGCAAGGCACTTCTGGACGATCGTGAGGCAGGGCAGGACGACAAAGGGCGCCTGGTTGCTCTGCAGGAAGATGACAAGAAGGCGCGGCAGCGAGATCGCCTTGGCGAGCTTCATGGTACGCTTCGGCATGAGGATCTCGCCGATCATCGTGAGGATCAACGCCGCGGGCAGCTGCGAGGGGTTGGCCTCCGCGAAAGCCGCAAGCTCAGGCGGTGGTGCGTCTGTCGTTAGCTTGGCTTGACGCGGTGGGCAGCTACGTACTTTGACACAAAGCTGACACAGCGTATGCGAAAATCGGCTTGAGGGCATCCTCCGCGCTCCACCTTGCGATGAGGGCAGTCTTGAGAGCGTCGACTGCCATGGGAAGTGTCTCGACGTCGTAAAGCCCCGAGCGCATGGCGTACAGCAGCTTGCGAACAATGTTGCTCCTCTGGAACGTGCGCAGGAGGTTGTACCGCTTGTGCTGCGACGTGGCGAGCAGCATCTCAAAGTGGTCGAAGTACAGCTCCTGCACTTCCTTGCTGGCCAGGGCCCAGAGCTCAAACTCAAGCCCGAGGGCGCGGTACGCTGTCGTGTTGTTGACGACGGCGTCTTCCGACTTGCTGTAGTCCACGCCACAGATGAGGAGCAGGGTTCGCGCACACTCGACAGTGACGAGCTTCATCTTCGGGCGCAGAATCGCCGCCAGCAGCTCGTACCCGTGGATACGCTCCATTTCCTCGCTCGTCTGCCAGCAGTCCTTCGTCATGTCGTACAGGATCTGGACAGTCTGCGCGAGCTCCTGGGACGTGCGCGCAATGTCAATCATCTTGAGCGCGACGACCGCGCCGCCAACGGTCGTGATACCGACATCGAGATCGACAGTCGAGAAGGGGAACACGGCGCCATGCAGCTCGGCGCGGCCAAATTTGAAGTCTCGTGCACGAGCTGCGTGCGGGATCGCGGCATTCAGGACATGGTCGTAGTCGCCGTCAAAGGTGTCCTTGGCGTTCAGGCTGAAGGCAATGCTGTCCTCGGCGATCGCGGGGCCAGTTCTAACGGCGCGCACGACGGCGGAATTGGACGGCAGCAGCGCCAGCGTCTTCTGCTTGGCCGCCTGCGCCATGGTGTGCAGGTGCACGTTGATCGCAGTCGCGTTCTCGTACGTCAGGAACTTGCCCAGAGCCTCCTGGTAATTGCCGTGGTAGCGCGGACCGAGGCGATGCATCAGCATCACGAGATCTTCGTTAACGACCTCGTCGAGCATGAGCGCACGACCGAGCAGCCACTCGTTATCCTCGGCACGGGCAAAGGAGGTGTCCGCCTCCGGCACCTCGTTGTCTTGTATCGGCGCTCGGCCAACGTTGACCTGGATACCCTCGAAGCGCCTCTGATGCTCCAGCTTCAGCCCCGGTTTCGGCACGGGGTACGCTACACGGACAGCACCGACGCGGACACCGTTGATGTAGAAGCGCGCCTCACCACCTCCACCCGTCGTCGAGCGGCCCTTCCTGCATCCCGCGGCGAAGTAGACCCACTCATTGTGCGGCACTAGGGCATCAGGAGAGCCACACACGACCTCCTCCGGCGCCGTCGTGTCCGAGTAACCGCTGGTCGTGATACCTATTTGCGAATTCTCGAGCACGCGAATCTGCAGCAGCGGATACGGCTGGTCCTTCTGGCTGAGGTGGAGGAGGGTGATGGCCTCGTTCAGTTTCGAGATCCGCAGCCAGCAGGAGAAGAAGAATCCTTTCGTCGACGATGGCCACGGCTTGCCCAACTCAGGCACGTGGATGCCCGACGCATTGTTTTGGCTCGAACGGAACACAAACGAGTCTGGGTTGCGCTGCGTCATGGCGTTGTGGATGAGATTGAGTACCTCCTCATCGAGCGTCTCACCCTCCACCGGCGTATCTGTTGCGATTCGTAGAGGCGCCTTGCCACGGAACGGCTTTTGCTTCTCGGACTTCTCGGTCGCGTCTGGCGTTTCAGGCTGGGGGGTCGTCTCCCTCGCCTGTGACGGAACCTTGCGCATGAGCGAGAACAGGCGCCACGTCTCCTCCGTGCTGGTTCCAGCCTCGAGAACCCGTTTCAGCAGCAACAGGTACACTTCTCGCAACTCTGGCGTCGGCGCGGACCATTCCGGCGCAGTCTCCTTGCTCTCGACGGCATCGGCGAACCACTCTTCTCGCGGCGGAAACGTGTCGTCAAAGTGCCGCGGGGCTCTCCAGCCGTACAGCCGTGTGATGAGGAAGTCACCGAGCTCGGGTAGAAAGCTCTTAATAAGGTAGAGGTTTGGCGTCGACTTGGCGGCAAGCAGAAGAACCCGGAACAGGACCAGGATCAGCTTCTGCTGCACTGGCGAGGCATTCTTCTCGACCTGCCCCGATCGCGCAGCATCGTGCAGCACTGCCCGCTCCTTGCCCTTGCCACTTGGCGGTGGGCCGAGGACGTACGCCCAGAGCGATGGGATCGCAGCCGGCCAACGGAGACGTACGTCGCCGACCTTGTCGAGCGCCTCGGCGTCGATTTCGCCACCGCCCTTGAATAAGCTCAGTAAGGCGTAGTTGTTATCAAGGATATGCGCGAGGAGAAGGCTGAACACGCGCGGGTTGGGGCTGGTCTCGTCCAGTCTGTTGACTGCGGGGAGGAGGGATGCGTAGCCAAAGTGGTCCTGCTCGTTAGCTGACACGATCTCGAGAACCAGCATCGGGTGCCACAGTGATGGCTAGCACTCACCCTGAAGTGCGCCTCGCCACCCCTGTCCATGGCCCACGCAAGCACCTCGAACCACAGTCTCTGGCCTTCAGCGAGCTGCACCTCGTGTACTAGCCACTCGTCGGGGGAGATTTCGTCTGGACGGGATTTCCACGCCAGCGCGTCCAGCGAATTGACGAGCGCCTCGAACCCGGACTGCTTGCGGAACGCCCGTCGAGTGCTGGCAGTGGCTGGCATCGAGAGGAGCTGGGAGAACGTCTGGGCGTCAGCTAAAGCGGTCAGAGGCACAAAGCTATCAAAGGAGACATACCTCGACATACTGCATCAGACCCTCGTCGTGCTGCAGCGCATGCACTAGCCCGACGACCTGCAGTGCCTCGTGGTCGTCTTCCTCCGCCGGCGGCAAGGAAGGCACGCTGTCGCCCGTCGGAGCCGGGGACGGAGCCGCGGGCGTAGCGAGTCTACTGCTGTTGACTGGGGCTGCTGGACCCTCGCCGCTGTTCGGCACAGCCGGCTGCCCAGTCTGCCCAGCCTGTCCTGCGGGCGGGGTCGGCTCGCGTGCCAGGTCCTTGAAGATCTTGAACATGGCTGGGATACGATACTGCTCAGAGCATAACCAGGGGACACGGCGGGGGGAACGGCGACAGTCGCTATCGCTTCGTCCTTCGTTCGGCTTTGGTCTTTGGCTGATCTGATGTTGTGCGTGTGAGCGGGAGGCGAAGCGTGTGTGATGAAAGCAGTCAGTACCGTGCTTGTCGCTGGCCTGTGATCTGGTGACGCAAGTACGGTGGCCAGTGCGATGCGGGGTTGTCGGTTGGCACGTGAGCTGATCTCCCACGGTAACAAAGGCCACTGTGCCTGGAACCAAGGGGCTGGGCGCGTGTGTGATGTGTGATTCGAAAGGCGAGACTCGCCATAGAAAACCAACTGCGCACAGAACTCCGGTGCAGGGGCGGTGTTCCTGACGTGCGGTTTGTTGGTAGGCCTGGTATTGGTAGGACTGACATAGGATCCATAGGATCCGTAGGAACGCGGGGCGGGCACAACAGTCAGACGCGATCAGAATTAGCAGCGGGCACGCGGGGGCGACGGGGTCCCTCTCCCCTTTCTGTCCTGTCTGGCAAGTTCGAAACAACAGTTGTTGGAGTCACCCGAACGCCTGTCAGCTGCGACACGGTGCAGAATGCACAGAATGCACCGCAGCAATGTCTTGGTCTTGGCGTGTCGTGTTAGCAAGTCACAATGAGGCAGTGCCCGCAACCCTTGGCGGCAACAGCAGCCGGCTCCATGGACGCGACGTACGCGACGCAGCGACGCAATCATCGGGTCAGTTACCTTCGGGGACGAATAGCTAGACGATACACGGGATATGCATCACTTTAAACAGTGTAGAGGAAAAGCGAATAGTTCTACTGCTACTAATTACCTAGGAGAGATGAAGGGGGTATCGGGTCGAGCGGTCGAGGTTGAGTCGCTGGCCGTTTAGAGGAAGACAGCGGCCATACCGGCAGCAACACCGGCGACGGCGGCGCCCATAGCGACCGAGTTGTGGGCCGCGGCTCCGGCATCCTTGACACCGCTGGCAGCCGCGTTACCCGCGCTACCGGCGGCGCTGGTAGCCTTCTCGCCACCACCGCTAAACAAAGTCAGCATGCAATGTTGAGACACGGGGAAATTGAAATACTCACGCAACACCAGAGGTGAGGCCGTCCCATCCGCCCTTGACGCCCGAGGTGAGGCCGTCCCAAGCGCCCTTGGCACCCGAGGTGGCGGTCTCCCAAGCGCCGGCGCCGCCAGAGGTGACAGTGCCGAAGACGCCCTCGGCGCCAGAGGTAACAGTGCCCCAGACGCCGCCGGCGCCAGAGGTGGCAGTGTTCCAGGCGCCCTCGGCGCCGTTACCGACCTTGGAGCCGACAGACTCGGCACCGTTCTGGTTGTCTGTGGGTCAGCGGGAGAACATAAGACGGTGGTGAGCGCAATGGAGCTTGGCGAGCCGGCGGCGTGAAATGGCAACGCGAAGCAGCGAACACTTGTGCGGTGCTCAGGTCTACTCACCCTGACGGGCGACGATGATCTCGCCAGCAGCGACGAGGGGGACGAGGACGAGAGCGGCGGAGAACTTCATTGTGGATGTATGTGGGGTTGAGTATGGGGGGAAAGACAGGAGGGTTGCAGCGGCCCAAGATTATTTATACGAGAGATGAACGGACAGTGGACTAGAGAGGGGGGCAAGGGTGCGGGGGAAGTGCATCGGAGGGGGAGAGGGCACCGGAGGCGCGAGGCGTTGAGCGTGCCAATACGCAATGTCCAGGGTGGGCGAGCCGCGAGTCCCGAGAGAGGAGGCCGAGCGAGCCACAGCCCCAGGTACGTACCTGTGGTGCGGGCGACTGGAGCAAAGACGCACACAAACAGCCAGGTTTGGCCGTGAGGGAACGGCAGACGAGCAAAAGTGAAAGAACGGGTGCATGAAACCTGGACGGCGGAGGATGCCTGCAGGGTCGGAGCTGCGTGGTGCAGGAGCAATGCAGGGGCTGGGCGATTAGCGCATGATCGCCAAACCTACGCCTAAAACGTCAGTGGCCACTTGTCGGCCAGTTACATAATATCTGGAGCCTGGCATACCTGAGCCCCACTGCACACCCGCCCGACAGCGAATGACGACGTCATAACCTTTTGTGTTCTTGTGCTGATCGATCTCGGCGCATCCTGGGCTGAGAGCTGGGCTGACAGCCTTGTCGCAGCCCTGCATTACTCTCTCTCTCTCAATTGCACACGAGCTTCCACTTGTTTTGGCCATTTCACTTGCTGTTTGTATTCTGGCATTGCGCAGCATGGCGGCAACCCTATTGCGCTATTTCGGCTTATCCTGTTCATCACCCTCCCACACAACTGGCTCGTCGGGCCCGGCAGTCTGATCCCGCCACCATCGCCCTGGCCGCAACCCCGCTAGGCAACCCCGCTAGCCCGCTGCACGACGCCGAACCCGCAACTCCGATTCGCTCACCGAACGGGGGTCGCGACCGAGTGAGACACCCGAAAGCGGGGTGCTCACTCACTGCTGAAGTGCTGAGAGGCCTCGTGTGTTTACTCTTCACTCTTCCGATCGGAGCCGTGCGGTAGCGGTGCGCAAAAGTCAGCTTCTACCAGTGCAGAACGTCAGCTTCTGTGCACGCGCTCGCATTCCAGCATTGCATCACGCCGCAGTACGCTGACGAGAGTGCATTGCCCGCAGGACCGCCAGGACGCTCGGAGATGCGCGACTTTCGAACTCTTCGATGCAAATGTTGGGTGGCAAAAGCTTGGATTCCAAGGGCAGTTGCACGCATGCACCGCCTCATCAGCGGCCGGCAACCGCCGCGCAGAACGCTGATGCAAGCTTCCTCCGGTGCCCGTGTGCCCGCCGGGATACTGGAAATCGGGCTGGATATCGCCAAGCCCCAACCCGGCGGCAAGGCCAGGCAAGGCGGTGCAGGAACGTTCTGGCCACGCTCGATCGGCATGCAGACGGCGGCCGCCAGATCTCTCTGCGCACCGCGCACCAACTGCATGCACCATGCACATTGCACTGCTTGTCACCTCGATCTCGATCGTTACTATGCACAGGTGTCAGCCACCCGGTGCGAGCACCGATCGCCTGCGGATCTCTGCTCCGCAGGGACTGACTAACACACCGTCGGCATATTGGTCACGAGGTTTTCCAAGTGAACGGTGCACCACCACGAAGAGGAGGTATATAGAGCCAGGTCCAAGGTCCCGAGTTTCCCCAGACCTGGTGAAACGCGAAACGTACGTACGAGCTGAGTTGCAGATGCGCAGTGCGAATGACTGCGCGATGTCAGCTTGAGCAAGGTGATCGACGGATGAAGGCATGACGACACAGCATGTGTGCCTCCACCGAAAACGACAGCTTAACATTCGTAAGCTTCTTGATCCTCAACTTTTTCAATCTCCTCCACCCATGGCATCCACTCCGTCCATCACAAGTCTACACTTCCACTCAACAGTCGCTTCAGTAGGACCCGGCGCTGGAAACGCCGGCCGAATGCCGCATTAACCACGTTCTTCTTTTAGCACGCTCGGCGAACCCTTATCGCTTATCAAGCCCGATCGCCCGCACTCCGGACGCACGTTCGTCCGACATTTTCCCCCCACGCGCCAATCACCCTCCAGACAATTCACCATCGCTCACCAACGTGAGCACGAGTTGGGCTACCTAGGACCACTCCGGGGTCCTCGTTTGCGGTATGACGCCCCTAACTAACGTTACCTCCTGCTGATCGTGCGCGCGCATCGTGCGAGCAGCAGAGCGGCGTTCACGCCCGATGTGGAGCTGCAACCGAACAGGCCAGACTCTGCGCCCTGGGGCTTAGCGCAAGGAGGGCTCGTACTTATACTCGAACGACGACTTTTTCTCACTGAAACCACCCCACTGACGACCCAAAATGCCCTCGACGACCGCGAGCTTGCTGCTCGCGCTGGTCGGCGCTGCCGCCGTGAATGCTGCGGTGAGTAATAGCTAGCAGCCTTCCACGACAGCTGACATCAGCCTGTGAACCAAACGACTTCAGCGTCCAACGGCACCGCGCCCTCGAACGGCTCCGCCAACGCCGTCCCTGGCAAGTCGGAGTACCCCCTCGTCACTGCGCCCGGCGAGGAGCCGTACAACCTGTACGAGCCGCTGCAGCAGCGTGTCGCGATCGTGAATGCGACGACGATGGCGGTGTCGTGGAACACGTACCGCCCGCTCGACACCGACGCCGTGATCCACTACGGCCTGGACCCGCTGAACCTCGACCGCATCGCGACGACGGAGCAGACGACGTTCGAGACGTCGCGCACGTGGAGCCACCACGGCGTGCTGACAGGCCTCCAGCCCAAGACCGAGTACCACTACCGGGTAGCGTACACGAACTGCTTTGCGTGCAACACGCTGCCGACGTACACGTTCACGACGCCGCGCGAGCGCGGGGACGAGAGCGCGTACTCGGTCGCCGTGGTCGCCGACATGGGCCTCATGGGTCCCGAGGGTCTTAGCGATACTGCCGGGACGGGGGCAGGGGGGGCCCTGGGGCCGAATGAGACGAACACGATCCAGTCCCTCGTTCAGAACCTAGACGCGTACGAGCACCTGATCCACATCGGCGACCTGGCCTATGCCGACTACTTCCTCAAGGAGAGTGTGGGCGGCTACTTTGGCCTGTCGGCGCAGGACGTGCAGCCCACCCGCGAGAGGGTAGTGGACAAGTACGAGGAGCTGAACGAGATCTTCTACGACCAGATCCAGCCCATCTCCGCCCAGAAGGCGTACATGGTCGCGGTGGGCAACCACGAGAGCAACTGCGACAACGGCGGCGTGAAAGACAAAGCCAACAACATCACCTACACCGCCGACTACTGCCTTCCGGGGCAGGTCAACTTTACGGCCTACAACGAGCACTGGCGCATGCCGGGCAAACCGGGGGACACGCGGAACTTCTGGTACTCGTACGACGACGGGATGGTGCACTACATCATCCTCAATTTCGAGACCGACTTTGGTGCGGGGATCTACGGTCCCGACGAGGTGGGTGGGGACGGGAAGCAAATGTCCGGCCCTCGGGGGGCGGTGAACGAGCAGATCGACTGGCTGAAAGCCGACCTGGCGGCTGTGGACCGGAGCAAGACGCCGTGGGTGCTCGCCTTCGGGCACCGACCGTGGTACGTCGGCATCGACGATGCGCGCTGCAAGCCGTGCCAGGCAGCCTTCGAGCAGATCCTGTACGACGGCAACGTCGACGTCGTGCTCACAGGCCACGACCACGTGTACTCCCGCTCCTGGCCCGTGTACAACTACACAACCGACCCGAACGGGTACGACAACCCGCGCGCGCCGGTTTACATCACGAACGGGCTCGGGGGCCACTACGACGGTGTCGACGCACTCAGCAACCCCCTCCCGGGCGACATTGCGCACGGCATCGAGGCTGTGTATGGCTGGAGCAGGCTCACGTTCGCGAACCGCACCCATCTCAGGCAGGAGTTTGTCGCCGCCCGCAACTCGAGTGTGCTCGATAGCTTCTGGCTGTATCGCGAGCACGCCGAGGGCGCCCCCAACAACGGTAGTGGTCACGGCCACGGGCACGACAATGGGAACCACAACGGTCACAATAACGGCAAGGGTAACGGCGGGCACGACAATGGCAACCACAACGGCCAGAACAAGGGTAACAACGGAAATGGGCACGGGAACAAGTGGTAGAATCACATCGGCTTCCATTTGGGCAGCTACGATAAGAGCGGGCAGTGGTAGAATCTGATCGGATGCAGTGCAAATCTTGCTACGCGGGGAGACAGTAGGAGCAGGGCCGGCACGTACACCTCACAACAGTCGACCGCTTCACTAGATCTGGGTGGTGGGTCTCGCTCGGGGCTGCTGTTGAGTGTGGCGCTGAGCTCCGAATTTGTTCAGATTTTACGCCTGAGTTTCGGAGAACCGATCCGCGCTCGCCACACGCCGCGAGCGATGCATGCGGACCTTGACGAGCTGGATGACTGATAGGGATACATGCAATGACGACAAGAAAGTAGCTGCAGATTGATGCGAGGGAGAGATATGGGCGAGCACGCTGCTTTCCAGATGCAGCAAGCCTTTGGTAGTTTCAAAACCCAGCTCTGACCATCTCCCTGACTTAGTTGGTAGGTTTGGCAGGTACAAACATGGATATCCAGGTACCTGAGGGCTCCGCTAAAGGCGTGGCTGAAGATCGCTGTCGCGAAGGCGGCGGTGTATGCTTCGCTGAAGTGCTGGAGGTCGGCGTGGCTAACGCTTTGGCGGAAACTCGGGTACCGGAGGAGCGCAAAGAAGAAGTCGTTGAGGCTCCAGAGGACTTCGACGCCGATGAAGGACGTGTCTCGTCAACAGAGTGCTGCGATGTGGACCTTGCAGACCTTGAATGGGATGTCGAGGTAGAGCTAGAACCGGCTTTGACGGACTGCCATGTGCCCTGGACTTTGAAGGAGGAATAGGAAGCGGACGAAATGGTGGACGCCCCCGACTTGCTTGATGCAGAAGTGCTATTCGTCCCCACCGTTACTGTGGGCCGGGGCGGCATGTGAGTTGTTGACGCCGCTCGAGAGTGGGAAGAAGGTGGCGTCGGGTTTTTGGACTTGGGGGTGGAGGCAGAGGACGATGTCGTCCGCACAGCTGAGGACAGCCCTTGGCCTCCGGACTGGTGGGATGACTGCGACTTTGACATGGAGGTGGAGGCCGAGGAGGACATCGACTGCGAGGAGGAAGTCAGAGGTGGCGGCGGCAAGTCTTTGATCTTGGTAGACCGCGAAGCAGACGCGGCGGCCGAAGAGAAGGGCTTGGCTGTAACCTTGGTGGCGTCACTCTTGTGGCCTTGATTTTGGGGAGCTTTTGGACAGGAAGGGCCAACGCAGGGAGGAGGAGGAGGAGGAACGATGCCAGCCGCGCCGGGGCCGGCTCCAGCTCCGGTGCCCGCTCCTGGTCCTGGTCTTCCCGTGTCGGTGGCTGTATGTGCCGGTGTGGCAGGTTTAGCAGATGAGGGAGTGAGGCCTGACTTGTGGCTACTGGGTGTTATGGACGGCACAGCCGTAGAGGAAGGAGAGGAGCCCTTTGCGCTGTGCGGCGCCGGTTCTTTGGAGGATGCCGTGACGGCTTTCGAGCTTGAAGCAGAGGCGGCCGAGCTAAGGTCTGCCGATGATGCGCCAGTCGACTTCGACGTGCCAGACGCTGAAGTCAAGGAAGATGATGAGGATCTCGTCCTACTCTGGCTATGGGAGCCGGACGAGCTCGATTGTTTCGACGCGGGAGGGGGCTCCGGGACACACTTCGCCGGAGCTGGGTTCGAGCCGTGGCTCGGTCCCTGCTCCTGGGAGCCGAGTGTGCTGGTCTGAGCATACTCCATTACAAGCTTTGCTGTCTGACTGAGAGTCCGTCGCTGAGTTGTGGATGACTTGCCGTCAACAGCCTGGTCCGCGTCCATGAGTGCGACCGTGCTCGCCGAGTACCCCCACAGCCCGTACAGCTTGTTGTCGTTCAGCTTCACGAGTGTCACGTAGTTTGGACGGAGGAACGCCTCTTTCAGCTCTGCCTCCCACTCAGCCTCACCGCGACCGTCCCGTTTGATCAGAGCGACTGGCCGGCCATAGATGTATTGGAGTGCCTGGAGTCAGTGGCCAGGAAGCGCGGTCAAGCCCACCTCGTGAGGATGCGATACCATGTCACACACCGAGCCACCGCCGCCGACCATCTCGCTGATGCCGTGCACGAGGGCAGCTGGCCACCTGACGGTCAGTGTTAAATCCAGCGTTGCCCGACTGCAAGCCACACCCTACTCACCATGGCCCCTGCTTTACACCTGCCCTAGCAATGCTCGGAAGATCGACTTTGCCAGCGACATCGCTCCAGCCAACCCACCGAGACAAAAGTGTGCATTTAGAGGAGAAAGTGCGCGGGTCTACAACCGTCACCTTCACTTTAGGTTCCTGACCTGGTTTCGAAGGCTCCTTGGTGATCATGGAGGGCAGCTGCTTCTTGTCCTTGATCGCAACTATCTTGATTGCTACCGTGAGCCCACAAACTCGGCCGTCGGTCTGGAATACGTGACTGGGAGATATCGGGTCTTTGGCGGAACCGAAAGGCGCAACGTATAGAGCTGGCAACGCTACGACGGTGCCAAGGACTTCACGTCAGCCTTTAGGTCACGCCTCGGAATGCTCACGTTGCAACCACACCCCTATCAATAAGACCGCACCAGGTAACTTGATGCTAGGCATGTTTGGGATCGACTTGCGGTGTTGGGCATCCCTCGCCGCGTCATCTTATATATGTTTTGCAATAGATGCCATGTCGTCCAGCCGTCTGTTCCGATCAATGTTCATGACTTCGTTTCAGGTTGAATGCGGTGTAGGATGGTTTCACTCCCGGCGCCACTCGTCTCAGCAGGAAGGGCGGAGCAAAATGCCCGTAAGACATTGCGTGTTGCGGTTCCACCCCTAATAGACTGTAGAAGCTCTCCGGGAATGGCAAACAAATGCTCAGTGCTTGATTTACGTTTCGCACCACCGATGCCTCCAGATCCGAAATGACTTGGGGGGCAGGGAAAGCTTCCGTACAGCTTTGACGCGATTACGATACAGACCTAACTGCCACGAGAGCAGAGAGTCGCCCTTATGATAACGGAGCGGTACAGTGGCATTCCTGGGATGATCTATGCACAAACGGTCGGGCAGGGCTGCGAGCAGGAATGCTCTGAAGAGGGGGCGGGTTGGCCGTGTCACCACCACCAGTCGACCATCCTGGGCATCCGCCGCCACAAACAGTACGGTGTCGCAGTCCGTCGGCCACGTCGACACAGTCAACCACGCGCATGAACAGCTTCCCAGCCTCCGCGAGGCATGTACAAGACTGCGGAGGCTGCCGCGACTGAACCTTGCGCAGACGATGCTGCGCTGACCTCACGTGACCGGTGCGCTGTCTCAAACGTCAGGCCGTCTCACACCGTCGTGACTGCGTTTCATCACTCCGTTTCCCCTAGCATCTCAAGTAGCTGGCAGAATCAAGATGCTGACCGAAGTCCTTAATCTTTCTCTTCTGATGACCATATCACTGCACGATGCCGCCAAGGCTTCCACCCGAGCTGCTCCCACGCGTTCTCAGCACGGTGGACCCTGCCCAAATTGTCGACCGGCGACTTCTTGCCAGGGTGGCCCGATCATCGCGAGAACTTTACGACCTAGCAATGCTTCTGCTGTACCGGGAACTTGAGTTTGACGACCTGCGCCTTCTCGACTTCCTGGCGTGCGGGCGCCAGTTGACTCGTCGAGACCCCGAGTGGGGGCTCTTCACTGCCAAGGAGGAGAGTGAATATCCAGAGGAAGAGATGGCCCTCGGTCTTCTAGCCTAGCCTTCCCCCAGCGGGCGATGGCGCCGTTCGTTGAGGTTGGTGAGCTCCCTCTCAATACACACACCAGTCTGGGCGAAGACCCTATTTCTTCTGTGGAGTGTGAGCATACCGGGCGATCCACTTTTTCCGAACGTGAGCACGCTGCGCATTTGGGACGCTCCTCGTACACCGGGACAGCCGCCGGTCCATGCGCACATGACTATGTTGTGCGTTCACCCCGATCGGGGGTGTTGCTTTTCAACAACCCTAATTTCTGCGGCCAAGGGATCTTCGCGGCGCCGCTCCTTGTTCTACTCCCGGCCAGAGCTCACAAGAACATAACCTTTCACACGTATCCCTACCCCATGGGGTTCCAACCACAGCGCTGGGATACACGTCGCATGTTCGAATACGACGCAGCGGCCGGGATGAGGGCCCGTCGTGCCATGCGCACGCGCCAGAATCAAGACGCCCAGAGCAGCTGAGCCTTGAAGTTGTCGCGAGATCCCTCGAGCGTGGTATAGAGAGAATGGCAAAGGATGGGCCCGTAGACCTTTGCCTTGCGCTGTGGGAGTACGAGGCGGATGGCGAGCTGGACGAGCATTGGAATGAGGTCTGGCGCCAAAGAGATGAGCAGGCCATGGAAGACTGGCGGAAAGTCGCAGAGCTCTCGAAGAACCACTACGACGGAAACCTCAGGTTAGTGTTCGGGGACGTGAACGACCCTAGCCCTCCCCGCTGCCCTTCATGCGTTGTGTGCGGTGAGTTGAGAACGACGATCCGTGCTGACAGGCAGGTCAAACGTGGGTAATCCCCGAGAGAAGACGCTGGTAAGCGGCCGTCCTGCACAATGACGTCCGCCGATGTGCTCAAGGCAGCCTCAACACCAGCCGGCATGATAGCAGGTATTGGCCTTGCGCGTTTCCTTATGTCGACTTCCGCGACATAGCCACCATCCTCCCACCGTCTGCCAGTCATGCTCTTTCTCTGGATCGGCCAAGGCCGCTGGTCAGCGGTGCGCGCATCAGTAGAAAACCAGGCAGATGCTTGATTGAGTGCCACCATGCAAATTACCATACTTTCCGCACCTTGGGCCTGGACCAGATGCGAGCGCACGCGCGACCGGAGCAAAGCGTGTGCCGAGCGCCAACCCCCACGACATGCCGAATGTCAGTGCGCCGGACACACGGGGCCAAGTGGTTCGTCCACCCCGCCCCGAAACGCCTCATCTCGTCGTGTCTGTCGTGTCTTGTAGTGTCATGGTGTTCTTGCCGCCAGGTATGAAGTGTGGATCGAATCTGAGCCTGAAGTTGGTTCGGAAACGGGCCGAAGCGAGGGCCCCCAGCTTGCGGATGATGTAAGAAGACTAGCAGAGCACGTGACCCCAGTGCGGGGGGTGCGGGGTACGGCGCCCACTTCGCCGCGCCCTGTAGCGCCAGGCGCCCGCTCGCACACGGTTGGGGGGTCGACATCTCATCTCGAGCTCTCGACTTGCATCCCATCGCATCGAACACCTCCGGCTGCTTCTCGCGTCCGCATTCCCCACCCAGACACGGCCTTAGACCAAATTCCCATCCCGATCACTCACGACCTTAATCGGGCTCTCTACATTCCCGTCCGCTGGTCCCCCGATCACGATCTTATCCCGATCAGACGACCGCCCCCGCCGACCCCATCGACCAGCCAGTCAGCCGCTACGACGATAAGACCGCCAGGCATCAGCAACGATGGAGCTCTACATCCCTCCCCCAACGCACTACCTTCCGCGGATGGTTGTGCCGCCGCGCCCCGTCGTGCCTACTGTTCCCGTTGTGCCGTGCCCGCCGCTGCCGGAGGAACTCATCGCACCGGAGGGCACGTACCACCTCGCGAAGGGATGGTTCCCGGACGTTGAGGTTCCGGGACCGCTCCCGACGGAACAGCGGCCTCAGCAGATGCCTCTCGCGAGCGCGGCGCTGATCGGCGCCGGTGGCTTCTCGATGGGTACCCCGGCGTACATGCCTCTCCCGCCTCTCGCCTCTCCGAACATCTTCGCAGTCTCTTCCGGCTCGACGCTCGTCAACGGGCAATGGCAGCCGGGTCACCCGACGAAGATGTCGTTCGCGGATGTGTGGTTCCCCTCGCGCGAGACGGGCAAGGAGTCGTCGTTCGGCGCGCTCGTCCGCCGCGGCCTTGGCAAGCGCACCGAGTCCACCCCCGCGCCGCCCAAGGACGAAGGTCCCCCGCCGGACGAGTACGAGTTCAGCGACACCGAGTCCGAGTCGTCTTTCCAGTCTCCCGCCCCCGTGGCTCAGCACCAGGCGCTGACTCCCGAAGTGTCCGCCCCGGCCGCCAAGGGCAAGTTTGGCAGCAAGGCGCCAAAGACGCGCAAGGAGGAGAAGCGGCTGAGCGCCAACCGTGGCGGGTTCATCACGCGCGTGTCGCCGAACCTGAACCTAGGCTCGATCATGGATGACAAGGGGAAGAACGGTGGTGAGCGCGTGCGCTGGGCGTTCTGGAACATGGGCCGCCTCTTCTGCTGGGCAGAGGAGGGCGGCGCGGTGCTGGAGAATCTGGCGACGGTGGTGTTCCAGAACGCGCCGACGACGCACGCGCTGAGCACGCTCACAACGACGCCGGGGCGGCAGGACATTGTGGTCGGGTTCGAGACGGGCGACCTCGTCTACCTCGACTTCATCAACGACCGGACCGAGCGCTTCAACGTGGGCGGCAAGCTGATCAAGTCGGCCGTGACGGCGATCCACTTCGACCCGCGGGGCGGGGACCGGTTCCTGGCCTCGTTTGCGGACAACACGGTCGCCGTCTTTCACCTCTTCGCCGAGGACCCGAGCGAGGCGGGCATGGCCGTCATCAACTCGGTCCCCCGGCCGTGGGACAGTGTGTTCGAGGAGGCCGAGCTGCTCGCGGCCGCCAAGGCGAGCGCGAATCCCGCGGCGGCGGGCGAGCGCTCCGCGTTCCAGGACCGCGTCATCGAGTGGAAGAACACGGAGTGGGCCGTGCCCGCCGACCAGCGCGACAAGCGCGGCGAAAAGTACCCCTGGGCGGGCAAGAACCCGCTCAGCGTCGCCCGGCTCGGAACAGACTCAACGTTGACCGGCATGGCCTATTCCCCCGATGGACGCTATCTCGCGCTCATTACGCGCGACGGCCTGCTGCGCCTCCTCGACACAGAGGAGACGCGGGTCACGGACGTCTTCCAGTCCTACTTTGGAGGACTGCGGTGTGTCGCGTGGTCGCCTGACAGCCGTTTCGTCGCCGTCGGCGGGCAAGACGACCTGATTACGATCTACTCGCCGCGCGAGTCGCGCGTCGTCGCCAGGTGTCAGGGCCACACCGCCAATGTAACGGGCATCGCGTTCGACCCCACCATGCGCTCCGCAGGACGCGGGTACCGCTTCGGCAGTGTTGGCGAGGACGGCAAGCTCCTCCTGTGGGACTTTTCGGCCGCTGCGCTCCGCAAGCCGAGACACCACCACCATCCTGGCGGACATGGGGGACACCACCGCCACGGCTCCATCGGGATCGGCAGCAGCGTCAGCCTCGAAAAGACGGCGGAGGACGATGGAAGACCCAATTTCCACCCGCCTCCTAGTAAGGCGGACGTCGCCATGCTCCAGCCCGTGCTGGCCCGCCAGGTCGAGGGGAACCTCATGAGCTCACTCTACATGGGCCCGAAGACTATCTGTACAGTCAGTCGCGCGGGTAGCATGAAGTTCTGGATCAGGCCGCCGAGGCAGCCGCGCAAGAAGTCGACCAAGAAGCAGCAGGCGTAGACCGTCATCTTCAACTACCACTCATCCATATCCCGTTGTATCTCCGTTATATCACCACTGTTCTTGAGTTCTGGATTGGATGCACTAGATTCGATTGACACTGGAGGGCAAGGCAATATTGGGCCTGTTGTACACTTCAGCTGCATCAACAATAGTAGGTATTCGAATATGTATGTACAACAAGACAGGGACGATGAACCGGCGCTCTGCGCGGCGGCCGGGGAGTCTGCCTCGTCTTGCACTCCGCTTCTCTGACTGCATGCTCTTCCTCGTCTTTTGCTCTGCCTGCGCCTCCGATCCGGTGCCGTCTTCCTCCACATGCTCGCCTTCTCTCTACGCCAGGTAGTTGTACTGGTCCTTCTCCTCTCCACGCTCGAGGTACTCCTTGTCGATGAGGTGGTCGATCGCCTTCTTGATCTCGGACACCTTGGGGGTGAACTTCTGCGAGATCTGGGCGGTGACCTCTTGAATAAGCTGCTGGTGCTTCATCGTCTGTGACTGTCAGCTCTGCATCGACTGGGATGGAGCTCACCTTTCGCGCCTTCATGAGACGGACAATGTTGGCCTGGTACACAAACTTCCTGTCCTCGTCGACGCTCTGCAGGACCTCCTTTGCCTCAGCCTTCTGCTCGGCGCGCACAGGCTGGTTGAGCTGCACGCGAATCTTCTTGCTCTTGAAGTGCATGTTGAGGTCGTACGTGTCGCCGTCGTTCGTGAGCACCTTGAGCTTGGTGAGGAGGTTGAGCTGTGACTTGAGGATGCCCTCAGCAAGACCAGTGCCAGTCTGGATCTCCTTGAACGTGAGGGAGTCGTTTTCGTTGAACTGACACAGGATGACGAGCTGGTACGCGCTGACCATGAAGATGTACTTCTGGCCGAGGTACGTAGGGCGCATCTCACCCTTGGACACGTGCCAGAGCCAAGTGAGCTTACGACCCGAGTGGACGTCGTTGTAGAAGCGGGTGAAGCGGTCGTAGACACCACGGATCTCGCGCGGGACGTTGTACTCGGTGTTCTGCGGCGTGAGGGGCCAGAAGTTGGTACCGAGCACCATGATGGTGAAGTCGATGTCGTCGGGCGAGTTGTCGCGGCGCTCCTTCTCCTTGAACTTCTCCGTAATGTCGCGTCCGACACTGACGTCGCTGAACATGCGCGTGAGCTTGTTCGTGTAGTCGTATCCGGAGAGCTCCTTGAGCTTGGAGATCATGCTGCTCTCGCTGTCCTCAGACGCCGACGTGCCGTTCACGAGACGCGAGGCGAGCCTGCGCTGGTAGAACTTCTGGAAGACGTCCTTGTCATCGATGAACTTGAAGATGACCATTGACTGGTTGAGCGCGTTCTCGAGCGCGTCCGGGTCCAAGTCGCGGTTCGACTTCTTCAGCAGCTGGTCGCAGTAGCTCGCGAGGAGCTCGGGCGACTTGGTCGGGGTAGTAGCCGCCGCGTTCGAGTTGACAAACTCGCGGCACGCCTTGTCGAGCGACGCATTGAAGCCAAGCTCCGAGTTGAAGGGACCGTTGACAATGTCGCCAAACTTGGAGTGCACACTAAGCAGGGCCTCAATATACGCCTTGGGGTCGAGCGTCTCGGGCTTGCCCTGCTCGTTGACGGCGCCGGGGGCAGGAACCACACGTTCAACAGCAGCAAGACCGGCGCGCTTGACGTGGTCCTCGAACTTCTTGCGGAGCGGGTCGAGGCCGCGGACGCGGGAGAGAAGACCATACATGCGGGCAAGGTCGGCCTCGCGATCGGCGTCGAGGAGGGGCTGGAACTCGTTCCACATGATCTCGCGGTGCTGGTTGATGAGGACCTCCTCGCACGTGTCCTTGAGCTGAACACGCGTGCTGTCGTGCAGGTAGAGGTTTATCCGGTCCGCCTCCTCGGCGAGACGCTCCTCTGCCTTCTTCATGTAGTCGGGGACCGAGTTGGAAGCGACAAACGCAGACGACTCGGCAGTGTAGTACTTCTCGGTCGCGTCGATGAAGAACTTCTGGAAGCAGTCCTGGTACACCTCGAGGTTCTGGCGCTGGGCGTCGGCGTCGTCAATGCCGAGCGCGACGTAAGACTCGATGACCTTCTTGAGCAGCGAGTTGTCAATGATCTCGCCGTTGCGCTGGAGCTCGATCTGCCTGAGCACGGCGAGCGTCAGGCGCGAGGGCGTCGTGTCCGACTCCTGCTTGATGTAGGTGAAGAACTGACGCTTCCACATGACGAGCGCGAGGGTGTAGACCGTGTAGACGTCCTTACGGCCCTCGTCCTTCTCTCGCTTCACCCAGTGCTTGTTCAGGTAGTTGAACAGCTTGTTCACGTAGCGCGCACCCATCGTGTACCTGTCCCACTGGCGGGCGTAGTACTTGAGCAGCTCGAGGTCGTTGAGCTTCTCGCCCTCCTGTCCTGTCAGCTAACGTCAAACCAAGTAACTCACCTCACGCATCGACTTGCAGTGCTCAGCAAGGAACTGGCTCAGCTTCTTGTACAGCTCAGCGCCCTGGAGACTAGCTCCGGCACCGCGCGGCATCTGGGGCAGATTGAGTCCACCGCGCGCCGAGTTTGTGCAGTAATCGTAGATGCTCGTGTACAGCAGAATGTAGTACTGGTACGACATGCCGAGCTTCTGCATCCTGTCAAGGTCAGTTGACAAACACTCAGGTCTATTCAACTTACCGCGACATGATGTGGTCGACACCGACCTCGAGGAAGGCCCATGATGTCTGTCGTCAGTGTACCCCTTCGTCAGTCACACACCGCAAGGTCGGCGTCCCTGGAGATGTCAGCATGTCTCGCACACAAGCACACAAGCACACAAGCACAGCACGTTGGGGAAGAGTCGCAATGTCCGTTGCCTCTTCCTATGACCTCTGCCCCATCTGTTGACAGACGACCAAGTGGACGGCCAAGAGGCAGCGGCGGCGGCAGCTGGCACCGCCCGTCAACGAGCGATGCACAACGCCCCGCCGCGCTTAGCGAGCAGCAGGATCGGCGCTGTCGACCACGACGACGCGTGTTCTTGCTCCCAGTCGTGGCGTCCCTTCCATCATAGACCTGTCCGCATCACAGCGTCGCACAGACAGCGGCGTCCCATCCCAGCGCGCGGGCGACTCACTTCGAGGGCTTCTGCTTCATGGTCGGCTCACGCCAAACGGCGCCGTCGGCACCAGTGGCGGAGGCCATTGTACTTGTCGGTTCTTGATGCAGGCGGGAGAGGAGTTGGGTGGTGCGCGCGGACCTCTACTTTGGTGCTTTGACTGAAGGGTGTAAGAGAGAAGGACTGATGTGGAAAAGGACGAGGCAGGAATCTGTTGATGAGTGACTGGACTTGATCGTGAGCGCGCGAGCGAGCGCAGCGCGGTGGGTGGGTGGACTGTCTGCCTGGCCGACACACGTCAGAGCGGCGGTATCAGAATACACGTCATGCCTGCGCCCCTCCGTCCCAGATCTCTGCCTCTGGGTGGTGATGCACATGCATGCATGGCATCATCGGAGCTGGGGATGAGCATATGCTCCAAAGGGGATGCATGAGACAGGCCATGGTGCATGCACCGTTGGTCCGCGGTAGTGAAGGCCAACTGGGACGCTCGGTGGCAAAAAGTTACAAGTGCTGCATAACCCTCTACTTCTAACACACGGTCTAACAAACGGGGGACAATGGGGCGAGCAAGCGCTTCGAGTGCGCATGAGCTCGAAGAGCAATCGAAAAGTCTACTTGATGTACCTGGGTTGTCAGCTTCACGATCCCCACCCAACAGCTATGGACTCACTTCTGCATGAACTTCTTGTGGAACTCGGACCGGAGCAGGTCATTGACAAACTCGCCCTTCTTCGGCTTGTCGAGCGTCACGGCCTGATTCTTGAAGATGAGGTCGTCGTCCCAGCGCCGCTTAACTGCGAAGCCGCCTCCTCCGGCACTGCTCGACTCTGCAGGGCCCTGTCCCAGCGCAGCCTGCAGGTTCAGTAGCGGGTTGCCCGAGGCGATCTCTGCGTCCCGGTCGGCTGCGTTCGCCGCATCCGCCTCGGCGGCCAGCCGCGCCTTCTCCTCTGCGCGCTCGCGCTTGATCTTGGCCAGCTCCGCCATCAGGGCCGCCGTGTCGTCGTCGCTGTCGTCGTCCGAGCTGCGGTCAGCTGCAGTGCTCGAAGGTAGGAAGCTGTGGGCAAGGGTATCAAGGTGTCACTCACTCATCATCGTCGTCGTCGTCATCGTCCTCATCCTCATCCTCGTCAGACGAGTCGTCCCGATCCAGCTCCGCCGCCTCCTCGAGGATCTTTCTCCGCTTGGCCGCGGCCTCGTCCTCCTCATCTACCTTCTCCCCTTCTCCATTCCCAATCTCTTTCGCCCCACCCACTGGCGGCAGCGGCGGGAGGGGCGGGAGACCCTGCGCCTTCCGCTTCTTGTCCTGAGCCGCGCGCTCGGCGGCGGCAAGCTCGGCGCGCAGATCGCGCCGCGCGACGTCCGACACGGACGTCTGCCCGACTTGTCGGAACTTGAGCTTGGTGTGCGACGCCATCCCGTGCTTCGACACCTGGGCCGTGCCCATCTTGCTGTCCTGGCCCTGCTTCGGGTTCCATGTTGGGCGGTGCGCGTTCGACATGGTGCTGGCGGTGGTGAAGGATGAGGTGAGGTGGTTGTTGTGAGGTTGATCGCCCTCCACCCTTGAGGGCAGGAGTGATCAGCGAGATTGCGAAATTTGCTTCCGCTCGATCATCACCACCCTCAGCAAGGGGAAGACGATCGTAATGCACAAGCACTATGCCTGATTGCTCTGCATGCACCAAGGTGTTGCGAGAGATGCAAGTTGCCAGTGCAGCCCGTGTCAGTCCTCCATGAGCCAACCGCTCCCGGATTCGATGCCAGTGAATGCCTATGCTATTGATCTACGTAACCGTATGTCCTAAAACCATCCCCTCTTCTTCTTCTTCTGCTCCTCCTCCTCCTTTTCCCTGATCTCCTGGAGCCTCTTCTCCTCCGCGTCGCGCGCGGCCTGGATCTCAGCCCGGTGCGCCTCCGCCTTTGCCTGTGCGGCCGCCGTCCTCTTTGCGCGCTTCAGCGCCATCTGCGCCAGCTTCTCCTTCTTGGCCGCTTCTGCTGCCGCCGCGTCCTCCCCCTCCGTCGACTCCTCGCGCACCTCCTCGGTCTCCTGGGGCTTGTCGGCCTGGGCCTTAGCCTGCGCCTCGGCAATGGCGGCGAGCTTGGCCTCCCGCTGCTCGGCGACAATCTCCGCGAAGGTCTTGCGCGGCCCCGTCTCCTTCGGCTCCTCCTTCACGGGAGGCTGGGGCGCCTCAGCGTCAGCAGAGGCAGAAGAAGCCTCCGCCGCCTCGCGCTTAGCCTTGTCCGCCTTCTTGACGCGGGGCGCATTGACGGGCGGCTCGGCCTCGGCGGGCATCTCGAGCTCCTTGAACTTGTCCGCGAGCCCGGCGAACCCGCCAAAGAAGCCGCCATCGAGCTGGCGCAGCGCGGCGACAATCTGGCTGTCCTCGCGCTGCTGCGCCATTGTCGGGCGCGGCGCGCGACAGGCCTGCCCCCGGCGCCCCTGGCTCTGCCTCCCAAAGCTGCGCACCGGGCCCTGCCGCTCGTTGATCTGGTACTGGAGCCGGCGGACGGGCTTGGTGCTGCGCGGGCTGCGCTGCGCGGACCCAAGCGCTTCCATAATGTCCGTCATCGAGACGCCGCCCTGGTCCGCGTTCTGGTCCACGTAGCTTGCGCCTAGCTCCCCCTTGATCGGTTCCGGGAGAGAGGCCGGGCGCAGCGTCTGCACCGACATGAACTTGTAGCCGCGCCGCATGTCTTGATCCTTCGGCATGTCGATGCGGATCACGGGCCCGAGCTCCTTCTCCACCGCGCGCACTAGGCGAAGGGCCGTCGCCGGGTTGTCAATCACATTGTCGCAGCGCACGACAAAGTTCGTCGTCTCGCCCTCCTTCGGCGCCAGCTCTGGGGCCGGGATCGTGATCTTGCGAGAGCTCGAGGGGAAGGCCCGCGGAAGAGAGAGCGCGGGGCGCGCAGCGGTCTGTAGAGCGAACCGCATTTTTGTTGTCGTTCTGTTTGCTCCGGAGAGTGCCGGAGTCGAGGTCGAGAACGGAGTAGTAGGGGTGCGGGTTGTGCAGCGATCACAACGGCCCGTCTGCCCGGAGCAAAAGTCGGGGCTGATCTCCCAACTTTCAGGCCCGGACTGATACGGCAACCGTTTATTCGTGTACTTACACCCGAGCAGTCTCAGGCACTCGACGCGGGACCAATTCAACAACACCCAGGTTGGCACTCTTCGACTATCTTGTCCCGACCTGTAAGCTGCATGACGGAGGCAGGAAGCAGCACCAGCGACGCCCGTCGACGTGATATTCATGCATGATGTGACATAAACTACATCCTACAGTTTACGAAAACTCTACCCAAGGAGCCCGACAAGAATGAGGCAGTGAATGTAAGCCGCTGTCCAAGGGCAAGAAACTGTCTAAGGTGGTGGGATATGAGGTATGGAGGTATGGAGTGTGTGCAGACAGATCCAGTGTCCCTGTAGCAGCTTATGAGCTGGAGCGGTTCGCGCGCGGCGTCGACTGGTCATCCGTGCCGGTCTGTGACGGCGGCGGCGTAGCGTTGCGCGACGGGATCTGGGGCACTTCGGGCGCGTTCTGGCCGTCAAAGTTAAAGACAAAGTCTCCAAGCCCAGAGACGTTGCTCATGCCCAGCGTCAGACGGCCGGGGTTGCGCTCGCCCTCGGCCTGCTCCGTCGAGGACTGCGCGGCGCCGCCCGATGCAGCGTCCGGCGACTCTCCCGGCGGGACGAAGGGGAAGCGTCCGAGGAACGAGTCAGCGACGCTATGCGAGGATGTCGCCGTCACTGGCCGCCGGTTGCTGCCAGCTACTGGCGGGTGGCTCGCTGTCCGGTGCGGCTGGTGGTCGCCCGTCTGCTCAATCGTGGCTGTGGACGAGTTGAACGGCAGACCGGTGGAGGGGATCCGCGTCGCCTGCCCCGGTGCGGGAGGGACGATGGGGAAAGAGCCGAGGAGCGAATCGCTGCCGGTCGACTTGAACGACGAGATCGACTGGAAACGCGGGCGGTCGTACTCTGATGGAATGCTCGGCACGGGCGGCTGGTCGTTGGGCGACAGGAAGTGACCGTGCTTGCCCGAACCGTGCGTGGAGACGGACGCACGGTCGTAGGCGAGAGATCCCATGGAGAAGCGCAGATCAGTGGGGCTGGGCTGTGCGGTCGTGTTGCCATCGTCGTCGAAGCGGCGAGATCCGAGAGACGTCGTGCTCGCCGCAGCGCGACCACCGCTGTGAACGTTGCCGCCTCCAAAGGTCGTCGCGGATCCAGCGCCAGGGGAAGCCCCTGCGGCCTGCGGGTCGAGAAGCTCAGACTGGTTCGTGAAGGGGTCGGGAGCCGATTCGTAAGTTCCCGATTCATCCGTGTCCGCGTCGTTCTCAGGGATCGGGCGAACGCCACCAGCACCAAACTGCACGACCTCGGCAGCCTGGAGACGGCCGACGTGCACCTGCTGGCGCGTGATGATCTTGGGCGCGTCGAGATGAAGATCGGCAGTTTGACCAGACATGAACGAAGGGGCGGCAGAAGTCATGGAGTGAATCGAGTCGCGCGAGTTGATCGAGGTAGCGGAAGAACCACCATCGGCAATCGCACCCAAAGGCTGGCGCACGGGGTTGAGACGAAGGTCGAGGTCGGGTGAACGGGCAGGGCGGGGCGGAGGGACAATGCCAGGCTGGCCAGGGCGCGGTCGCCAGAGGTTCTGACGGGCGAGATCGAGCGTACGAGCCGCTGCAGCCTGCTGAGCGGCCGGGTCGGCAGGCTCGTTGCTGCCGCCACGGTGGCTTGCGAGAACCTGCGCAAGCGACTCGTCCATCTGACCAGCAGGGACGTAGTGGATGGGAATGACGTTCGTGGAGTGGCTGGAGTCGCCGCCGTTGGTGGACATGGAGCGCGAATCCGCGAAGGGGTCGCCGGAACCACCGTTGTCTGGGTGATTCGGATCGGCGTTGATGACGCCCCGCTTGCCCGCGTAGACACGGATGGTCGTCCCGTTTGCGTCGTAGTACTCGGCATCGGCGGGAACATTGGGAAGCGGGCCAGCCTGGCGCGTCGCCTCGCGAGCTTCCTTGCCGCCGGCACCGGCAGCTGCGGCAGCAGCAACGGCAACGCCTCCGCCCGACGTCTGGCTCATGGGCGCCGACTGCCGACGCGTCGACGTAACGGGTGATGACGGGCCCGAAGATCCGGTCGCGATGTGGAACGCCGACGACTCGCCCTTGCGCGCGCGCTCGGCGAGGTCCTCAAGACGTGCGAGGTCGCGTCTCTGTGAAGTGGTCAGCTGCGGTTCCCTAACAGGAATGCTGGCGCGGTCGAATTCCCCGCCGCCACTGCCGCCGCCGCATGACGGGAGAGGCGATGAACGGCCACCTGTTACGCACCTTCTTGCGCCTCAGCCACCAAAACAGCAACACACTGGAGACGATCACCAATGCACCGATGATGGGCCCAGCAATGACACCGGGGTTGACACCGCCGTCGCTCGCGCCCTCAATCGCCACACAGTGCTGGTAGGGACAGGTAGAGCATGTTCTGTAGGTGTCAGTATACCGCAGTACGCGATGTCTCCTAAGCTCAACTCACCGAATGACGACCTGACAGCTCTCCTTCTTGGTGCACTTCTGGCACATGTCTTTCGGTGGTCCGTTACACTGGACACACTGGTCTCCGAAGGATTCATCATCCTGTCTTCGGAACAGCTCTTCGAGCGAAGTTGGCGGCGGGAAGTCGTGCTGAAACGCAACCATGGCGTGAGGGGGAAGAAGAGAAGGGAGGACGTGAGGGAGGGCGCGGGATTCAAGAGTAGACGAGGTTGTCGGATTGTCGAGTTGAGGAGGAGGGAGTCAACCGTACGGAGCGGTAACAGGACGCGATCACTCGAAGTCGAGAGTCAAGCCTTGTCACCGCCTGTGCTCAGAGATCTCGAAAGAGAAGGTAGCCGATGCGTTCCCAACAAAGGTTACTTCGGGCCTTACGTGAAAGGTTGCCTCAGCCGTGACAGTCGAGTCTTAGATGCACAAGCTGATGCTGAAGAGTCTGCCGGACACTCGAGGGTGGATGACTGACAGTGCCGTTAAACGCAAAGGGCCGCGAACGTTACGCCGTCGGGAGGGGCTTGGCAATCGGCGGGGCGTGGAAGTGAGATCGAAGGGGAATGCGTGGGATGTGATGGGGACGTCGAGAGGAGGTCGAATGAACGTGGTGGTGATGGTGAGTGAGTGTAAGAAGAATGCTGCAGGTGGGGATGGGCTAGCAAGAGTTCGACGGCCCTGGTGTTTGCAGTCCGGGATCGCAGTCGTTCGAAGTTGCACGGGTGTCGTAGCCCGCTCTACCGTTATACCGATGTCGTTAAGTTAAGAGGCAACCGAGACCAGGGCGCGAATGGAAGTCGTGCGCGAGCGGTGTGCGGTGCGTGATGGCCGGTGTGCCGGTGCGAGTGTATGCGAGAAGGTGTGTGAGATATGTGTGTAATACAAAAACGGATCGGTGGTAACAAACCGCAGGCGCAGGCTGCAGTGAGGGCGAACTCGAGGGCAGTCGGGGCGGCGGCCGGGACAGTCGAGGGCGGGGCCTGGCCGGTACGGCGGTGTGTCGGGTGTGCGGGAGATAAAGAGGCCAACGTGCGCGCACCGGGCGTAAACGTTACGAGAGAAAAAGAAGTTTAATGGCGGGGAGAGGGAGGAAGAGAGGATGGGAGAGTGAGAGTGCGGTGCAGAGGGCGATCAAGAACGCAATGCACTACGAGCACTGCAGGTGTGTGTGTGTTGAGGGGTCGTGAGTGGTCGAAGTCGAGGAACTGGTGTAGCAAGAGTGGTTGGGTAGCGTGAGCTTAGCAAGTCGAGGAGGAAGGACGATGGACAGGACCTCGACTGTTCGGATGCTTGCAGGGACGAAGGGCCGGGGGTGGTAGGGCACGCAGCACAGCAGGGCTGGCAGGGCTGGCAGGGCTCAAGAAGAGGATGGTGTATCGAGTGATGAATGGATAGTCTGCGAGATGCAAGCAGGAGATGCAGGAAGGCAAGAGGGAGGAAGGCTAAGGATGAGCCAGGGCTGCTTAGGGCTCCCCTGACACTCAAACAGTAGTCCCGGCTTTGCAGGCGGTATGTTGCGATGGACGGTGCTTCTTGTCCTTTAAGCTGTACTCGCTGGCGTCTGCTGGGCCTGCTGGGCCTGCTGGGCGCGTCGAGTCCTGAGTTTGCTTTTCCTGGATCTGGCTGCGTGTGTCGCTCGCTGTAAACGCAGGAGCAAGTGGTGGGTCGGGGTTGTGGGATGGAGGAAGCCAGATGGGTCCGAGTGGTCGAATTGGGCTATGGGACAAGTTGGACGCGTTAGCTGCGGTGTCGTTTCGTTTCCTGCTTCGGGTCGTCGTTTCAGAGCAGGCGATCGTGCAACAAGTAACAATCGACAAGAGGTGAAGAGGAAGGAGTAACGATGTGGGCAGCAGCACGAAAAAGCAAAGAATCGAGGTCGTTGACACCCCCGACCGACCACCCACTAAAGATAGAACTGGATGTGTACGGTACATGGACTCGAAGCGGCACACGGCATACGGCTGCATACGGCATGCTTGCTCATGGGCCATGGGCGACACAGGTACAAGACAAGGTACGTCGAGTGGGCCGGGGGCATGCCAGCCAAGCCTTGCAATGACCCGGGAGCAGTCAGGATTTCAACTCATCGTTCCCTGCTCCAGCCGGCCAGCTGCGCGCCCGGAGGATCCGGGGGCAACCGAGAGAATCAAGAGGGCGAGGGCCTCGTCCGGGTCTGTTGATCACTTCTCCACTACAAGCATGCAGAGCAAGCAGAGAGCGACAAGCACCCACCAGATCGTGGCCTGTGGTGGCCACCCTCGTCCCTCGAAGTGTCCCTTCTCTGGGATCCGTTGGAATGGACGACAAGTGGTGCATGAGCGCCAGAGAGAGCGGTGCAAGAGGGCGCAACAGGGCGCAAGAGGGCGCAGAGGGCGGTCGCTCGGCGTGCAATTGAACCCTGCAGAAGCCCTGCACCGGGTTCGCAAATGTTCTGGGCCCTGCGAGCCCTATCGGCCCCAGAAGGTGGACGAGCAGACGGTGGGAGCGTGCAGGACCCTTTTTCACCACCCTGTCCTCGCAAGGGACGCGCAGGGTGCCTCCAGGGATTGTCCTTCTCACCACGGCTGGTTCCTCTGCATCCCCGATCCTCGAATGCATTGGCAGAACTGTGTCCGACTTTGCATACTCTCCAAGCACGGCGGGCCTCGACCTCCCCGCTCATGTCATCAGCGACGGTAACGAGGGTGCAGCCGTATGCATACTCGACCAACAAACGCCACATGCACATGGAAGAGACGTGCGACATCCTCGCTCCAACTGACAGCATCGTTACTCAACAGGTACAGCACCTCATGGAGCCGTGACTTCTGCTGGAGCAAGGATCCAGGCCCAGTTAAGCATTAAGCACGCCTGCGTGCGTCGCTTTTTGCAGAGCTGACGCGGCGTGACAAGGTTTGCCCCCAGGAAATCCTCTTCTGAGGCAGTCTTGGACAAGTCCGACGGAGTGTCACCCCGGAGATCGAGGGCGACCGGAAAGCTCACGAGGGAGGAGGAATGCCGTGAGCTTGCTACTTTGCTACCCTCACGCGAACATCAACTTGAGGGTGAAGGCAGGCGAACCAGCACTGTGTCCCCAATGCCTCATTGGCAGATTCGTTCTGGGGATCACGAAAGCTTGCAATTAACTCGGGGCCGCAGCGAGTCACCGCGAGGCGTTGGGCTCTTTGAGAGCAGCAAGGGCAACTCTATCGCGACTGCGCTGCTGTTGGCGTTCACATTTGCTGGGACTGGACTCGGCGCGAGTCACCTCACCGACTGTGAGGGCTGCGAAGCTTTCCTCTGAATTGGCAGTATGGCTTTATGCTCTACTCCGGCGCTCACTCACTGTCACCATTTTGCGTGGCTCGTGGCTCGGTGACAATACACCAAACTCTGTACATCTTCATGCCTCGACAAGGGCATGGACATTCCATAGCCAACTCCGAGCTCGCCCATGTCGGGATCGTGCTGATTCCCACTGACTTGCCAGATGCTGGTCTGGAATCTGACAGAGCGTAGAGGAAGGCCTGTCGCCAAGCTCTGAGGGTCATCCCCGCGATGCCGCGATGCTGTAAGGCGGGCCGGCGGCATCGGGCTTGCCCGCCGTGGTCTGGGCCATTGCCCAACCTCAATCTCAAGTTCTCTCCCATACATCTGCAGTGGTTTGGAGGCTTGGCCGGGATTGCGAGATGTGGTATTGGCCGACGTGACCAGCCCAGAAATCACACACGCCCAGAAGAAAGGTATGGATGGCCAAGCATATAACGTACGTTCTAGACTCGGTGGATGGCCACAATTCAATTCTCGTCATGGTCTTATGCTTGTTCGTCCCGAGGATTGATCTCTAGCCGGGTCCGTACTCGGGTCATGGCCGGGTACTACATTACTCTGCTTTAGTCTATCGCGACATGGCGCAGCCGGTAGCGAGCAGAGCCACTGTGGATATCCCAACTCCGTCGTGTTTGGTTTCTGGCGTGGATTTCGCTGGTCGGCCACACGGCCAGGAATAGCCACTGTGGACGTCATACTCGCAAGGTGTGGGCGGAAGTGGCTTGTCATTTCTATTCCTCTCTCTCTGCAGTGCAGGTGTGCACTAGGTAGTGTCACTCGTTGCGCCTCGTACATGACATGAGACGATGAGACGATCTCTCAGACTCACACTATGAGAGGCAACCACAGACGAACAGACGCTCTCTGGTCATGAAACGAGGTTCGTGAAACTCTCCCCCTTCGTGTCCGCCCTTATCTCGTCCAGCAGGACAGTTCGACTGTAACTGCGAGATAGAGCTCTGCTGCGAATCTATTTCGTAAAGAGATTTGTACCGGATACACCACGCTGTCGTAAGAACGGCCATCGGACGGTATAGTTGGCTGCGCGTACCTCTCACCCTCTCGGCCCCTCGGTCCGTCCTCGATCCAAAGCAGCTCACAGCATTGCACTCCTCATGGAATCCTCTCGTTCCTGTCAGTACGGTCTCGCTTCCTCATCGACCGCGATCTCGCCTCAACTGAAAGCCAGAGTGCCGGAGAGTTAGAGAACCGGACAGCCAGTGGCGATCGGCCCAGTGCATATCTCGGTCTCCTCCGTTGAATGCGATGAATGCTGAATACACCAGTCACGCTACCATGATTGCAACTTTAGCTCCAACAATTCACCAGAGCATAAAACAATTAGACCTTCTTCTTGCTCTTTGCGTACCTTTCATCAGTTGATCTGAATAGGACAATATAAGGCGGCCAGGAGGAATGTCTCCAGCTGGGTCATCTGGTTGCTTTGAATACTGACCATTTCTTTGCCCCATGCTGGCTGGACGATCCATATCACGGCTGTATCCGGCAGAGCTGGCAGAGAGCTGGACGGCTCACAGACACTGACGGCTGACGGTTTCGTGTCTGGTGCATATGGCATTCCTCCCAGTCCGCGGCATTTCACAATCGAAAAGTAGGTTCGGACCCAACTCCCCACCTCTCTCTGATCGATCACTCGCGGTCTAGAGCACCGCTGATCGCCGGACCCACTCTCTTAAGCATGCGCTTTTGTGCTAGGTCTGCTCACTCTGCTGCCTACTGACCGAGGGGTGGGTTCGTTTCTCCCCGCCGGTTTCTCTAACCCCAAAGTACAGACGCTACCGTAAGGCAGGCACACACGACACGGTGAGTTCGTACAAATGCATCCGCGGACGCGGACTCTTCATGCTATTACTATTTCATCATTATGAGGGGGAGGGAGATGGGACTGTTGCGTTTTATGAGGGACAAGCCAGAGGTACGTTTAGGTGATGACCGAGGGCTTCTCGCGCTTGGTGTACTCCTTGAGCTTGGAGAGGTCGAGGGCGACCTCGATGAGGGGCTTGAGGCCGACCTGGGCGTCCTCGGCAAACTCGTCCGCGTTCTTGGAGTACTTCTCGACATAGAGGCGGACGGTGGCGCCCGACGAGCCAGTGCCCGACAGACGGAAGATAATGCGCGAGCCGTCGGTGAACTTGATGTACAGGCCCTGCTTGGTCGAGACGGAGCCGTCGATCGGGTCCGTGTACGCAAAGTCGGCGGCGGACTCGACCGTGAACGACGTGTCCGAGCTCGTCGCCTTGAGCGTCTTGCCGACAAAGTCGGGCGAGTCGAACAGCTCGCGCAGGTGCGCCATCATCGCCTCAGCACCCTCCGACTCGACCTCCTCGTAGTCGTAGCGAGAGAAGAAGCTGCGGCCGTACTTCTTGTAGTGCGCGAGCAGGATGTCGTTGATCGTCGTGCCGGGCTTCTCCTCGGAAGCCTTGGCGAGGATCGAGAGCCAAGCTGGGCGTCAGTTGATGTGTGGCCAATTGTAAACTCACCAATAACGGCCCAGACACCGTCCTTCTCACGGATGTGGTCCGAACCAGTACCGAATGACTCCTCACCACAGATCGAGAGGCGACCGGCGTCCATGAGGTTACCAAAGAACTTCCCTGTACTCGTTAGCTTCCAGATCCAGGCCGTAGTTGCGCCCTTCTGCGCCACTCACATCCGGTGGGAACCTCGAAGCACTCGACGCCCTGGGCCTTCGCAACAAGGTCGATAGCGCCCGAGGTAGGCATGGAACGGGCGAGACCCTTGACACCGTTCTTGAAGTAGGGGATGGCCTTCTCGGCCCAGTCGGCAATGATGGCGACCGAGTCCGAGGGGGTGACGAAGGCACCCTTGCCGTAGATCATGTTGCGGTCACCGTCACCGTCCGAGGCGGCACCGAAGAGAATGTTGTTCTTCTCAACGGCCTCAACGAGGGTGTGGGCGTAGGTGAGGTTGGGGTCGGGGTGGAGACCACCAAAGTCGGGGAGGGGAGTGCAGTTCTGCACGGAGGACTCGGGGAGGCCGAGCTCCTTGACGAAGATGGCCTTGCCGTAGGGGCCAGTGACACCGTTCAGGGCATCGAAGAGGACAGAGGGCTTGGGGTTGCTCTCGTGGAGGTACTTCTTGATCATGTCAAAGTCGAAGATCTCCTTGAGGAGGTTGACGTAGTTCTCGACAGAGTCGACGATGGTGACCTTGAGAGGGCCGTGGGTGTACTCGCCGAGCTTGGAGAGGTCAAGCTGAGAAGGAGTTAGCTCATCCAGGCAGCTGTTCACTCACGTTAGGGAGCTCAACCTGCTTGTAGCTCGAGATGTCCTCAGTGATCTTGTAGATCTTGTTGGTGACCTCCTCGGGGGCGGGTCCACCGTTCGAGATGTTGAACTTGATACCGAAGTCGTTGTCGGGGCCACCGGGGTTGTGCGAAGCAGTCAGGAGGATACCGCCGTCAGCCTTGGAGCTGCGGATGAGGGCGGAAACGGCGGGGGTGGAAAGGATGCCGTTCTGTCCGACGATGACATGCTTGACGCCGTTGCCGGCGGCAAGGCGCAGAATGATCTGCACGACCTCAGGGGAGTAGTAGCGGCCGTCACCGCCGACGACGAGGGTCGAGCCCTCGCTGCCACCGGGCATGGCGGTCAGCGTAGCCTGAACGAAGTTCTCGGTGTAGTTGGGCTGCTGGAAAACCTTGACCTGTGCCGTGTCAGTAGACGTTCCAGAAGACAGTCACTCACCTTCTTGCGAAGACCCGAGGTGCCGGGCTTCTGGCCCTGGAAGGGGGTGGTCTTGACCTCGACAACAGACCTGCGGGATGTCAGCACTGCGTAGGAGGAGTTAGCCGTGGGTCAGCTCACATAGCTTCAACCGGATCGATGGAGAGAGCAATTGAGAGGAGGGGGGGATGGGAGAGAAGGAAAGGAAGGGGGATGGGGGTGTGGTTAAATGCAGCAGCGTGTGATGATGACAGGGCCAGGCAGGCAGGGGTGTGGTGGACATGGACTGCCCAGCGTGTCTGCTGCGAGAACGGACGCGCTCGATTCGGCCCGACGAGCGAGGGGGGGTGCGTGCCTGGATGACGATGATTGCCCCAAGTGGTCCCATGCGGAGAGGGCATGCCGCGCACTACTGCGGCACTGCGATCGCCCCCTCTGCCCTGCATGCTCCTGCCCTCCACTTTGCCCGAGGCTAATCAAGCTGGGTAAACCGACCATTGGGCGGCATTCTAATCCGCTCGTCCCCAGTCCTAATCAATTCAGCCCAGCACGTGGGCACCATCCACGGCGATATAGCGTGTGGCACTCGGAACTTAAGGTACAGATAACATGACTCGTAACCGGATTTTTTGGATTTCGGTCTTCAACCAGCCCAAGAGGAAGCCTCGAGCCTCCAAGCTTACCCAGCTACCACCCCCAACCAAACATGGCTGAGCCCACCACCTTCCCGGCCCCCAAGTCCGACCTCACCGTCCTCCTTCTTGGTTCTGGCGGCCGTGAGCATGCTCTCGCTTTCAAGCTTGCTCAGTCCCCCCGTGTGAAGCGGGTTCTCATTGCTCCGGGCAACGGAGGCACCTCCAAGCTCGGAGGCAAGATTGAGAACGTCAACGCTCCCTGGGGCGGAAAGGACGGTTACGAGGGTGTCGTCAAGTTTGCTCAGGACAACAAGGTCGACCTCGTTGTCCCCGGTCCCGAGCAGCCGCTCGTCGACGGCGCCGAGCGCGAGTTCCGCAAGGGTGAGTTACCGACTCGATTTTCACCGGCCAGTGGCTGACCTCCAGTCGGCATCCCCGTCTTCGGTCCTTCCCCGGCTGCCGCCATGCTCGAGGGATCCAAGGCGCTCTCCAAGGAGTTCATGCAGCGCCACAACATCCCCACGGCGCAGTTCCGCAACTTCAACGCCTCGCAGTACGACGACGCCGTTGCGTACATCAAGTCGAACCCCTTCTCGTCTGGCCGTTGCGTCATCAAGGCCTCTGGTCTTGCTGCCGGCAAGGGTGTCCTGATCCCGACCAACAACGAGGAGGCTCTCGCTGCCCTCAAGTCGGTCATGGTCGACAAGGAGTTCGGCTCGGCCGGTGACGAGGTCGTTATTGAGGAGTACCTTGAGGGCCCCGAGATTTCGGTCCTCGCCTTCTCCGACGGATACACTGTCGTTCCGATGCCCGCCGCTCAGGACCACAAGCGTATTGGCGAGGGCGACACTGGCCTCAACACTGGTGGCATGGGTGCTTACGCCCCTGCCCCCGCCGCCACCGCCGAGGTCATGGAGCGCGTTCTCAAGGAGTCGCTCGAGCCGACTATCCGCGGCATGCGCCAGGACGGCTACCCCTTCGTCGGCATGCTCTTCACCGGCTTCATGCTTACTGCCGATGGTCCCAAGGTCCTCGAGTACAACGTCCGCTTTGGTGACCCTGAGACTCAGGCCCTCATGCTCCTCCTCGACGACGAGACCGACCTCGCCGAGGTCATGCTCGCGTGCACCCAGGGCCGCCTCGACTCTGTCAAGCTCGGCTACCGCGACGGCTACGCCGTTTCCGTCGTCTGCGCGTCCAAGGGCTACCCCGGCTCGTACCCCAAGGGTGACGTCATGACGTTCGGCGAGACGCCCAACGGTGTCGAGGTCTTCCACGCTGGTACCGCTGAGAAGGACGGCCAGATTGTCACTGCCGGTGGCCGTGTCGTCGCTGTCGCCGCCTTTGCCCCTACTCTCCGTGGCGCCGTCGACCTCGCCTACGCTGGTGTCGAGAAGGTCAACTTCGAGGGCAAGACCATCCGTCGCGACATTGCTTACCGCGCCCTCCGTGCCGACGGTGTCCAGTCGTCGGCCAAGCCCGCCGAGGGCCTCACCTACGCCGCGGCCGGTGTCGATGTTGACGCCGGTAACGCGCTCGTTGACGCCATCAAGCCTGTCGTCAAGGCCACCCGTCGCCCGGGTGCCAACGGTGAGATCGGTGGCTTCGGTGGTGCGTTCGACCTCAAGTCGGCTGGCTTCCGCGACCCCGTTCTCGTTTCCGGAACCGACGGTGTCGGAACCAAGCTCCGCGTTGCCCTCAACCACGGCAAGCACAACACTGTCGGCATCGACCTCGTCGCCATGAGCGTCAACGACCTGATCGTCCAAGGTGCCGAGCCGCTGTACTTCCTCGACTACTATGCGTGCTCTAAGCTCGACGTCCCCGTCGCCGCCGACGTCATCACCGGTATTGCGCAGGGCTGTCTCGAGGCCGGCTGTGCCCTCATCGGTGGCGAGACCGCCGAGATGCCGGGCATGTACCACGGCGACGACTACGACCTTGCCGGTTTCGCCGTCGGAGCCGTTGAGCGCGACCAGATGCTCCCCACGAAGGACATGGGTGCCGGCGACGTTCTGATCGGTCTCCCCTCCTCGGGCGCGCACTCGAACGGCTTCTCGCTCATCCGCAAGATCTGCTCCCTCTCCGGCCTCGACCTCAAGAGCCCCGCTCCGTGGGACGAGACGCAGTCTGTCGGCGACGCCCTCCTGACCCCGACAAGGCTGTACATCAAGCAGCTCCTCCCCGGCATCCGCACCGGCCTCTTCAAGGGCATGTCGCACATCACCGGCGGCGGTTTCACGGAGAACATCCCCCGTGTCTTTGTCGAGCAGCCCGACCTCGGCGTCACCATCGACCTCAAGACCTGGGAGCTCCCCGCCATGTGGCGCTGGCTCATGAAGACGGGCAACGTCGCCCCCGCCGAGATGGCGCGCACCTTCAACTGCGGTGTGGGCATGGTCATCATCGTCGGTGCCGACAAGGCCGACGCCGCCCTCAAGTCGCTCCACGAGAACGGCGAGCCCAAGGCCTTCGTCATGGGCAAGGTCGTCAGCAAGCCCGGCGTCCAGTACGAGGGCATGGAGACTTGGTCCCAGTAAGCGCCCATGCGAGCGTCGGCGAGCACGCGAGCACGCGCTGCGAGGTGTGTGCGCGAGCGCAGCTGTGCGTCGGGCCCGCGCGCATCACGGCACAGCGGAGGAGAGGAGGAAGAACACATCCCGCATTTCAAGGCATAGCATCGGAAAACGTAACGACGTAGTAAAAGTAAGAAAAGGGGATTTCCAGCAGCCACATCACGGTTGTGGATCCCCATTGGCACTGTCACCGGATAGTGCTGTGTAAGGCCCCCTCGCTCGGCCACAAGCCCGGCCATGCCCAGTGAGGGGTGGGGTGGGAGTGGGAGGAGGGAGGGGCATAGGTTTTTGGTTAGATCATCATTTTCGCGTGTTAGATTTGTTTATGGTTAAAAATGATCATTTAGACTCGGACATTGTGTTGCAGGCGGTGTTGCAGGCTGTGTTGCAGGCTGGAGACACTCTTCAATTACCGATCCCACTAAATGTGTGGTCCGGGCAAGAGTTGGAGTGTGCAGAGGCACGCCTGGTTGGTCATTTGGAGAGGCGGTCATGTGAGTGGGGAAACAAGGTTATCACCGGCTTCGTGCGACGACGGTTTAGCCGTGTCCTCTATGCTCGTCCAGTATGTGGGGCTCGGAGCACATACGGCCGGTGTATGCCGTATGCCGTCTGTCGTACGCGCACGCCGCCGACGCAGACGTGCGTAGCCAACTCCGTGAGTTCCGCGGGGGTACCGCATCCCCGGATCGAGTCGTACGCGATCGTACGCCTGGCGAGCTGATCGTCGCTCGGACAAGGCTGATCCCAACAATCCCAGCTATGTCAACGCCGATCGTACCTTCAGGAGCAGGCAGAATAGACAGAGCAGGGGATCTCGCTAGGACCGGACTTGGTCTCGGAGACCAGGTTATCGGAGCACCTGAGCCCTCCCACGACCCCGGCTTGAGCTTCTCTCGAGCCCTACTCGAGCCCGACTTGGGACTTGGCACAGAGTTTCAGCATAGGTTCTGCCCGCTTGTGGTGCCCGAGATACAGAAGGTGCCCGAAGAAGTGTGCGTGACGCCTCGCTTGTCAGCTGGTCCGGAGTGAGGGTGGATCCACTGGTACCTTCGCGTGCAGATCCGCGGTCAAGTGACACTTGCATCAGTGCCGAAACGCTCGTCTGACAATCAGGCAAAACTACTTCTCAATGGTCAGGAGCGTGCAAGAATTCATGCAATGAAACGCACCCTGTGTATCTCGAGCCATCTCGAGTGGGGGGTCGAGACCCACCCAGGCAAGGATGGAGGCGAATGTGGCTGGAGCTTAAACGTGATCGAAAGAAAAAGTCTACACGGAGCTGGGAGAAGATGACAGCCATTATTCTTGAGTCTCCTTGTCCTCTTAGGTGTACGCAGCCGTGGATTGCGTCGCGGAGCCCCCGCGGAGCGCTCGGAGTGACGCTGTGGCGGGGCCGCTTTGTCTTGCACTCCGAGAGTGAGTGGAAGCCATTGAGGGGGGGGTCTGTAGCGTTCCAGACCGCCGAAACAGCGTCAGTGGCGCCGGAAGGCTGAAGCTTCGTATTGAGTCTCGGCGAATGAGTATTGCTGGTCTCTGGCGCCGTCTTTGCCGACTCTGACTGTCATCGTAACGAGCGGCGATGGCACTCGGAGCTTTGCTTGACGCCGAGTCGCCGAGCGCATTTGAACGCGCGACCGTTCTGCTGGCGAGCATGGCGAAGGTACCCGGCGTGGCTTGAACTCTGCAGCTAGGCTGGGGTTGCCTGGACCTGCTTTCGATGCTGAATACTGTGGCATTCCTTTCTGCGCCGCAGTTGGTGGCGCCGAAGCCAACCCACTGATTGAGTGACGGCGAATGAACGTTGGAGGTATCAACGCCAATTTTGCCGACGGCATGGCTCCAACGGCGTCGAGAATGCCTTGACAAAGATGACTCGTGACGAGGTGTTTCAACGATGTTCAGCCCTCCTCTAGTGAGCATGGCGAAGACACCGGGGTGGCTTCATTTCTAGGCCACGACAGCTTTGAATGCAACTGCACCTGGCCTCTGAATGCTGTACAGAGTTCGAGTGTGAGGCACCAGCTCGTGCTGCGCCGCAGTCGTGTGTGGCACCGCCCGGCACTCCGTTCATCCACGATTGACTCTCCGTGGCAGTCTCACGTCTAGATTAGCCGACTTTACTGCTGGCGTTTGGGACAGTCCTCTCTGGATATTCTTGAGGTGACACTGCGTGAGTTAGGAGGGTGGACTGGAGCAGGGTAGTATGCCTTGAGGACTTCTGCGGTTTCTGACGAGCGAAAAGGAGGCCACCCCTGGTGGCTTCCGCTTGCCTGGCGTACAGACTGTCTACTTGTGGCTCTGCGAGTCTAGCAAGGTCGCTCAGGACTCAGGTAGTTAGTGGACGTGAGCATTCTGGGTCAATGAATGTGGAAAAGGTGGCGAGAGGCACCCGGACTGGCGTCCGGTCCGGTGCTTGGCGTCGCCGGTGGGCTATTGGCCCCGGACTATTGGCTTGCACTCGCCCTTCCACTTCGCCATCAGCGACCAACGCTCGGTAGGAGCTCCAATGACGAACGAGGGCCCCAGAAAATGGCCTGGACATCGTGTCGGCCCCGGCGCCTGAAGAGGGAGGTGTGAACTCGGAACGACCTCTAAGCGTTATCGACGACCTTGTCGCAGATCTCGGAGAGCCGCAGAGCAGCCACCTCCGCAGTAACATAGGGCCGAGACAGAGGTGCCCCAGACAACACGCAGCATACGACCAAGGGCTACGCTTGACAGAGGACCTCATCCATAACGGCAAACAACGGCCCAACCAGCCTACAACCCCAGAATGCCCCAATGGCACGTCCGCAAGTCTAGACCACTCTCGGGTTACTGGGGACAGATTCCCCGTACCTATTCACATGACCTGTGCAACTAGGCATCGTTCCAGATGAGGCTGTAAAAACACTAGAACATGGATCTGACCGCAACACCAGCTGCCACGGGGCCAACACCGAGTTAGTGCACTGAGTCACTTGATGACACCAGTGTGGCTGTAGGACCCAACAGGTCCATGGTGGCTGAGACAGGTTGCACCGACAATCTGCGTTGGGCTGCCTGACAGCGGAATGTCGCCTGCAGTCCAGAGGCCGCTGTTCGGCACGCGGTGTGTGGCGCGGCGTTGTCTCGCTCGGAACGTGGGATCGATCTCGGGCAGAGGTCAATCCGGTGTTCTGCTCATGCCATCGACCTCTGTGCCTCCGGTATGAAAGGTTGCTTCGTCCCCAACCATCGAACGTAAACAAAGCAATCGTACCGCCTTCTAGTAGGGCCAGAAGCGGCCAAGGCTACCGAACACCTCTGAATTCGAATACAGCTTGAAACGGTCGTGGGGGCGGGCAAGCGCTGGCCGCTGAATTGACCTGATCCACCCACTCTCGGAGCCTGCTCCAGACCGTACTCCGGACTGCTTCACCGAACGCCGTGACGAGAAAGCATTCATTTTGAGAAAGGCGCAGAAGTTGAGGGGTACAAGGTTGAGCGGTGTGGTCTCAAGCAGCGCCGCTGACGCTACTGATACTGTGAGGCCTCGCTTGGACATGCAGGATCCAGTAAACTCTGAGGCTCGTACGGACAGCAAAGTCGTACACACGAGAAGTTACTCACCCAGTGAGTCCGTCAATTGTAATGCATTTCAATATCCGACGATCGCGTTGCCCTCTGCTTCATGGAAGAGACGGAGAGCGTCGTCAAGCTCCTACTGAGAGAATATAGTTGCTCCCTGATGCCATTGTGGGCGCGTTCGGTCCATGCACTACATCTGCGCGATCGTAGTACGGCGTCGAGTTTATCCCTGTACAGGGAGGTAGGATATTCGGGTCAAGCTCGGAAAATGTTCGATTAAAACTGACCTCGTTTAGCGATCGAACCCTCGTGAGGGCGACGGAACGCCTCCATGCCAGAAGAACGCTGACGCAGCGCAATGGGGGCTCCTGAGGGCTGGCGCATGTCTTGTGACTGCAGTGTCCGTGTCTCGGATTCCTAGATCCATGGGCGTCGACAACCAGCGGCTATGGAACATCCTCCTACAGCGACATCATCTTGCGTCCGCTGCCCGCATCGACAAGCGAACTCAGGTGCGTGCAAGTGCGGGCAGCGGAGCGGGTGCGAGGAGGTCCTGCCAAGGTGTGGAGGTTTGGAGTGGGGTGAGCAAGCGCAAATCCGGTCCGATCGGAGGCAAAAGTGCGATACGGAAACGAGTAACGTGTCGTGAGGAGCTCCAAACTTGGTGGGTTCCGAGTGGCACCCGCCGCCGTGGCAGTTGTGGGGAAGGCAAGCGAGCAAGTGCTGCGAGATTCGCGACCAGTACATGTGAGCCCCGCAGTACTGTTGTCCTGTGCGCACCGAGTGGGTTGCGTCAGATCGACGCAATTCAGCACATCCGAGACAGTGGGCAACTCGTCGTCGCGGAACCACGATGGCGCAAGAGTCCAGAATTTCTGTTGCTCGACGTCCGCACAAGCACACCATGGCACCTGCGACTCGCAATAAGTACGTCGAGGCACTGGTTGCGAGGAGCTTACCGTGCGCGCTGTGTTTGTTCCATGCCGACGAGGCAGGAATCCAATCGGGTTCCAATCTGCACTGAGTTCGAGTCTCGACCTGGGGACATTCTTGGCCGAACTGTAAAATGTTCGTGAAACGTCAGAATGTGAACCGAACAGCATGATGGGCCGGGGCTGTCACGGAACATGTCTGCAGGTCGTCCCCTACTTGCATTTCCAGCGAACATGCAGACGAGGTTGACGACCGTCTACCTCGCTCCCTCGACGTATCAGCGTGGACCCCCATCCAGCAGACTCCTTAGGGGTGGTTCTCCGCCCGTCCGATGTTACGTTATCTCTGACGAATGCTGGGAATCACCCTAAGATTCCATAGCCGCACGCTATAGATCTGCCAACGTCCGCAGGGGCCAGTAGGATATGATAGGAAACTCTGAGAACCCACGCTTTTTCGCGATACGCGATAACGTGATGGACTAAAGAAGAACTGGACAAAGATTAGAGCATGAGAGGAGAAGGGCCGCTACACGATAAGCGGAGACCTCGTGTTTCCAGCGGTGTGCCTGGAGTGCCTGAATTGTCCTGAACTGCAAGTGGTCGAGCCCAAGGGGAGACTTCCGTTAGCAGCAGTGTCATCCTAGGCCCTCAGGCACTCTCCAGTTACAAGTTCCTCGTTGAAGTGTACCTCGCTCTACCCTCGCAGGGGCCAGAAAGGTTCGACTAGATCAGGTGGAGCCAGGCAGACGGGCAAGGCACACTCGTGGCCCACGAGGGGAGCTAGGAAAAAGCAAGATAGGTTGCTGCAGCAAAAAGTTTGCACTCAACGTCCTGAAGGGCTCGGCACCATGTCTTCCTGAGCAGCCAGGAAAGCAGGCAAACCGACCGGCAAACTTGGCATAACGTGGGGGAGACATCATAGCTTCCGTGCGGGGTAGGGGTTGCAGGGATGATAGGCGTCGTTTGTCCGATATCAACGTTAGCGCAGGGGGCCAGCACCCGGTGACGGATTGCGCAGTGCTTGATTGGCGGGAGCTCGATAATACATGTCGCAGCTCACGGCAACGGCCCTTCGGAGGTTACCACAGTTGGGGAGAATACCCACCGAGGGGTCCAAAGGGACGCTGGATAAACTCTTCGACACGGGTTACGACAAGGAAATCTTTATCCCCAAGCCACAAAGGCACCGAGGCGTTGGACCAGCTGAACCTCAACACGATCACCACAGCAAGCAATGGCGCAATCACATGAGCGAGCGATGCACGTGCGGAACCCACGGTCCGCTCTGTGCTCGATCTCGCGATCTGCTGGCTGCGGCATTTACAGGTTTCTCGATCTCTCTAGGAAAGGAGGAGGGGCCCTCAACCCCGTTGGATCAGACTTTTTTCGCGGCTCTGGGTGATGTCACGGATGAAGCAAAGACTGGAGACGACCCAACAACCTGCCTGGTCGACCCCAGCGCTTCCCACATGTACTCGAGGCGCAGGTACTCTGCGCAGCCCGCTGTCCGTTCAGGCAACTGCCCCTCTCAGGACTATAGCATTTCACTCAAATCACAAGGTGCGCCAGACTTCGGCTTCCGTTGGAACGTGGTTCAACTAGTGCGAACTTTTGTCCAGCGTCCTGAACTAAGCTGTCGCTCGTGCGCACGTTTTCCGAGTGCGACCTCTCACTTGCTCGACGCCGCGACACCACTAGAATGCAGAGTCAAGAAAATTTCACGATCGCAATGTACGGACTGAAGCAAAGGATGCTTGCATGACCAAAAGAGGATACTGGAGGAGCACAGTGGCCTGGGAAAGCGCTTCAGCGTGCTGGTGTCCCACTCTATTTGCTGGAATGTTGTCTTGTTTTGAATTCGCTGAAATTCAACAAATTTCTGACACCGAGAAGGGGGCTGAAAGACGGGCCCTTCATGGCCTGACCGGATGAAGCCGAGATGAGACATGGGCCGGCGCCGAGATCCGAGAATCGCTGTTGCCGCGTCGTTACGGAGCATCCAGAACACCTCACTCGTGCGTCACGCGGTAGGGGCTGGGGCATGTGGTCGCGCGACAGATCCACGGAACTCGGCACCCACTTTTGCCAGATGCTGGATGCATTTGCTAAGGTGCTTGACAACACGCAAATTTCCGAGGTTGGCCCGGCCCGTGCCGGCGCAACGCGGTTCACAACGGTACTGCGCTCATGTTCTTACTTCAGAAAACGAAGCCCGCGATCCCGTCGCTGTACTGATCGCTTCCGGTCCACTACGCCGGTACGGGGCTTGACCGCGGCGCCACCGCTACCACTCATTCGGGTAGTCACCATGGCTTGCGCCAGCGTTCATCTCGCCGCGCTGCGCTGGGCAGGCAAGCGCCGCCTCCTCGTGCGACACGGCGACCGCCGCACCGGAGTTGCCACGGAGCTTGCACTCGATGCTAGGAAGGCTATCACGGGCTATCAGCTGCCATCCGCTGGACTTGGCAAGCATGCCATGCTGCCCCACCTTGCTAACGAGTTTGGCGAAACTTCCGATAAGGCAGCAGTAGCCTGAAGTCCTTTGGTGCGATATGTGATCCTCGACTAGTCATGGCGAGCGAAGAGCATTGGCTGATAACATTGCAAAGGGAACTCGTGATAGCGTGATGGCTTCCAGTGAGAGGGGTACAGACGATGCACAGGTCCAATACCGTCCGCACATGTTGGCACGTCCGAGGACAGGGGTTGCATTCAGTGCACAAGGATGTTATGCACCCACAACCTTCTTCCGAGCCCTGCAGGAGGCACAGGCTGTTTATCCGTGTGTCCTTTCGACTTCCGTGCCCCGCGCCCACGTTCCTTGTCCTCATGAAGTCAGTATCAGTTGCATGTGCCTTGTACGCCTTCTGAGCTGGTGGCTGCGGTGGCTGAGGGGCGCTGAGGGGCCATGAGGGGAGGGAGGACTGCTGAGGATATTCGAGCAGCCACGTCGGTCCCCATCCGACGAGGACCTCAAACACCTCACGGGTGTGGCTCGTAGCTGGGAACGACGGCTGGAATCAGCGCGGAGAGAGTGCGACGTGAGTATGTGAGGAACACCCGTAACCGTGCGTGGACCGTGTGGGGACTAGATGAGGATTCATGGCCCCGACCGGACCCAGGTCGTAATTTTCGCGGCCCAAACCGAGCCGAGCCCTCACGTCAGCTGACCGACCGCCCGGGTGCACCACAACATGCAACCGACCGAGAGATAGCATCGGTCAGACATGCTGCAGGCGATAGTCGAAACCGAGCGCAGCGACAAACTCAGGAGTTATAGCGTCGTGAGGCGTTAGGAGGCGCAACGGGGCAGAAGGCAGCCAGTTAAGGTAGAGGACTAATTGAGACAAATGCATGATTTTATGATACAACGGGAGCACCGGCGAATGCGATGATTCACTGGCGTCCAAAATGCGCGATGGTGTATGTGTGGTGGCTTATGCCCTAAGTTGCGTGGATAACTGTCGTTGCGGGGAATGTCCATGTATCTGAGTGTAACCGTTGAAGGAACCGAGTGCCCAAAAGGAAAAATGCTGAATGCTGATTGCTGTTTGAGTGCGGGACAGCGTGCTGCTGGTGGCGACATGTGGGGGAGGTGGGGAGGAGCGAGATGCCTAGGGAAAACGCTCTTGAGTGGTACGCGATCGCACTTGTTCTGCGCTAGGCGCCCTCTGCACAGAGTTGGATCCGAGTCAGGGAGAACACTTTAGGCATCGATCGGTGCTTAGAAGCGGCGTCCGGAGGGGAGGTTGAGCGCACGGCCGCGCGAGCGTCCAATGCGGGCCGACCAGGGATCAAGCTCCTCGCTGATAGCACGAACGTGTAAAGACGAGCGGGAGAGCGAGTCCATGTCGGTTGGGTGGGCGAGCTCCATGGTCGAGGGGTTAGGCAGCGTCGTGGAGACAGTCGTAGCGGCAGCGACCTCGCCGCGCCACATAGCGACGCGCAACTGCAAGTCGGACTGGTGGTGCTCGGAGCAAGCGCGTCGCGGCTCGGGGCGGCCTGAGCGCTCGCGGTGCTCGGCCTCGAGCTCGGGGGCGGGGGTGCGCGTCCT